GCACTAATAACATAAATAATTCATTTTTTTGTTTCTTTATTTTTAAACCCTAGTTTTTTAAATTATAGACAAATTTAGAATGATAGATAAATGGTTGAGACGCAGTTTGATCGTAAAAGTGGCTAATACCAAGTGACAGAGATGCCACAAGGAGGTAGATTTCAGTTCCAAGCTTCAAGTTGATAAAGTGACTCAAAAAGTGATCCACTGCGGACTACTGGGACATGTCATACATACTTTGAAAATTAAGTTTCTAAAGCTAACGATCACATTTATTTTTTAGCATGTTTTTTTTAAAGAAAAAAAAGTCTGCAGCCAAGGCTCTGGTTTATACATATATACGTCTTAATTCAAAAGCAAACATTGTGGTGACTCAAATCCAGCCCAAATGTCACTTCCTAATTTAATTTCCGTCTCGAACGCTGCAGGTTCAGATAAGTGGCAGTGCTATACATCCTGTTAGGCCACTCTCCCCTCCGTATACCTGCTGTGCAATCCCAATATACAGTAGAGGCTTAAGTGTCCCACTCATCCATCTTGTACCCTGCAGAGGACAGCTTAATCTGTCCACACAAGAAGCCCTCATAAATATGCATTACAATGGAACAGTGAAGTTAAGTCCTAATTATCAGAGTTTCACAGGTGTTTGTCCTTGAATGGTCTTTTAGCTGCGCTTCAATTAAAAAGTAATTATTGTGGGTTTTGACTTATGAGAGAAAATTGCTTGAATCACATTTGAATATTTTTATTTGAGATTAAAGGGTATTGTAGGCTATCAGAATAATCAAATTCATTATTTCAAACACTAACTTTATCTTAATGTTTTTGGTGTCTTGGTTTGAGTTTTACAAAGGTGAAAAAAACTATACAAACGATAAAGCAAAATGTGACTTTTCTTGAGCAGAAGTTAAAACCTTGCGGCTCTGAAGAAGATAATAAAAGAAGTGGAGGTCTGGCTTCATGTCACAGCAGAAGTTTTAATGTTTTAATGTTGAAGCATAGGATAAACAAGACAAACACAGCCTTCACATGGTTTTATACCAAGACAAACATATGGAAGCTCCCCTCAGCATCTGCCTCTAGATAAGTTCACTTCAAAGTTCAGAAAACATCGAGTGGAAAAGTAATACTTACTGTTGGAATGACCTGCTCAGTTTTCAAGAAGCCTTATAAGATAAACCTTTATTAGTCTCACAGTGGAGAAATTTCAGTGTCATCGTTGCACATTACAGCAGAGAAAGGAAATAAGAGCACTCAGATTGCACACATCAAAGTCTATTATTTAAGATAAAATAAAATAAAATAAAATAAGAAACTCTGGGCTATAATTGCACTTGGTTCGGAGTATTTACAGATGTCTATATTATACATTAGCAGCGGAGAATATGAGAATATGAATATGAGCAGAATAAACATCAGAAATAATATCAACAGGTAGAGTGACTTGAATGGGAGAATTATCAGATGGATATGAATAATACAGTAAGATATCAACAGGTAAAGTGACGGTGAAAGGCAGAATTATCAGATATGAAATAATACAGTAGTACTGATAACAGTAAATATCAGATATGTAGTACTGTAGTAGTACTGATAACAGGTAAAGTGACTAGTGACAAAGTTACTAGTGAATTATCAGTGACACTTGTGCAGACTCAGCAGTTCCTGTTACACATTCTCGTTGTACAGTCTGACAGCAGCAGGAAGGAAAGACCTGCGAAACCTCTCCTTCACACATCGAGGGTGAATTAGTCTGTCACTGAAGCTGCTCTCCAGAGCAGAGAGAGTGTCCTGCAGGGGGCGACAGTCATGGTCCAGCATAGATGTAAAATATGTAAAAAAAGTAAAAAGTATAAAAGATCCGTACCATCAAAAGGATTGTGCTATCCTTAGACCTGTTAAAGGTGTTTTGTCTAAAATACAACTTTATTTTAGACAATACAAGTATAGATCATTGGTGCCCAGACATACTTTAGAATGGAATAGAATAAAACAATACATTCAAAAATCACTATTCAAAATAGTTATTGTCGTTGTGGTGAAGCTGTTGCTCCATATGTAGGATTCATTGTCAATAATACAAGCATGTTTTAATACAAATGTTTTTTTATTGAACCCAACACAACAGTTGGAGCACATTTAAAGAGATTGGAAACGTGTTTGTAAGGTTGAGAAACTAGTCGTCCATTACACTGGATGCACTAAAATTAAATGATGTGTGAATATTATTAAACATAAAAAATCTCAGCAGACTTTTCTCATCTGCCGGGGATGCTGCATAACGGTCTTATCAGTCTCAGTAAGTGTTAGTGCTTCTGTCATGTTTACATCTAAATTGTGACTAATGACCCTGTGTATTTGTGTAGATAAGCGTCAAGGAGGCAGTTCAAAAACCACCACGAGCTCCGCTGTGATCACGAGCGGAGCCGCGATCGGCCGCGGCAGCTCACCGCTGTTCTGCTCATGACTCAGCTTCAATAAGTCCATGTGGGAGGAGCTTGTAAACAGGTTACAGATAACAACTTATTTACCCGCAGCGCCCCACCTGCTGCTCGCTCAGGCTCCAGATGGCTCCAGATTGCGTTTTCACTTCTCACATACTCAAAGGAGAAACTAACCACAACAAGACACTCATAGCATCTCCAAGTGGGCGTGTGTGTGTCTATGTACAGTGTGTGCGCGTGTGTGTCTATGTACAGTGTGTGTGCGCGCCGGTGAGACGGGATCATCGCTGCTGAAGTTAAATATAAGTGGACCACAAACATGCGCACGGAGTGTCTGCCACTTTTAATTTGCCGTGTTGAGCGAGTCTGGCTGACAGATATGGGTCATTTAATTTGGGAAATACCACCTCCGTCTTGGTGCTGCTGCAAAGGGACCTAATTTTCTGGATAATTTTGCCAAATCTCTTTGCCAAAACACATTCATTCTTTTCTAATTGATACCATTTCAAACCAGTCACCAATTATTTTGCTGTATTGTTTTTCAGAATATTTTTGTTTAACATATCCTTTTTAAACCATCATATAAAGTACATATATTTTATAAATGATTTGTTTAATATAGTTCCTCCCCGTTTGCATAACCACGTAGACAGTTAGATTTGTTGGAGGAGAATAGTTTCGTCCAATAAGAAAGCTAGGGGGGTGAGCATGAGCGAGTTAATAACTGGTGCTTGCTTTTGTGCCTCTATTTACAATTGGAAAAGTAACTGACATTCACTTCAATCAATCCAATTTTATTTGTACAGCCCTTTTCATACAGAAAATGCAACCCAAAGTGCTTTACAGTTATCACATGAAAAGTTGTAGGGCTGGGTGCAGATGTCACTCCAGAACTAAAACTGTTGGGCTATTATTCATTATTTTTGGTATTTCTTAAAGCAAATGTGAATGACCAAAGTTCCTCACACTAGACAATTCTACAAAACTATTTATTTGCAATGTTACCACTTTTATACCCTCACTGATTTATTTTTCATAGCATACATTTCCAGGCTAAGCTCTTGTTTCTCTCTTTGTCAGAAAATGTCAACGCAGAACTAGACATTGTTCTCTTCAAAATAGAAAACACTTTCACAATTGGTAACTTGTCAGTGTACTTTATCTTCAGGGGGCTGGTATTATGGGCCTCAGCTGATTCTTGTTCTGGTCTGAAAAAGCTGTGATAATGGCAAATATGTCCTTATACAGTAGATCGGTGACAGACTAGACTAATCCGTTTGATAGATTCGAATATATTCTACTACCTGCCACAGTGGGCGCATCAGACTTTAATAAAAAAAAAAAATTCAATTATTTCACACAAAAACACCCGAGTGACTCAAACTCAAATTGACCTTCCCGACAAACCTATGGCCCACATTACTGAACCGTTGTCCCCCATGCATGTAGACTATAACTGTTAATGGAACGCTCAATCAAGGTTCAACAATGCTCATTTCATTGGCGGCGCTGGGCTCAAGTCTGATGCCAGAAGCAGCTGGTGGTGGTGATAGTCAGTTGGCAAGAACGACGCCATCACTGCCTCGAGCCAAGTATTTTTATGATGACAAAAGGTCATGATACACCGTCTGGACTCAGCTATTTTTGAGATATTTTGATGGTTCTGAACTTGGGTGTGGGAAGAGTATTTTTTTTGGTACTTATTCACGCTATGATGCCATGAAGGAGCTTTTAACAACCCGTGAGCGAGGAAGTGGAAGGTGCAGGAAATAAGCAAGAAAGTTCCCACATGCTACCATTCATGCACAAGGTGTAAATAATGAAATTCTATATTCTAATGTCTGAATTAGGGTTTTAGAATTAGTTTTGATTTGAGACAGGATCACAGAGCTTTAGGCAAATAGTTCAATATAAGCAAAACGTTGATCTTGAGCACTTCTCCATTAGGCGTCAGAGATTAGCACTGTTCAGTCTATGCTCAAATCATGTGATTTCAATGGTTTTGTTAAGTCCTACATACAAGAAAATTGTAAATTATATCATCCCTGTGGCAATCAATTTAGCATATCGTAATGAAAAGGTATTGTTACGATGAATATATATTGTACATCAATCCCTACAGCTTCATTCTGAAACATTCAATCTCAAATATCTGGTTCTTGTGTTGAGCATTTGCAACTTTTCTTGCATTGCTATCGTTTGCCATTGCATCCATGACTAAAAACATTCCAAATGAAAACTGTTCAATGCCCTTGTGTTGAATCACTAAAGGTTTGTACAAAAAGCATAACAAAATTGCCATAAGAGTGAAAATCAAAGTATATTGAAGCAACTCTTGGCTAGACAAGACATTACGCAGGACTTAAATTGATTAACATCCTTATTTCTTTGAATGCCCTTTGTACATTTGAGCAGATCCTTTCATTCCATAATTGATTGACCCAGTTTAAACCCATTTAACATGCTGTGCACAGGTTCCAACATCCTATTCCCCCTTGACAAGCTTTTGTTCCCTCACGAGGCAATGGCAGTGTATGAATATATATCTGTAAATGCCTACAGGTGGGGGCATAGTGGTGCGCATCCTGTCTTTGCCAGTCTGCCGGCTCTGCTTTCCGCCTGCACCCCCTGTTCATGAGAGCAGAAAGAAGTCTGGAGGCGGCGTGAGGCCCATCCAAATGAGCATAGGGGGCGTGTGGGGGGGAAAATTGGTGTAGGACAGAGGAGATGCGGAGGGGAGCTGTTGCAGTTGTAACCTACAGCAATAGCCAAGGGGGACCATTATCAAAAAAAAAAAAAAAGCTACAAGAGACAGCAGTTGCACAGAGTATGCCGGAGTCGTGACGCTCATCCTAATGTAGCTGGAGAGAGATCAATGTCTCAGCTGTAAATACGGCTTGGACTAATGCAAGCTTGAGCGTTAGTGGCAGAACTCACAACCTCTCATTTACTTGCTCATTTATATGCATTCTTGAGCCAAAAATGAGACTTAATCTTCATCAGGCCTCAACTTTACTCACCGAAGCTATTGACCCATAATTCAACCTTGTGGGACATCCGCACTGCACAAGACCAGCTACATTACTGCTAAAACTCACTGCCTCAGCATTTCAAGTGTAGTCGATTTTGACCTTGACTTCATGAATACAGGGAGGACCACAGCACTAGCTTATAAAAAAGCTTTATTATTAAAACATGTCTCAGCTTTGTCATGCATTAAATTTGGAGGCAGAAATTCGTGTTGATGCACCTTCTCTCTGGCTCGATCTAAAGGGCAGGTCACTGGTCAGGATCAGCTGCTTGCTCGACACCAGTGCTTTCTGGCGTGAGGAAACAGCGCTTCTCCCTGTGGGACGAGATTTAATTTTAACTCCAGTCTTTGAAAATGTGTACAAAGAACAGCGCTTGTACTCACTTTGCCTGTGGCACTGTGGCTGACAGGAGTCTACACTGCTGGGATAGCAGACGGCTGTCGAACAGTGGATAAACACCTGTACAGCAAAAAAAAAAAGTCATTAAGTAACAGCATACAATAATATTTGATTTGTATTCACAGAGGCCCTTTGGACAACATTTAGCATCACTTACAGTGTCCTGGTGTGGACTATAGCTGGCCTGATCTACAAACGTGAACATCTTCACAATGAAGCGCTTGTAATGTGTTGGATAAGAAAGGCCGGAATTAGCATCGACAGGCACCACTTTGGTCATATAGTTGTCTTCAGAGTAAGGACACCTGTTTGAAAGAAGCCAAATATCAAAGTGTGCAGCCAAACATACCCTTAAATGACACTCTTACTGCAGAGGAGGAGACCATACAAACTTCTTACCCATTAAGCAGAAGGTCCCACTGAGGCTGGCTGCTGGGGTTTGGTCCAGCTGTGGCCCAGCAGTGCTGCAGAGTGAGGACCACATTAGGATCAGTCCTCTCCAGAAGGCGCACCTCCACATAGACCGGGTCTCTGAGGACTTTAGTGATGGGATAGTCTGACTGAGTGTAGTACGAACTATACGCTGCCACCTCTAAAACAGAAGAAATGTTTGTCTCAACCCAAAGTGCAGCCCATGGAGCCACATGTTTATAACTCACCCGCGACACATCCTTTTCCATGACATTGGCCGCTTCCCAGTCGGAGCTCGACCCGAAGAGGCCCTGCGGCGGCCACAGGCAGTGGTGCAGGGACATCATTTACCTCCATGACAAGAGCCTGGGCCGCAGAGCCCGAATAGCGGCACTGAAACAGCAGCCTGAAGAGGGATTATTGCAGTGTACATTGAAACATGTGCACCATTTCACATATGCAGCAAATTAAAGACTCTGAAAGTATGATCCATGTCCTGAGAACTTTTACTCCAAGGTATTTGATGGATGCATACATAACATGTAAGGCATCAGCAAGTCCATAAGATTTAAAATTACTTCATGCCACCATTTTATACATGCAGATAAACTGTCAGCTGTAAAGATGCCTGAATTGGTAATGTCAAAAAGGTTAATTGTAGATTGTTATGCAGCGGCAGGGAAACTGTTGACACTCTCCAACCATCTCCTGAACTGCACGTCCTTTGAGACCATTAAACATGACCCAGTGTCCTCTGTGTGGAATCTGTCTTCACTCACTCAAAATGGCTGTCTCTGGTGATCGATCCCTTTGGTCCAATTCCCACTTCGTACGCAGAAGACATGTGGTTCTCATAAACAATGTAGCCATCTTCCTCCTGAACCATTAAGCAAGAAAAGACTGGATTAACGACATTGCATGCCTTACAAGAACTATGGGCACTTATACATTTTTTATTTCAAAATTAGGTACCCCAGCTTAATTGAATAGCAAAAGGTACAACAAACATAATTTAACCCTGATGGGATGAAAACTAAAACATTTGAAAAAAAAATTGCCTCCCACCATTCCAGCTCTCTGCACATTCTACAGAGAGTTGTTACTTACAGATATCCTGGTCCCGCAGCGAGTCACTGCAAATTGAAAGATGGTGAAGGCGGCTGTGACTGCGGCCGGACTGCAGGACTCGTGCCCAGACTCCAGCAGACTCACGGTCTCCACATCAATGTGCGGCAAAGTGGCATCTCTGGCCACAACCACCACAAACTGCCCATCCCTGGTGCACTGCAAAGTCACTGAGGACAAGGAAACATTGCATTAGTAAACCATAGATGTGGACTGGAATACTTCAGTTACCATAAGAATGATTTGAAAAATGCATTTAACAAGTTGACATTACAAGATGTGACGGAAGACATGTGGCATTATTACAATAAAATATTTGGATATTTAAAATGTCATTCAAGTTATATTCAATAGACTCTTGAAACTAGTCAAATGTGGGTGTAACCAATTTCCAGCTTCAAGACAGTCAAAACTGCCAGGAACCTTTGGTCTTAAAGTGACTCCGTTGAAGATTGAAGACTAATTCTTCCATCTGCTCCTTTCTGATCATGGAAGTGCTTAAGAATTAAGTATTTTTTTCATAAAAGAATAACCATACCTAGCTGTAAGTCAACACAATATTGAAAACTAGTATCCTCCAGAAAGTCTTAGTTCCAAGGCCAATAAGGCATGACAATTTAACTAAAAAGTCAATGCCCAAAAATATGAATTCCTACATTAAAGTGACTGGCCTTTAATTAAAGTCTAAAGTTGCCGCTAACACGTCAGAAAGTCTTCAAAAAGAAATGAAAGTCAAATCAAGTAAACCTACGTCAAAGCTTAATGCCGACTTTGACCAATCAAATGGATTCTGGCGACCCTTAACAGGTTTCTGATTTCAACCACCATTTAAAAGTGTGGAAGCCTGAAATATGCAACCGCAGAACATGCATTTACAGGTGTTTGCAAATAAGGGAGGGGAAAAAAAGAACACTTTGGCATCTGTGACCGCTCATTTAAATTTGCATTCCAGTCGCAGCCCTAGACAGAAGGATACCTGCTTTCCCATAGTAGCACCGCTGGCCATCATAGCAGCAGTCTATGCTCTGACACTGCTCTGGGGTCACATCCGAGTGTCCGCACCGGATCCTCGCCCTCTCCTCGACTTGGCACCGGTCCTGTGCCGGCGGGACGACTGTAAAAGAATTCTTGGGTTGTTGAGTCGCCGTCGTCGTCGTAATCCAGAAATTTTTCTGAATATTACCGGGCATCAATTGGCTGTGCACATCACGAGCCAAGACGACAATCACAGCACCAACTAGAATTGTGAGAGCTTCCATTGTGGTGCTTGACTGTGGCGATTGCAGGGCAAAGAGGACCACTGGCATCTGCTCATGTGAGTGGCTTTTGTGGTGTGATGGATGAGGTATAAGGAGTGCCAGCCTCTCATCATTAGTGCTTAATTGTGAACCAGACCTGCAGAGTCAATCAGCAAACAGGTGGAGTGCTCAGCGGCATCCCAATTCAAAAATAAATACCTCCGTCCTTATCTTTCCATGTCCTTTGAAATTGACCTTTTATGAGGCAGGTTTGCAGGTTCGGTCAAGTGAAAAATGAGAGCCTTTTTATGTATTTAACAGCTACTTAGGATAAAAGTCAATGCCACCAAGGTTAATGAAAAGTAGAAGAAAGGATAAGGATGCACAAGGAAGGAGTTTTTATGAATTTTGGATGCAGCCCTCGTCTATCTGCAGAAAATCATGTGACCCAAGAGGCAAACCTTTGAGTGGAACAAAACAGAGTCATATTTGTAATGGTAGTGGATAGGGATTTAGGAATAATGACTTGTTTTATTGTAGGAAATTATTCTGGGTTTAAGCCGGCGATGACTTCTGAAAAGACTGCAGTGAAAAATATGTTGATTAGTAATGGTTCTGGAGAAATGTGGGGCTGGGTTGCAGCTCAAAGTTGTTTTAGTGGTTGATTAGTCAGCAGCTATTTCTCTTCAGATTACATTATGGCGATTAAAAAATAAATTAATACAATTTATGTGTTTTAAATATGCTGACTGAAGGTTTCCTAAATGTAGTCATAATTTTGATGTATGTATATGAGGTAACTGTCTTTGATATAAAAATGACATAAAAGTCTGCAAACTGCTCTGGCTAATTATGATCAATCCATCACTGTCCTGCGCCTTTTTAGAAGTTCTGTCTGCATAATGGTGTAGGACTGATGCTTATTTTCTACTAATCAAATTTTTTTTTTATTGTACATATTTATATCCTGCACAGACTATATTTTTAACCTTAACATGTTTGCACATTTCTGTCTTTTGCGAGTGATTCTATCCTTGCCAAATGTGATGTAAATTTCTCAAGTGTGAGATCAATAAAGTCTATCTTATCTTATCTTTCTACAGAAATACAGAGACAATGCAAATTCATATTTACATGAGATTCATACAGATAAGAAATAAAACCTTTAGCTGTAATTTATTCTCGTGTTATTTCTACTGTACGTTCAGTAGAAGATTTGAAATGTACTTTACTTCCTTTGACATTGTTGCAGCCATTGTTATAGATATATTTGCAGTCTGTGTAATCAACCATCATTTCGATATCATTATTTGTCTTGTCAACGTTGATTTAGTTTCTGCTCTAGTACAATACATCAGCTATTCCTCATATTGTGAAACATACACATTTTATTTCCGGTCCAGTGTTATTCAGAGTTCCTGTCCATACTTGGCCGATCACTCCCGCACCTCTGAGCCTCTAACTAAATTTTTCATTTCTTTCTCTTTTGAAACCAATACAAGTGTGTGGAGTTCTGCCCGGGAAGCATCCGTCATGGCGCACTCTGCTTCAACTCACACACAATGGATTTTCTAACACCTCTGGCTCGTGGTGCATTCACTGTCTCCAGTTTTGCTGTGGGATGAATGTGCTGTATCATTTCCGGCTGCTGCCCACCTGTGACTGCTCCCCTCATGTTTCCACGCAGATGTATGGGCGCTACACACAGGACCTGGGTGTGTACGCCAAAGAGGAGGCCGCACGGCTCCGGGACGATGGAGGCGGCCTGCGGAGGACCACCAGCGTCAGGAGCCGAGCCGTGGACCTGCTGCAGTACGAGAAGGACCCTTGCGCCAAGTGCCAAAGTAAGTCAGAACAAATGTCATCCCAATATTGTCAGTCTGATCATTTAATCTAAGTAAGTAAGTAATCTCTATTTATATTAGGGCTGGGCGATATGGCAAAAATAAAAACATCTCGATTTTATTTCCTGTTGGACGATTTTTGTCACAGAAGACAGACTTTGCCCTTAAAAATATGTTTTGATCTTTCCGCTCAATATTCAAGTATTGCAAGTATAATTGATGTGATGCTAGAAGTCTCACAATATTCCTTAATTCGATTTCACGATTTTAAAATTTTTCACAAATTCGATTTTTTCAAAAGCCGATTAATTGCCTAAATTCGATTTATTGCCCAGCCCTAATTTATATAATGCCTTTCACAGAGTCACAAAGCGCTTGACAATTGTTGTGAGCTTTTGTGTCTCACTCCACACAGAGATGGAGATGTTTCGTCCCCTTTTCAAACTGTATTTTTCAAAATGAATGTTTTTATTCTGCCGTATGAAAACATAAGTTTGAAAAATAACGTCTTACTTAATTACTTAGATTGGATCGGGGTCATACAGGAGGCACATGCCAGACCTATTTTACATGTTTTTAGTGTTATGGGAAACCTGAGCACCCGGAGGAAACTTACACAGACACAGGGACAACATGAAAACTCCACACAGAAAGGTCTTATGGTGGAATTGAACCCTGGACCTTCTTGCTGTGAAGCACAAGAGCTGCGTGTCATACTTCCCTTCATTTTGGATTCATCTAAATGTTGTTTTTGCCTCAATATTTCTACAGCTTGTCATAAAACTTTCCTTTTACATTGGCACCTGACATGCAACTTCTCTCAGCAAAGTAACACGGTTTTGCAGTAGTCAAATAATCTCTGTATTCATTTTTACTTTTATGTTGACTTTTGTGCATGGTTTCCTCCGGGTGCTCCAGTTTCCCCTACCACTAAAAGCATGTAAAATAGGTCTGACTCTGACTTCAATGTGTGAGGATGGTGATGGCCTGGGGCTTTGATGCCTCCGTGTGTTCTGCGTCTCGCTTCTCACTGTGTGGAGGCAAAGGTTATTACCGCTGCATCATAATCGTAAAGAACTTTGGTCTTGTGTGATCTTGGTCTCTGAAACGTGCTATATAAATAAAGATTGCTTACTTACACTTTGGGCAGCTGGTGTTATTGAAGATCGAAATAAAGCTGACATTGACATCTGTATTTGAGTAAGGTACATGTTTTAAACGCAACTGAGCGTCATTTCAAGTAAAGCATTAACGTAATCTCTTCCAGAAGGCACCTTTAAATACAGGTTTATATGAAAAACAGTCAAAACGAGAAGATTTGGAACAGATTAGATGAAGATGTTTAAGCTTTGAAACCGGAAAACTTTAAATTCACAAGTTTAAATCACATTGTTCTCTAGTGCTTTACTTAGAGTTGAAATTTCGTACATTTTAGACGACCAATCAATCCAAGTAGTTCTTTATTTTTGCATCCTCTTCAAACCTGCATGTTGAAACTTCAAACATTAGAATATTGTTCATGAGTTCATTTATTGATGTCATTCAGATTAAACTGTAAAATCAATATATGATATGGACTCATTAGATGCACAGTGACATATGCCAAGACCTCATTTGTTATAATTCTATATGATTATGGCTCACAGTTCAAATTAATCACATTTTCTGAAATGCTTTATTTGGGGATTTTACAAGCCATGAGCCATAATTATCAACATTACAACCAATAAAGAGTTTGCGTATAGAGAGTTTGTCAAATATGAGTTCCACATCGTAAGTTAAATTACAGAAGAAAATAGACTTTGTGTGTATTGAGCAGAAACAGAGCATAAATGAATGAAGGATGTAGGGCTACAATCACTCAGATGGTATTTGATTAAAGGGGACATAACAAAACAAAATAGGCCTAAAAATATACTTTTCACATCTATTGATCCCATTATAATTGTTTGAATCTTTTATACTCTCTTACAACTTGGAAGCAGTGCAAATGCTCTCCCCTGACCATTAATATATTATTCTTAGTCCTTGACATGCATAAATCAGCAGTATTGCACTGGCATTTTTGCTCAATAGGAATAAAAATCTGCTGATTATTAATTTCATGTGTGGAAAGAAGCCTCCATTACGAAGTAAGTCAGTGATAGAAAAACAGTCCGATGTGCAAAAAGTTCAGATATGCAAAGACGTTCATATTGGCAGTGTGAGCTGATGTATTTTATGTATCAAACTAAAGGGACGGAGGAGATTAGCTTCTGCAAAATGAATCTTTTTAGACTGATGTCTCCAGGATCAGGTCAGGATGAGCCGTTTTTCTGAACATGATGTTTTGGTCTTTATGTCTGTTATAGATGTGAAGCTACAACACTTTTTATAACAAACAGTGGAAAATTTGAACACAGAATTCACGTCCCAATAATTCGTAATGACCATGTTTAGATTATGTTATTAGTCACAAATGAGCATTGCCAAATCATTGCGGCGAGGAATTAAGCAACTGTTAATTCAACTCAATTCAATGTATTTTTGTTTTGCCCTATATCACAACTGGAGTTATCTTGGAGGACTTTACAAAACCGTTGAATTCGCCAATCCAGATCAGAGAATCAAACTGTTCAAACACAAGAAATGCAATTATAAAAAACACAATTTTTTTTTTTTGATCTAACCTTTATTTAACCAGGAGAACCTAATTGAAATTAATAATCTCTTTTTCAACAGTGTCTTGGACAAGAGCCAACACCTTCAACATTAATTTACAACATATAGAAATACAAGCTACAATAAAAGCTAAAAGATTGAGATAATACATGAAAGCATAAACATCAAATGAAACTGATAAGGGGCAGATGAGTATAAATGTTGAATGTCAAGTGACCGGGATCACAACCGTCTTTTGACCAAGCAAAGCAAAAAAAAGCATCTGTTTATGGACAGAACCTTTCAGGAGTCACCACGCTTTCCTTATACACACAGAATTAGACCATTTGTTAAATTCTGCGTATACAAGGCAAGCAGTTTTTTGGCATATGACCGAACGTGCAGACTTTGGTGTGGGAGTTTGCATGTTCTCCCTGTGTCTGCGTAGGTGTCCTCCAGGTGCTTCGGTGTCCTCTGCCTCTAATAACATATACAATATAGGTCTGACATGTGCCTCCTTTATGGCGACCTCACTTCCATCACTGAGAGAAGTGAGAGGACAAATGCCCACGATTGAAAAGCGCAGTGTGACCTTGGTCTGTGAAAAGGCGTTATATAAATAGAGATTACTTACCTACTATTGCATTCCACATTTTAGATGAATGCACATTTAGAACCACAAGGAATCGAAATGGGTCTTGTTTGTTTGAGAAATTACCCACTAAAGAAACAGACCAATAGCTATAAAAAAATATCAATCGTGATGTATCAATTTTTCACAATATACCACTTTTCTATTATAGGCAGATGCTGTATTTAGAAATAAACATTTATTTGCATGTTGTTCAGTATATTTGACACTGTAGAACTAATCTGAGAATATGTTTTAACTTTCTTCCTGTTCTTCATGTCATTCTGAAAGTGCACAGAGGAGTTTGAGGTCACATGTTGAAGAGCAGCCTCTATACTTCCAGTGCCATTAGTGCCGAGACATTTGTCCAGAAGGTCACCAGAGAGACGCGTAATAGAAAAAGAAGTGGCTGAGGTGGGAGTCTGCAGACCTGGTGCAGCCTTGTAAAACCTCTGTTTCAATGAGCGAAAATGTTTGTGCTCTACAGGTACACCGTGACCTCCATAGAATATAGGACAAGCTCAATGTCAAGCTGAGCGAGCGCCCTCTGCTGGACACGAGTGGTGCTGGCGGGGAGAATGTCAGACTTGTTTTATGTCCAGTCTCCCCAGTGACTGCACATGAAGGAGTGGCACAAGACAGCACGATTTAAAATGGATGAATTGAGTAAGACTTTGGGATTTGCAGTCTGTTGAATTATTGAGGATGAGGTGGGAAACATGCCGCTCACTGATCTCGAACCAAACAATGCTTTTGTAATTGGGTTAAAGCATGGACTCATTATTACAGCTGGTACCTATCTTTCAAACCACAAAAAAGAGTATAGTCATAGTACCTACTACTAGTTCCTTGCTCTCCAAACAGTTTAGTTTTATCACTAGCTTTTGCATTGTATTTCTTTTTTGTCCATTGTCTATGGCTGTCACTCATAGATCAGCTTTTTCAGACAGATGAGTGAAAAAGGGAGAACCAGCCTCGTTCTGCCAATAGCTCTCAGCCCACAGCGTCTAATAGTGGTTGTATACAGTACATTTAAGAATTTTTGTGATAAGAGGATTTATGGACATTTATCAACATTCATGGACATTAGTCTCTCCCTATGGACCAATACATATGTGTTCTATGTTTTTTGTGTCTAAACTGTTGATTCTCTGATCTGTGTTGGGGATTTCAACGGTTTTGTTAAGTCCTCTGAGATAACTAATGTTGTCATTTAGGGCTATACAAGAATACATTGAATTGAATTGATTTGAATGAAGACAACCTGTTCTGGTATGATTCTGACTATTACAAGACTCTTTCTGTTAGGGTTAGAGCCTGTGGTATGTATTAAAAAAGAAAGGTTCCGCAGCTTTAAATTATTTGTTGGTATACTTATTTTACAGTGGGGAAATGTGTCCCATCTTTACTTGCTCTGAACCTGCATAATTTAAAAGTGATGCCTAATGGTTTGTTTGAGGCAAATTGTGGCAGTTTTCATACATAGAATTGTTTGATTAGTTTTAACAATGACTTCAAACTGTAGGAGGCACAAAACATTATGATTGTGTTTAAGAGCAAACTCTGGGGTGGCGATGTGGAACTAAAATCCCCTTCCCTCTCCAGTCTGGGAAACAGATTTATCTCTTGTTTGGACAGTGCCCACATGAGAAAACCAAGACCATGAATTTTGTCGGTGTTGATCACACATTTGACACCTCTGCAGTTCGAAGCCAAGATCCATCCGAGAACGCCACTCAGCACTCTCTAATTCACCCAGAAGTCCATCGCTGGATCAGGCCACCATAAATTTGACTCTGGGGGAACATTTATCCGGCCTGTTACTTTTCTGATCCAAACAGAGAAACACAATAATTAAAAGGACCGATATTATTACTGAATATGACCTTTAATGGTTTGACATAGTATAAAGGATGTGACTCGTGCTGTTTTCCAAAACGTCCCTTTGTGTCTTTGCCCTTGTGTCTGTGATCAGATTAGAGCAGGAGTGATTGCAGCACAGGTCGCAGTGACAGCGCAGTAACCGAGCCATTTAAAGGCATCACATTCAGATCAGGACCTGATGCGCGCTTCTATAAATCAAGAGCCTTGTATTTTTAGACTCAGTGCCTGTTGGTCTTTTTAGCGCTGGAGTGATAGCCCTCACATCGAGTGAAGTGGGAGGTTTCTGTAGTGTTTTCCTCTTATTTGTTTGTGTGGGAACATTTTTGCTGTGGGTGCTGCAGTGTTCGTGTGCCTCTGTTCAGATCAGTAGCTTGTTGAACGCAACGGCCTACACACTCAAATAACAATCGCTTTTAGCTGCCAAAAAAGATGGACTGAATCATGCACTGGCTAGAGCTACTGTTATATAAATGTCTGCTTAACGCTAGTTTGTTTGCCATACAAATTGCTTCTTGTTCTTGTAGTACATTTTTTCTTGAAGGTGATGTAATGGGAAAGTCAGACATTAGACTTCACAGACGGATGTCTGCGTGCATTGAATAAACCACTTTAAGTTTCAGTGAAGCAGAATGTTATTTTTCTTTTCACGTAACATGACCAGAGCATGTGTGTCTCCCGTGTGCTTCACAGTGTGTGCGTCTCGATGCCAAAAGTTCCTCCTTTCGAAAGTGGGGGAAGACTGGATCTTTCTCATTTTGTTGGGACTGCTGATGGCCCTGGTGAGCTGGGTCATGGATTATGCCATAGCTTTCTGCCAAGAAGGTAAGAGAGTAAATGCTGAGGCACATGATTAGCAGAGCAGAAGTGTTAAAAATTAATTAGTATTTCATGCAGGGATCTGTTTGCCAATTTGCACCCCTATAAATGTGTGCGCCAGGCTGTCAACACACATTAGCTCACCAGTGGATATTTACTTCATTCATTCTACAATCGTATTGCTTCTATAACAGTCAATATAAAAGAGCCAAATGTTGTTTGTCCTCTTACTAGTTTAATAACACAACTACATTACAATTACAATTACAAAACATGACCATCACAATGCCAACCTTTACCAGTGTCCATGAATACTGATGACTGTAACGATTCTCTGCTCAGGTTTAGATACAGACCTGAGAACTGGTATCCCAAAAGAGAGACTCATGTGATGCTAATTCTGCTTTATACCAGAATACTCAGCCTGAGAACAAAAATATAAAATGTTTACATGAATAAATGAGACATAACCATTTCATCAAAAAAGGCCATATTTGATTTATTATGTTGTCGATCTAGTGTCTGTGGATAAAAGATGTACTGTAGGGAATATAAAATACATTTCTTCTTTTCCTGTTTTTTACTTTTTGAGTGGAGTTTGCATGTTCTCCCTCGTGTCTGAATAGGTTTCCCGCTGGTGCTCCAGTTTACACTATACACATGTACAGTAGCCCCCTGTGACTTATTCAGATTCAGACTCATTTTATTTACCATTTGTAGTAAAACTACATTGGGATATATTTGCAAAAGTCTCCAGTGTGCACAAGACAAGTACAAAAATAAAACAGGGTTAAAAGTACAGAAATAAAACAAAATAAAAAAGTGCAGGAAACAATTCTTCTGGATTTTTAATATTTTTATATATTTATAAATATTCTTGTGAGTATTATTATTTCATGATTCAAGATTCAGTTGTTTGGCCGTTTGCAGTAACACCACATTCGACTACCTGAATACTCATTTGGACATATTTTTTCTTTCAGGTTTTCCACTTACACTATCCTTATGCTCATTTTGTTTTTGACGTTGTTCCGGCATTAACACAGTATCTGTAGAGCACCTGTGAAGGAGCGTGCTCTTCCATTGAGGCGGTATCTTGTGTCTCTGCAGCACAGAAGTGGATGCACGTTGGGCTGGGCAGCAACCTGCTGCTACAGTACATCGCCTGGGTCACGTACCCCGTAGTGCTCATCACTTTCTCGGCAGGATTCACTCAGATCCTCGCTCCTCAAGCCGTCGGTAAGGGGCTGTATGTAAACCCTCCGCACCATGGATCCATCACATTACTGGCGTGTGTTTGATTATTCTAATTGGCTCCCTAATGCACGGAAAGGCCTTCAAGGACACAGGCGATATTCCTTTCAGTGGTCACGTCGGCAAAAAAAAAAATCCATAAAGTGATGAGATGGCCATACACAAAACTACAGTATATGAATATCAATCAGCTTTCTTCATCTGCTCCTCCCTCTAGGTTTAACTTATGTCTCTCATCAGCGTCTTCCAATAATTGCTTTCCTTCAACTTACCTTTCCTTGTCACTCTGTCCTCCCACCGCCTTGCAGGATCAGGCATCCCCGAAATGAAGACCATTTTACGAGGGGTGGTGTTGAAGGAATACCTCACTTTTAAAACATTTGTGGCCAAAGTGATCGGTCTGACCTGCGCTCTGGGCAGCGGGATGCCTCTGGGGAAAGAGGTAGAGCTTTTTATCCCTCCTGCTGTCTGTAATATATTCAACTCATTACTCCATGGCTCATGACATATTGCTCCCAAGATTTCTCATGAAATTCCCAAGATCTGAAAAATCATTGCTTGTTCTGTCTCATTAAAGTCGAGTGAAAATAAAAATGTGATTTGCAGCTAATGGCGCATCTTGGTTCCATTTGGAGGAGTGATAAAATTGTTGGCAAATTTATTCAAGCAAGATGTCTTTATATATTTGAGTGCCACTGTTTTACAGAGTGTCACTGTTGTGCTCCCAGCCGTGCGCTGTAACAAATGTATCTCCGTTATCTTTTTGGCAGGGCCCTTTCGTGCACGTGGCCAGTTTGTGTGCCGCTCTCCTCAGTAAATTCATGGCCGCCGTGTTTGGAGGTATTTATATGGTGAGGACAAAACACAGAAATTGCTCAAACTTTGGGGACATTTTTGCATTAAGAAATGCTATAAAGAGACATTATGCAAATCAACTTTGTATAGCTTTATAGCAACATTATTCCTTCACCAAAAACAGACCTGCAGTTTGCTTCAAAGCTAATATCAGAAACGTCTGGCACAAACATGTAACTCCGCCCCTTGTCATCACACAGTTGCTTTCTACTGTTTTAAAACAAAAGTATTGTCCATAAATTGCGTGTTGTTATTTGCAGCTGGCCAAATTCAATTACTTCCTCCGGTGGTAGCATAGAGAGATATAAATGTTTTTCTTTTATCCATAATGCTTGTTTAACGATATATTTTCAACTTGAGATATTGTTTCACATTGAAATGACAAAGTAATTATTAAAAATTCTTGACATTTTAAATGGCCAAAAAAGATAATATTATTTATATATATGTTTTGACCCTTCGCAAGGTAGATTCTTTGATGAATGCTTGGCAAAAGCACGACGAAAGCCACCCCACGTACACGTCAGGAAGAGGAGCATTCAAATCTCACCAGCAACTCAGAAAGATATTAACCACACACCGGGGATTCTTTACAGCTAGAACCCAAGTTATTATGAGAAAGCAACTCATTAAAACACAGCTGCTGTAACCTATGGGACCTCGGTGGGATCTAGTTAAATGACATTGGAGAGACGCTAATAGGAATGGTGATAATAACAATACAGAAAGATTAACAACCTTTAAAGAGCCTACCGAACGGCATATTGTGCCGCGTTTACAAAATTCTAGTACAAAATACTTCCAAAACAGGACAAGGATCTGGTGGTTATCAATGAGATAGACATTCACAGCACAGCATCCTTTAAATTGTATATTGTATAGATCAGAAACACAATATCTCCATTTCCAGAGGTTCTGACCATTAAGACCAGGTATAACATGCTTTTACAAGTGGAGCTGAAGTTGGCTGGATGACACACTTTGGGATAACAAGGCTGAGGGCCACGGCTGCACTGATCCTTCAATAGTCGCCTTCAACATATATTTCTGACACAAGTATTCAAAGTGCTATTGATTCAACTCATATGTAGCTTGAAATTGCGTTTTTTTTAAAGATAAGATCAGATCAACTTTATCGATCTCACAATGGAGACATTTACAGAAACTTCACATTTAGCTCCCCCTCTTTCACGCACAGAAGTCTTAACACAAAAGCCCCATTTGAAATCCTTTGACTCCTCTTTCAGGACACAGTGTCACTCATGCGGGACCACCCCACGGCCCCCCTCCTCAGCTTTGTCCGGGCCTAATCTGGGCCTGTATCACTTCGCGCTCTCTCTCCTCCTCTGCACCTCAAGCATCTACAGCATGGAGCAAGATAGACAGTGAAGACGCGGCCTCCGACAGCACCGAAAAAAACATTAACCTAATCAAAGCGGGGGACATGTTGATTTGAGGGATCAGTGGAATGTTTGCAGAAGCCCACTTTGCAGCCTCTATAACACTCTGGGCCGGGGATAATAAGCTGGAGCGCATCCAAGATAAAGAATAGAGAGGAGGAGAAGGAAAAAAAAAGGTAATTTCTACACTCACATCTCTTTTTTCTATCTCTCCCTGGCTGTTTTCGATAAAGGAAGAGCCCTGTGAGGGGAGCAAGGTATGAAAACACAAGTCATACCATCAGCATTCGTTAAAAAAAAAAACGCGCTGTCCATTTTGCACGCTGGCGCAGACTGATGCCTTTTCATTTGTGTTTGGATGTGCTCAATGGAGTGTCACCACGACGTATCGATCGCTGTCCCGCTTGGTTTTTGTACAAACATCTCACTGCATAGCGTCAACACTCAGCCCTGGGTTTTCAATTAGGCGACCAGAGAAGTATGATTAGATAAGTGCATCGCGTCTTGATGGTAATTGCTTTCAGGATTCATTTGGCTCTCCGTGCTTTGTTCAATCTGCTCATTTTGGTTTGTTAAAAGTGCGGGGTAACGCGCAACACATAGCTACCAGATTAAGATGTATACAACTATTTTTGCATTAATATGAATATTTGATTCAAATTATCAAGTGTTGGTAGACTTAAGTTGGTAGACTTGACTGAGGTGACTATCGTGGACCAAAACAACACTTATTTGGTTCTTTCACATCGCCACAACAGTGTGCGACAAGTGACCCAAAATTAATAATAATAATGCATCAGTTTTATATAGCGCTTATTTGGACACTCAAAGATGCTTCACATGTTATTATTCTTTCACTACATACACTGTGGTGATAATCTACTACTGTAGCCACAGCTGCCCTGGGGCATAATAACGGAAGCAAGGCAACCTGACCCCCACCAACCACACCAAACAAATGTACACCGGTAATCACTTCTTTTGAAACAGATCTGTGATGAAGTGAACTGAGTCCTGTAACTTAGGTTAAGGTTAGGTGTTTATGTAATCTTTTGAAGTATTTTTGCAGTAGGGCTGAGTGACCTGACCCTCTCATAGTTGATGTCATTGTATCTTGTTCCAATTAATCACAATCATGTTTGTTTTGTTTTGTGTCCTTATAGTTTACTGACAAGGTTTGTACTACAAATATGCTCAACTTTTAAAGGTGGGATATTTTTTCTAATGAAAGAGTGCTTACTAACCCTCTATACTATGACTATTGTAATTGTCACAAGCAAGATTATGACACAATTTTAACCCGAGCCCTAATTTGTAGCAATGGCTGTTTCATTAGAAATGAGCATGAGGTCCACAGTGCATGTGTCCACCATGCTGCAGCTGTGTGTGCACGTGTCTATGCTCTTGTGGCCTCTGCACAGAACGAGCTGCGGAACACGGAGATGCTGTCAGCCGCCTGCGCCGTGGGGGTGGGCTGCTGCTTCGCCGCCCCCATCGGAGGTGAGACAACAGAACCACCTCCTCACAACACCATCTAATTATGTCAGATAATTACACCACACTGTTCACCAAGATGCCTTAAATCACAATAGTAAACTTGATCCCCATTCACATTACATTTTTCTATGGTTTGGTGGATCACTTTTTGAGTCAGTCGACAGTAGCTCAGTTGGTAGAGCCTCGGCCTTTGAGCATGAAGGTCGTAGGTTCGAATCTACCACGAGACCTACTTCAAGACTCCCACTGATGACTGCTCTCGTCGTGTCCTTGGGCAAGACACTTAACTCCACTTTGCCCATAAGCCCCCACTGGAAGATCATGGCTTCTGTGGACTTACCACCTGCAGGAGGATCAGTGAGGGGCTGGTGCTCTGTGGACTGACTGCCACCCCCCAGACCCAGAAATGGATTAAGGGGAAGCAAATGGATGGATGGAATTTTTGAGTCAAAAATGTATACACCTCATTGGCGCATCTCTACCACTTGATTTTAGGCACATTTACCAACAAGCTGCATTTGGTACAGACCTTTAATCAAAAAACTAGGGGTTTAAAAAAAAAAAATGTTGTTATTAGTGCTCCTAAATCCAAAAAATACTGATAAAGTGAACATCAAAGGGTTAAAGTTTTTGAGCAGGGTTTTTATCATATGCATGGCAATATTGGAATGTATCTTCATGAGCATTTGTGGACATCTAACAACATTTACAAACATTGGTCATGCACCCCTTATGAACCCATGTGCTTTTTATTATTGCATTTACTGTGTTTGATTCTATGATCTGTGTTGGTGAATCGACAACTTTTTAAAGTCCTCCGAGATAACAAATTTAGGTCTATATACAACAATAGATGGAATTGAATTAATATAAACATTCCATATGTTAGATAAACTTAAGTTCAGAAGCCATTAAAGTCTATCTTATCTTATCTTATAGCTCTCTTGGGTGTTAATGTCAGGTGTTTTTTCACATTTTTGCACACAATTGAGTGTATCTGAAATTTGCGATGTTGAGAAGAATAAATGAAATTGAATGATCAAACATGTCCACTGAAAAATCAATTCAAGAGGAGGAGTGGGTCTGAAAGGGGCTGTGAACAAAACACCAGAGCACCCTCATTCACTGACCCTCAATCATGAAAAACACCCGTCACAAAACCTTGTCTGGCCTTTGCTGTCACCATTAGACAAAACTGGTGCTTTCATAAACACACATCACAATTCGGTCCAGTTATTTTACCTGGAAAGTTGCCAGAACAATGCTATGCGAAAAATGCCAGGGAGATTTCTTGGAGAGCTGATGTTGTGAGATCAATGCAGATATGAGCTCATAAATACTTGTAAATGTATGGTTAGAACGCATTTTAGTGAACAATTCTGTAAATGACATACAAAGCCGTTACTTATGTACAGTTCCAGATACTTGCTGGACTATTAATAGCACTGTATATAAACTACACCAGCTTATTTGAAAAGAAAGTACATATTGTCTACATATACAGGCCAAACTTGAGTATAAGCCGCAGATTTTCATACAATTTTGATGTAACACTGTAACTGATCACATGATTTAAATACATGTTTAACGCTCTGTTCAATTGTTATGGATAAAGCTAAAGATAAATAACGCGATGAAAAACATTACCTCACGTTAGCATGCTCACCTTAGCTGTTAGCTTCCATGTCGGGACTCATTCACCAATTTATTTTGACAATAAACCTGCTGCTAAACCTGGAAAGGGTTAGTGAATGAATGAATAAGTCCCTTGTATTTTGTGCACTTCCTTGTGTGGGCTTTCTGCTGTTCACATAAACCACAGATGAGAGAGCATGTTGGAGCTCACCAGAAGGAGCTCTAACATTAAAAAAATACATGAATTGGCCGCATCACTTTATACGCTGCAGTGGCCTGTGATAGTGGACCGATATGGCACTAGATGATGTAAATATAAAAATGTCTACTGTTATTTTTAATAAGGCAGGAATTATGCAACTGTTTAATGTTTATTTGCGATGTGCCTTCCTTCTGTCGCAGGGGTGTTGTTCAGCATTGAAGTGACGTCCACGTTCTTCGCAGTGAGGAACTATTGGAGGGGCTTTTTCGCCGCCACCTTCAGCGCTTTCATCTTCAGAGTGTTGGCCGTGTGGAACCAGGAGGAAGGTACGGCATCGAACCATCAATCAGCGCCGTTTTGATTCATTGAGGGATGGGGAAAGTAACCCATATTAAAGTTGGGGTACCTAACTTTCAAGCCATAAAACCTGCATCTCCGTATTTATCTATTTCACATGCATACGTTCTCTGTCACATCTTCAGATCAGTATTTTCTGACCCACACTTAGCGAATTAACTCTCGGCCCAAAGAGTCAAATAGTGACTCACATGCGACCTTTTGACAGCTATGTAAAAGTTAACACATTTATGAAAAGATAAGGAAGATAGCAGTTGTGGTCTGATTTGTAGGTTAAACTTACAAATATCCTTTACATACTTGTAGGAAAGAGCTTTTTGAGTCACTATTTGCTACTTTGGGCGGAGAGTTGAATGGCTGAGGAAGAAAAACTAGAAATTGAACTGACGTAGTTAATTTGATTAGAATGAAAAAAGAAAAAGAAAATCCTCACTCTTCCCGAAAAAGAAACAGATCTTTCAGACATATTTGTTTAGCTTTCTCGTCTCACCGCACATAGGCCCATCTGATGTGTGTTTATGATTACTCTGTATATATGTTTTTTTGGAACTGACTCATATGTGTACTATTGTGAAGCGCTTTGTGATCCTGGTCTGTGAAAGGCACTATATAAATACACTTTACTTACTTACAAATATACCGTCATATACCGTATACTATGTTGTTGTTGCTTCAGCCTTTCCCACAGCGGCTGTAAGGAACACAAATACTATAGTTTCCGTCCATCGCGTTGTCATTGCGCGCCCAGTGGAATCTTAAACATGTACTTTTCTCTGAGGTGAAATGTTGTGCTTGTCCTCAGAGACCATCACTGCGCTGTTCAAAACTCGCTTTCGTCTGGATTTTCCGTTTGATCTGCAGGAGCTTCCGGCATTCGCCATTCTGGGGTAAGCACAAAATGTGATCACAAAACACAGTGCAAGAAATTAGACTATTTTTTTCCTGCTGATTGCAAAAGTAAAGTTTAGATATGCTTCTTCTGAGAGTTCTGACATTTTGGATAAAGGAGAAACAACAATACAAGGAGACTTACTGTCAAAGAGAGTATCCAGAGATTGTGGAGGACTTTCTGTGGTTCACCTTGTAAAGTTATTTTATGATTATTGTTTGTGTGTGTAGGATCGCCTGTGGATTTGCAGGTGCTCTGTTTGTCTACCTGAACAGACACATAGTGGAGTGCATGAGGAAGCAGAAGACTATCAACAAGTTCTTATTGAGAAAGTAAGTATCACATTACTTTAATAGGTCTTTAATAATAATTGATTATTGATATTTTCACAACCGTAATAATACATTTTAGAAAACATTCTTTAGTGTTCAAAACTGTCTTTATACAGGGCAAAAATATACCAATGGGAAATTATGTGAAATGGTGTCCGGATTCAGATTAAGATTCATTTTATTTGCCATTTGCAGTGAAACCACATTGGAATACATTTGCAAAAGTCCTGTGCCTAAGACAAGTATATGAAATAATCAATTTTAAAAGTACAGAAATAAAACAGTATGTCTGGTACTTGGTATTTCTTTCATTGTCCTTGCATGTTAAGAGCCTTTTGTTCTGTTTGAATGTAATTAATATATTTTATTTGACAGAACTATTGACAATGTTAAATGCATCTCAATCGCTGGTGTCAAAACTGGAATGAGGGTTTGAAAGTGATGAATATTTAAAAAAAAGATATGTTTAAACAAAATACCTTTTAGAAAAAAAACAAGGAATTGAAATTTTCTCAGTTTTGTGCGTGGTGTCACCTGCCTGTTAAAGCCTGGTCCCGCGAGACCTCTGAAGCTAAGTAGGGCATGGTCTGGTTTGTACTGTGATGGGAGACCTCTGGGAACAACACGTGCCGCATTGTGGTAGTTGCAGTTGTAAAGTTCCCAATACTATTTATTTGCTGGAAAAACCTTTATACAGCCATATCAATCTATTAAACCTATCATCAAACAATCCCGACACAATAGCAATAACCAACATTTCCATAATACTAACAGGATTTTGATTATACGCCACAATGTCACACAAAATTCCAGGCTTTCGGTGGGAAACCTCTATTGTCGATGGCATCCTTTCTATAAAAAGCATGCTGTCCTACATCACAAAGTCACAGTTGTGGGTTCAAAGTGGGCCAGTCGATCACATCACGCAGTATATTTAGAATCCTCTCATTTGAAGTGAGTCCATGAGCTTTGACAGTCTCTAACGTAGCTGCAGTCCCTCTCTTCCTGTCAGGCGTCTGCTGTATCCGGCTATGGTCACTCTGCTGGTGTCCACTCTGACGTTCCCCCCGGGTTTTGGACAGTTCATGGCTGGGCAGGTGAGAAAACCCTCCACTTATCTTCTGCTGTTGCTACGAGAAACAAATGAAGGCCGACAGCTGTGTGTGAAGAGCACGGGCCTAGGGTCAAGCATCATTCCTTGCTCCTCTTAGTCACTGATGCGAACTGCCGAGACTAATGAGCAGAGCAGAAAGGTTTAGGAGTACATCTACACATACTTTTTGGTGTTGGCCCAGCAGCATAAGAATGAGCTCACATGGCTGGTCAAGCATGAAGACGTCTAAAAGCAATTATGTGAGAGATATATATATAGGCAGCTGCAGTGGTATCCGAACACACAAAGTAAGTGACAGAAATGTGATGTCAGTATTCGAGAGTGCAGCCTCAGTGAAATGTTGAGCTGCTTTTCCAAAACTGTACTTTCCTGGTTTTATTTAGAAATGCAATAGTCATCGTAAATCAAAATTCCTGATAGTTTGAGCAGAGGTTTTCAGTTACGACTTTTAGAAAACATTGTTCCTCTTGGGGTATAGTTTTCAATATACCCTTTAACCCTTTAGTGCTTTCCACTTTTTGAGTCACTATATCTACTTGAATCTACCTTATCGGGATATTTCTAGCACTTGGTTTTAGGCACTTTACCATCAAGGTGCATCTCAACCATTTAGTAAAGGCCTGAAACCAAAAGAAACATAAAAACAATATTTACTATATCAATAGATTGTTCTTTAATAAATGTATTGTTCTGCTATAACTAACAACATATTTTAGGGCACAATAATGATCATCTGTACATTTTTGTAAATCAATTTTCTTTATAATTCGATACAGTAGTAAGTAAGTAGTAAGTAATCTTTATTTATATACCGCCTTTTCACTGCACATCGGAGTCTCAAAGCGGTTTACAAGTGTTATTTTTGGGAGCAGGGGTGCCAGTACAGGAGGCACATGCCAGACCTATTGTACATATTTTTAGTGGTAGGGGAAACCGGAGCACCCGGAGGAAACCTACGCAGACACGGGGAGAACATGCAAACTCCACTCAGAAAGGCCCTGGTCCAACCGGGATTCGAACCCAGGACCTTCTTGCTGAGAGGCAAGAGTGCTATCCACTCAGCCACCGTGCCGCCCCACACATACAATTTGATAAGATAAGATAAGATAGACTTTATTGATCTCAAACTGGAGAAATGTACATGTCACATTGGTCATGGAGAGTCACTCAGATTATGCAAAAGACAGAAGTGTGCAAACATGTTAAAGGTTAGTAATATACAGTAGTCTGTGCGGAATATAATTATGGGGGCGACAGTTGGTAGAGCATTGGCCCATGAGCCTGCAGGTTGTGGATTCGAGCCCACCCTAAGACCTACTTCATGACTCACACTGATGTGCTGTCGTTGTGTCCTTGGGCAAGACACTTAACTCCACTTTGCCTGAAGCCCCAGCTGAAAGATCTCAGTTCCTGTGGACTCACCACCTGTAGGAGGATCAGTGAGGGGCTGGTGCTCAGTGTACTGGGTGCAGCTCTGACTGACTGCCACCCCCCCGACCCAGAAATGGATTAAGGGGAAGAAAATGGATGGAGGATATAATTATGTACAATGAAGAAGTGGCAATAACAGAAAGAGTGGCAATAGCAGTGCAGGTTTTTTCATAATTCATTATGTTTCAACTTATTGCTATTAAAAAATGATTCCCAAAGATTATCCATCTCACCAAAGTTGTTTCAGTAGTATCAATTATTTACAGTCTATGACCACAATACATCTATCAATTCATCGTCAATCCAAGCAGGTTATTGCGACAGGCCTGTTTGTGCCCCAGTCTTCCAATGATCACATGTGGCACTTGTGACAATGCAGAAATGGAAATATCCACTTTGCCGCAGGGCATGTAGACAATTTGTCCCAAAATGATCTTGAAACAGTTTGGAGTGTACAAACATGGCGCTCATTATAGCCGTCCTCTGTGCGACAGCTGACGCAGCACGAGTCGCTGGTGGCTCTGTTTGACAACCGGACGTGGTGCCGACACGGCGTAGCAGAGGAATTTGAATACAACAGCCACCATCACGGCTGGAAACACCCGCGAGTCAACGTCTTCATCACACTCATCCTCTTCATCGTCATGAAAGTATGTGCACAAGCCCCTGTTTTAAAACAATCATTAGTATGTATTAGATGCACTGACATTTTGTTGTGTTGACAGTTTTGGATGTCTGCCGTAGCCACCACCATGCCGGTTCCATGCGGGGCCTTCATGCCAGTTTTTCTAATAGGTGAGAAATTACTTGTTTCTCTTCCACCATGATGAGCTGCTTGTTCTGATGCCGTTTGATCGACAGGTGCAGCGTTTGGTCGACTTGTTGGAGAAATAATGGCAGCAGCGTTTCCTGATGGAATCCACGCCGACAACACGGTGTACCCTATAGTTCCCGGGGGATATGCAGTTGTTGGTGAGTTTGTGCAAGAGATGATGCTGTAGTTCCCCGCCAGTGCCGTTCAATTCAATTCAATGTAATTGTCTTGAATCCTCATTTACAACAGCAAAGGACATTACAAAGAGTTAGATTCGCCAACATCGTTTCAGCGAATTCACATATGTGTGCCTTTTGGAACTGGGACAGAAGCTAGGACAGCTTATGGTCCAGTAACGCTGAAGAGGTTTATGGGGCGGCACTACTTGCAGCGCTACTGTCAACCTGTCTGTCAAAAGACAGACATGGTGCCATTGGAGCTTCTGCAGATGGCCACACCCAAGGCAATTCCAATAGTGAAAAACAAAACAAAATTAGACAAAGAACCTCAGGGAGACCCATATGGAGAGAGGGATCCGCTGACACAAAAGAACAGGCTGTAGACCCAGGACTCAGGCTGCAGACCCAGGACCCAGCCTGTAGAATCAGGACTCAGGCTGTAGAACCAGCATAAGATGATCGGAATAAGAGATGAGGAGAATGTACCAACACTGCCATCTAGTGGTAAAAGCGATAAATAGTATTTTGCTATATTTATACTTATATCCAAGATGGTCTAATTGAAGGCAGGCATGTGTTAAAAGGACTTTTAACTGGATAAACAAGAATAAGAAAGCAGAAAACAGCTCTGTAATGTAAGAATGTATTTTAGCTAGCTATTTTAGTCAATTTATGCTTGATATTGGCATAACACCAGGTGTGTTTTCGATGTGGGAATAATATTGTAACATGGTAAAAAACTCAAAGTGTTGTGCGTTGTGTAAAGTTGTGTAAAGTAGAAAATGCCATGAAACACATTTGTGGGGCCTTTGTCAGGGCTCAGTGGATAGTCCGCTCAGTGGCTAGAGCCCTGTCACATAAAGACAGGAGGAATAGTAGTCCTGTCCTTGTTTTGTGCTGCGTCCAGGTGCGGCGGCCTTGTCAGGAGCAGTCACGCACACTGTCTCCACCGCGGTCATCGTGTTTGAGCTCACTGGCCAGATCTCGCACATCCTGCCGGTCATGATCGCTGTCATTCTGGCCAACGCCGTGGCTCAATCTCTGCAGCCTTCACTCTACGACTCTATCATCCGCATCAAGAAACTCCCCTATCTCCCCGAGCTGGGAATGGGACACCACGAGTAAGTGTGACTGTGAGTGCTGTGCCAATGTGCTCGTGGGATTCTTCTTCGTAAACATTTCACTTTGTAGGAAATACAACATCCGAGTGGAGGACATCATGGTCAGAGATTTGCGCTACGTCACTCTGAGCTCCACCTATCGAGACTTGCAGGAGATGCTGCAGACTGGACAGCTGAAGACACTGGCCTTGGTCGAGTCTAGAGGTATGGTTGTGTCGAGAAAGTTTATTTCTGAATCCCTTCAGATGGAGGTAAAGGAGACAGGGCTTTTTATATGATTTGTAACAATGTGGTCAGAACGGATTTGTCATCACAGAGATATAAATGACTCATGCTTAAGATATAGATATTGTAGTCAGATGCATCCAGTTTTTCAGATAACAATATTTAGCAGTAATACAAATATGACAGGGATACACAATACATTATATGCAGGTCAGGTATCACAGCTGTGAAAAGATAAGATCAAATAAATAAAAAATTAGCCCTTTAATGATTTGTTTGACTATTTGGTGGATCACTTTTTAAGTCATTATATCTACTTGAAGCTTGGAACTGAAATCTACCATATTGGGGCATCTCTATCACTTGGTTTTAGGCACTTTACCATCAAGCTGCATCTCAACCATTTTGTAGGCCTATAATTAAAAAAACTAGGGGCTTAAGATGTTTTATTATTATTGTTTTTCATTGCTTTCTTCCAGGAATGAACATTAAAGGGATAAGATATAGCAAGATGAGATAATCGTCCCTCGGTGGGAAAATGTCAATGTCATAGTTGCGCACATTACATCAGAATAGAAGGAGAAATAAGAGCTCTCAGATTATGCACACATCAAACAAGATCTATTATTGAAGATAATAAAATAATAAAATATTAAGATAATAAACTCTGGAGCTGTAATTGCACTTGGGTCAAGGATAAGTCACGTGTGGAGTACACTGTAGTTAGCAGCAGTCGTGAGATTTCCCATTTACAAATTGGTATAGTACTTTAGCAGCAAAGAATATAATCAGATAAACAATAGTAATGATAGCAGTAGGTAAGGTGGCTAATATTGAATTATCATAATAACAGATGAATATGAAATATAAGTAATAAACATTATAGCAGTTAAAGTTATTGTTGGAACAAATAGGGACAAGGGCTGGATTAGTTTTGTAAAGCCAACATTCAGTGCATGAAAAATTGTATTTAAAGCTCTATAATCTTCAGAATATAGCACTTTGATTTAACCGCATGTAACCTGTTGTATTAAAATAGTGGTGAAGTGTCCCGTTTGTGAAGAGAGAAAATGGGGACAACCAAGAAGTCAAATTAGGACTCTCTAAAAATGTCGCATTTCAATTTGGAGCAAGCAAGCCTACCCCTAACCCTTATCCTGGTGCAAAATTATACTATATATTGATTGCATTTTTTATGTTGAATGTGCAATCTATTTCACAAATTTCATTCATTTTGTTGTTACTTTTGCTGCTTTTCCCCAGTGAACCTTTGATGTAGTATGTTATATAAACACAGTGGTTCTCAAAGTGGGGGACGCAGGACTAATGAATGAAAATACAGGAGGCTAAATGACACTGCTAGCATAAGATGGATACATTTTTAGATAGTTATTTAGATACTTTATTGATCCCCGTAGGAGAAATTAATGTGTCCAGTAGCCGCAAAAACACATCCATTCACACAAACAAAACAAATTAATTGATCGTTCTAAAAAGCTAACAATAGTAATAATAAGCAGCAGCACTTCAGGTCACAGCAGCAGAGGTGGAGTAGCCTCTGGGTGGAGCAGGACAGGTCACAGCAGCAGAGATGGAGTAGCCTCTGGGTGGAGCAGGACGGGTCACAGCAGCAGAGATGGAGTAGCCTCTGGGTGGAGCAGGACGGGTCACAGCAGCAGAGGTGGAGAAGCCTCTGGGTGGAGCAGGACGGGTCACAGCAGCAGAGGTGGAGTAGCCTCTGGGTGGAGCAGGACAGGTCACAGCAGCAGAGATGGAGTAGCCTCTGGGTGGAGCAGGACGGGTCACAGCAGCAGAGGTGGAGTAGCCTCTGGGTGAGATTTTTGACACAATACAAATTTTTGACACATTACAACCTGCAGTTAGGGCAGAGGTTTATATTAATTACAATGTGTTACATAACAATAATAGTTTGACATAATCATCATGTCAAACTACAACCCTAATCTTGAACCTGAATGTTACTCTTAATCACCAAATAATTCTCTTTCCCCAGGATTCACTGTTTTGCGAAAATAGTAAAGTCCGACCTGTCATCATTCTGTATTTAACTCCACTCGGTGATTCCAGAGTCCATGATCCTCCTGGGCTCCATTGAGCGCCTGCAGCTCCAGTCTCTGCTCACGCTGCAGGTGGGCCGACTGCGGAGGCTCGAGTTCCTCCGTCAGATGGCCCAGGACAACGGCACCCACGACCATGCCCTCAGCCTGACCTCGGAGAGCAGCGCCAGCTCCCCCTGCGGCCACGTCGTCAACGCTACTCCTCGCACCAACGCTCGCCAAACGGTTCGCTTTTTGGTGAGCGCGGAAGAGGTGTGGCGACCGGGGCCTGGGTGAGGGCGGGCCGCAGCTCTGGAGCATGGGGCTTTAGCATGTAGCAGTAGGTAACGGCACAGAGAGGGGTTTTTGAGGGCAGATGGGGGTAAGTGTAATATATGTCTGTGTACATGTCAGACCACCTGTTGTGTACTTGTGGTGAGTAGTAGAGTAACATGTTGTGGTGTTTGTGTTGTCTGTGCCCTTACCGGTGCTGTCCTGCGCACGACCTATCTGTCTGCATGTCTATAAATGTGCACGGAGCTTTTTTCTTAATGTGTTTTTGTCATAGATTTCTACAGAGGAGACTTCCACCTTCAGCCCGGCAGTATCCAACTTGCAAATTCCTCTCAAATCAGCGCTGAAAACGGTGTCTGCCATCAGCGAAACAGAGACGCCAAACAGTATGTGTCTTCTCTGCGTCACTAGATATAACAGTGAAGGGAGGTAGAAAAGGTGAGAAGGTGGAACTACTAAAACAATAACTCTTTTCCAGCTTTCACGATTGTTACATACAGTACAAGTTCAGAAATGTATGGGATTTTTATTGTTTTGACCTCTGAAGAAGATGACATGTCTGGGATCGCGTCTTTAATTCTGACAGAAGACATGTATTATTGTCGATGGTAGAGACAGCACGAACAACAGATACAACAGAATGCAAGTGTATTATACAGAGCGGAGGCATGGAGACCTCCAATCAGCAGCTTCCACGGTGCCATGTAGCTTGGCCTTCAGATAGACAAAACAAGGGAAAAGTACAGGCTTCTGCACATTGATAGAATGATGAGTTTAACTATAACAAAAGTTGCTTCAAAGTGTTATGAAATCTCACATTCCCCCCTCTGGTCATACATTCACGTGTGACCATCAGGATCGATAAACAGCAACATAACATCATAACTCAATACTTAAACTCGGTACTTCAAAAAACTCAGAACTCGGAATACTTCAAAAACTCATAAAACTCATAAAACATGTTCAGATCTTTCATAAAACTTGTCAACAATCTTCAGTAAAATACCAAACTTCATCAGTCGATGGTGGTTCCAGATATTGCTTTGAAAACAGTCTCTCCCACTTCTCCGTGTTGATTCTTCAGGCTGCATTTGTTGTGTCGAGCCATGAATTCTTCTGTGACGTGTCTTTCAATCACACGTTTCAGCTTCAGTGTCCAGATTCAGCAATTCAATTCAGTCCAAATTATGTCCAAATTGTGTAATCCAATTTTTCCAAATGGTGTCCATGCAAAAGAGGACGCTGGTGTTGTCCATGTCTCAGCAGCTCACAGCCTGACTGGAATCAGGGGCTGTGCAGATAGTCCAAGTGTGCTGGTCCAGATGCATTCTCTTGAGGTTTCTCAGTTTTGGCTTAAAAAAAAACACTTTTTGTGTAAAAAAAAAAAAAAGTCTTCTGTTCTCTAGATGTTACAGACAAGGCCCGCATCCTTCCACCACCTGAAGAAGATGACAAAGTCTGGGATCGCGTCTTTAATTCAGACAGAAGACATGTTTTATTGTCGATGGTAGAGACAGCACGATCAACAGATACAACAGAATGCAAGTGTATTATACAGAGCGGAGGCATGGAGACCTCCAATCAGCAGTTGCCACGGTGCCATGTAGCTTGGCCTTCAGATAGACAAAACAAGGGAAAAGTACTGGCTTCTGCACATTGATAGAATGATGAGTTTAACTTTAACAAAAGTTGCTTCAAAGTGTTATGAAATCTCACACCTCTTTTTCCCTCTCCAGAGAATTGTCATCATCCTGGATTTTCCATCATGTCTCTATCTCAGTTTTATAAAAGTTTTAACGGTTGGAAATGTGATGGAATTTCGACAACCTTGCTCAACTATATCAGAAGCTAAGCAGGGCAGGGCCTGGTTATTAGTGCGATGGGAGACTTCTGGGAACACCAGGTGCCACAGTGGGACGGCTGCAGATGTGAAAGTGCCAAACTCTTATTGTGTCCTTGGGCAAGACACATCACGCCTTTGCAGGGCTCCACACTAACATTTTTGATATCTGCAATGGTGTGCTTTTAAATTCAGGTGTATCAAACACTGGGGATATTGTCGGGCGGTGGAAGGAATACTTTGAGGTTCTCCTCAATCCCCCCGTCACGTCCTCCGTTACAGAGGCAGAGGCTGAGGATGTTGGGGCGGATACTTATGTCACCCTGGCAGAGGTCACCAAGGTGGTTGGCAGCCTCCATGGTGGCAAGGCTCCGGGTGTGGATGAGATCCGTCAATTATCTAAAGTCTCTGGATGTTGTAGGACTGTCTTGGCTGACACGTCTCTGCAACATCGCGTGGCGATCGGGGGCTGTGCCAATGGAGTGGCAGACCGGGGTGGTGGTCCCTCTCTACAAGAAGGGGGACCGGAGGGTGTGTTCCAATTATCGTGGGATCACACTCCTCAGCCTCCCCGGTAAGGTCTACTCCAAGGTACTGGAGAGGAGGCTACAGCCGATGGTCGAATCTCGGATCCAGGAGGAGCAGTGTGGTTTTCGTCCCGGTCGCGGAACACTGGACCAGCTCTATACTCTCCATCGGATACTCGAGGGTTCATGGGAGTTCGCCCAACCTGTCCACATGTGCTTTGTGGATTTGGAGAAGGCGTTCGACTGTGTTCCCCGGGGTGTCCTTTGGGGGATTCTCCGGGAGTACGGGGTCGGAGGTCCTCTGCTGAGGGCCATCCGATCCCTGTATGACCGGAGCCAGAGCTGTGTTTGCATTGCCGGCAGTAAGTCAGACCTGTTCCCGGTGAATGTTGGCCTCCGACAGGGCTGCCCTTTGTCACCGGTTCTGTTCACTGTATTTATGGACAGAATTTCTTGGCGCAGCCAGGGTTCGGAGGGGTCCGGTTCGGAGACCACAGGATTTCATCTCTGCTGTTTGCAGACGATGTTGTCCTGTTGGCTCCAACGAACCAGGACCTGCAGCATGCACTGGAGCGTTTTGCAGCCGAGTGTGAAGCGGCTGGGATGAGAATCAGCACCTCCAAATCCGAGGGAAAAAGGTGCCTTGCCCTCTACAGGTGGGTGGAGAGGTCCATCCTCAAGTGGAGGAGTTCAAGTATCTCGGGGTCTTGTTCACGAGTGAGGGAAGGATGGAGCATGAGATTGACAGGCGGATCGGTGCAGCGTGCGCAGTGATGCAGTCGCTGTATCGGACCGTTGTGGTGAAGAGGGAGCTGAGCCAAAAGGCAAAGCTCTCGATTTACCGGTCAATCTTCGTTCCCTCCCTCACCTATGGTCATGAGCTTTGGGTAATGACCGAAAGAAAAAGATCGCGGATACAAGCGGTCGAAATGAGCTTCCTCCGCAGAGTGGCTGGGCGCTCCCTTAGAGATAGGGTGAGGAGCTCAGTCACACGGGAGGAGCTCGGAGTAGAGCCGCTGCTTCTCCACGTCAAGAGGAACCAGTTGAGGTGGCTCGGGCATCTGTTCCGGACGCCTCTTGGACGCCTCCCTGGGGAGGTGCTCCGGGCACATCCCACCGGGAGAAGGCCCCGGGGAAGACCTAGGACACGCTGGAGGGACTATGTCTTTCAGCTGGCCTGGGAACGTCTTGGGGTCCCCCCGGACGAGCTGGAGGAGGTGTGTGTGGATAGGGAAGTCTGGGCGTCTCTGCTTAGACTGCTGCCCCCGCGACCCGGCAACGGATGAAGCGGGAAAAAATGGATGGATGGATGGATGGGTGTATCAAACATAGTTGCATATTTTCAGTTATTTAAATGTTTTTGTGTGTTGCTTTTCTTTTTAACAACATTTTACTTGAGTTTGAATTTTTTTTTAAATGTTTAACATAAAAGGTGCACATGTACCTGTTTAATGTGCACTCTGGAGCCCTGCCACATTGCAGAGTATGAGTCTAGAGCAGGCATGTCCAAATTCAGGCCCGGGGGCCAAATGCGGCCCACTGTTTAATTTCATGTGGCCCTCTGCCTTGCTAATACAAACCAGGCATTGAGGAACTTTCACAGTCATCCAGCCAAATTCAGCTCCACCAATATAGTCATGTTGCACCTCTTTGTAAATCTCTGGACCTTTGGAATTGAGGCATTCATTTTATTTGTTTATACGGTCCTTTGTTTTCAATTGTTTCCCAAAATGGCACCAGTGTAGCTGCGGTGTTGATGAATATTCGCATATCAAACCATAACGTTAAAGCCCAAAGCCTGAAAAGCAGCTTTAGAATGTTGTCGGCCCCTGGACAAATCTGGTAAACCAAAGTTTGGACACCCCTGGTCTAGAGTGTGCCTGACTGCATGGTGGTGGTCAGAGGGGCAGATGGCACAGACCTCACTTCTGTCAGCTTACCACACGGAATTTGTGGCTACAGTTTACCACATCAGTGTATAGAGTAAATGAATGAACCAATACATTATTATTATTTTTTTATTATTATTATTATTATCATTGTTATTAAACCATTGCATAGTGACTCGGCTATTTATTTATTTTAAAACCTAATGAAAAGAATTCCTCCTTTCTTTCTTTCCTTATACAAAGTTCTGCTGTTACCATATTTTGGAGGGGGGGGGGAAATAATAATAGTTCAAAATTGCACACTTCTGACCCATAACGGAAAGTTGATGTTTCCGCAAACGAGCCCCACATACCATTCTGTTCATGCTATTTGTAATAACACCGCGTTTGCTTCCAGGCTCTCAGACGCTGTCGTGCACGGACCAGGACAAGGAGCTGCTGGAGGTGAGGGCATAATGTGAGGGGTGATGTGACTGAGTGGGCAACAATGAGTAACAAACAATAGACTACAACATGACAACATCCTCTAAATAAAACAGACCACCTGTTTCATTTAGAGATCGACTATAGTTTTCATACAGCCGCCCTTTCCTCCAATTCACAAAATGGGTTTGTTTGATACGGGTGCATACAGTCAATCTTGTGCGTAGAAGTGTAAACACGCTCTTGTAAAAGTTATGAACTGTGGGTGTGACGGTGTGCAGTGATGAAGTGGGCCCCAAACAAACGGCCTTCTGTGAGCACAGGTGTCCAGAATATCATTATTGTGTGTAATCGCCGCAGTGAGCATGTATGAGTGAGCCAGCATGCCGCAGCACTTTGAAACTGAAGCTGTTCTCTCTAAGCACACCACACATGCTATCATTCTAACAGCTGACGATTTATTTCCACGAGAGATCATTAGATATTTGGACTTCTCTCAGCAGGAAAAGCTTAGGCAAATCAATAGTGCCATATTCACGCAGATTTACAGCCGTTTTGTTTCATTTATCACCGGTGCTGGTAAAGGCATGTGCAGCTTCAGTTACCGTCGTCATCATGTCTAATGCTTGTCCTAAAATGGTGGTACTCGTCTGATTCTTTCATAATGACACCTGAAGTCTGTTGTTATTATTATTATTATTTATTTTTTTACTTGTTGTTAATGCTGATTTTAAACTACAGCCGAACCTGGACAAAATCGCACACACACACACACACACACACACACACACACAACCTTCCTGCTTAAATGTAAATAGTAAAAGGCATGCTTCCTCCAGGCAAAATGGATTACCATACAAATCTCCCTTCGTCCAGACTGGCTGGAGCCAAAGGTGAATTACAAAATACAACCACCATTTTAGCCACATATGATTCAATTAAATGATAACCTAAACAACATTCTAATGTCACTTTTATCGTGTATACCATAAGAAAAAAACAGCATTAAATTCTGTACAATCCGAAAAGAGAGGGAGAATAAAAGACAAAACATTTAATAAAATAATCAGGCGTGAGTTTATATGTACCCAATAGTTCAAATATATGTTCATCAATCGCAAAACTGTAGTGATGTTTTCCATACGGCTCACAGATTTCAGTCTTTGAGTATTTGATTAATTATTATTTTATCATTTGTTTTGAACCTGCACAAAACATATTTTCACATACATCCTCAAAACAGACAAATAACAAGTGCATGGTTCAGAAACGGATTGGAATGGTGTTTCTCCACATTTCCTCATAGTTCTGTGCAAGATCAGACGCCTCCATCTTCATACGTGCTGTAGTAATTATACGCTCGTGGCAACATTGTTCTCGCCTGGTGGGACTTCTCTGGAGAAAGGGCTTTGAGATCCAATGTTGCATTGTGCTGTGTTGTGGGAAGTGTCCAATGTGACTGATGTTGTGGTCATGTTGTGTTGATGCCTCCTCTCTGAAGAGCCCTGGGCCGGCTCCTCCGGAACACAGAAAGTCCCGGCTCAAGTGCGCCAGGAACTCCGTGGCGGTAAGACTGTCTGCCGCCTCGAGACTGTTGCCTAGTAACCATTGCATTGCGACAAGCACAGTGAGGGCAGAACCAAAACATTCGTGGTGCAGGAGCCAGAGCGTAATATTTGTGCAGAGTTAGATTGTTGTATAGCTTGAACTCTTACACATTTTGCCACGTTGCGACCATAAACATCAAGTTTTTGGTTTGAATTTTTCACTGATAGACCACAACAAAGTAACAGACAACTGTGAAGTGTTATTGTTTTCAAAAACTGAAACGCAAGGCTTGTATTAGTGACTGGACTGCATTTCTCTGAGTGCATTAGATAGCCTTTGAACATTTCCTAATAACTGCTTAATGTTCCAATTTAGCCCTAACCAATATATAGAGCCTACCTGCGTGTTAACTACTCTCAGTGTGATTACAGCTGTTCTGTCATGGCTGTATTGGTCACTAAACAGCATCATGAAGGCAGAGGATGAGTTGTGAAGAAGTTAAAAGCACAATCTCATGCTTGGATCATCGCACAGAGCACTGTTTAATCTATTTCCTGGGAATGGAAAGAGTATGGCACACCTGCAAATGTTGTGGTGGTTTGGCTGTAACAAAATGTGCAAGAGAGTAGTCCATCTGCAGCGTGACATCACTCTGCAGAGAGACATGTGGTCCATTGTTAGTTTATTCTCTTAAATTGACTGCAACTGGTTGTCATTAAGATACAATGATTATACCACTGATAAATGTGTGCTAGACATCTTTAAAGGAATAATATTGAGAGTATTTGTACCACAGTTTTGGTAGTATTTCACCAATGTCTTAAACTCAGATCTGTTTTTCAGGAGGTGGAGTTGGAAGACCACATGAGCCCCACAGAGGTGAGGCCTGCACTGACAGGAGAAATAATAGGCTGACCTGTTCTCTTTTTTAATTATGTGTGGAATGGGACTGGTCACTTTCAGATTTCTGTGTGGGAGGAGGAACAGCTTGACCAAGCAATAGATTTCAAGAACTGCAAGATTGACCCCGCTCCGTTCCAATTGGTTGAACAAACCTCACTACATAAGGTAAGTGTCCGATCAAAAACTGTCTGTGTTAGAAGTGTTAGACGCTGCTACAAACTGGAGAGTTGGAACTACTGTGTAGTTAATCTCGTTGTGTTATTTCTTTCAAGAAAGGTGTTAACTGTTCCAGACAAGAAACTTTGCTTTTCCATGTTCACAGACTCACACCATCTTTTCTCTGCTGGGCCTGGACCATGCTTATGTAACCAGTATGGGGCGCCTCGTCGGAGTGGTTTCTCTCAAAGAGGCAATGTCTACATTTGATTGTTTTTTATCCAATGATAATAATTAAATGTTTAACAACCTATATCTCTTTCTTCAGCTGCGTAAAGCCATTGAGGGCTCGGTGACAGTGACTGGGGTCAAAGTGCGGCCCCCTTTGGCAAGTTTCCGGAACAGTGGCAACACCACGAGTGTTTCCGAGGTAACGGAACTACACAAACTGTGTATGCGACACCGAGGCCTCTCGTTACCACGGGAACCTAGCCGCTTAAAAATGGAGGATGATGACGACATTTCATTTCGGGAGAATCCTGGAAAGTTTTCAGACCAATGCACTTTACAATTTACCACATGCCAAACTGTGGACATTCTAGAAGAGCTGGTGCTTCAAGACAGCCCCTCGTTTACTGAGGACCAATCAGAAATCACCTTTGATTGTAGCCCCTCCCACACAGAGGAGTCAGAACTGCCCTGTGACTTTGACCCAACCAGTCAGACCCCAGAACCTGAGGAGACTAATCCGGAACCGGATCCAGACCCTGAGCAGTCGGACCCCGAGGAAGAGGAGCCTCCTGCCTCGCCTCCTGCCTCGCCCACAGTAACGGCCACGGTGATGGTCACAGTAATACCCGCAGTTACACCCGCAGTAACGCCCGCAGTAATGCTCGCAGTAACACCTGCAGTAACGCCCGCAGTAATGCTCGCAGTAACGCCCGCAGTAACGGCCACAGTAGCGGGCGATGTGAATGAATAGCAGGGATACGTGTTGTCTCAAGTGTTGCGTTCAAACCAGCATTAACCAGTTAACTGTATTTACAGAGTCATAACTGAAGGTGTGAATGACAATGTGTGAGTACATCCAACAGACTACAGAGAATTTATTCTAATTGATCCAACAGTTTATGACTCGGGCAAATAGATTTGTATCAACCTTTTTTTAGTTAATTGTCAACACTGCCATTTTCCACACAATCTACCAACAGTTAAATTGTATTGGTAAAATATGGTATTAAACAGGACCAATATTTGTGAAACAACTTGCTTGACACGAAGGATGTGTGTGTGAGTGGTAAGCATGCTGTGTCATGTTCACGCTTTTGCCGAACTATGGCCTCTATAATTTGCAGGAGAATAACAAATATGTGTGTTGTCAACAATCAAGCACATGAATAAAGTTCTTTTCTGTTTCCAGAGCACACTCTTAGAGCTGTATAACCCACTTCCTGACATCAGTATAGATGAAATTATGCCTTATATGCAAAATTAACCTTTCATTTAGGTTTTTGTAAGTTATAACATTATATGTGTCTTTGCTGTGGAACTTTCTGCTTCTAAATGTCGTATTTGTCTACCCCCGAAATCAAAGACAGACTACAGGCAGCTCTGACATAAGATGAAGCACACTGTAACGGCCTCCACTGTTCCAACAGCAGTATTTATACTTAATTATAAGTAACTTCCTCTATAGCTTCAAATGTGTGAAATGTTTCTCGCATGTTACAGAAACAGAAACGTGTGGAATAATAAGTGAATGTAAAGAGCACACACACATGTACCAATGCACCCTGTAGATACAGTTATGCATCTTTATCTGAGAGTTTCAGAGGTGATATTAGCACAGTAACGCGTGAATGGTCTGTGTGCGACATTTCAAAAGGATGTATTTGTCAATTGTATCAATATTTTAAGCCATGTCTTTATTTGCACTTAACAGGGCTTATTTTGTTTGTGTACATTTGTGGATTTGTTTGCGTCTTGAGGATGTGAAATAGAGCGTGGTCAGTAAAAGGAGCTTTAAGGGAGCTATTTTACAGCGTATCTAGTTAAGCAATAAGTCTGTAGTATCCCCTTTATATGGCACTGAACTGTATATATGCTTTGTATATACAAATATAACATACATGCTATGTACAGAAAAACATATTTGAAATCAAGCTACCACTGTTATTTTTCAAGAGAGCATAAATTGTTTTGTACATGAGTGAATGATTAAATTTAAAGAGGAAAAAGTCTGCTTTGTTCAAACAAATCTTGTAAATATCAAAATTTATTCACTATTCATTTTCAGACATTCAGTATCAAACATGGCTCACGAAACAGATTCAGAAAACACTACAAAATACTCAAACAATTGAACATGACTCATGATCTCCGAAAACAACAGCTTTACATTCGATTGAAATCTCCAACGGACACTTTTCACAGCAGCAAGAAACATGGAGCAGGGAGAGAGGACGGCTCTGAGGAGACTGAAGACTCGAAGATAAAATCACAGGTCGACCAGCTTCAACACTTCATATTCAGAACAGAGGCTATTCGGAGGCAAATACTGCATTGGCTGTTGCAGTATGTATTTACATTTGGAAAGACAGTCAAACTACATACAACAACTGTCGTGCAATTTCACAAACTCTTACACAAAACCTTAAACAAGTTCCTTAACGTCAGATTAGTCTGCGTTTTCTCCCCCCTTTCTCTCGACTCCATAGCAGCAGACAAACTCAGTGGTGTAGTTTAAGTACTTCTCTCACACACGCATTTTGGCGAATCACCAAGGCACTATCCCTTCAACTCCACAATCATAAAATATCGATTAGGAGGACATTATGAACAACCATTTAAAAATCACTGATTCAATTTAGCCAAATGTCTTATCTAGCTTTGACAAACTGACCAGGACAAACAAGCTCCAAGAAGACAATGATCGACAACACATCACATCAAATATTCTTTCTCGTCTTTTCTCTCCTCCTCCTCTTCATCAAACGAGGCCACTCCAGAGGACAGGCGGTCGGAGAAGTTACCCCGCGGGCTGCAGTGCCACACTCTGAACTCCTGGAACACGCTTCCCTCGTCGTCATCTTCTTCCTCCTCTCCGGGCGACTCAGAGTGGGACGTGGAGTAGCAGGAGTCGAAGCGGCTGCTGCGAGCTCGGGGCCTCCACTCGGGCTTTTGGTGGACGCACACTTCTCTCCGGGTGTGGTCCTGTAACAGAGCTGGTTTCTCTTCCTCCTCCTCTTCCTCCTCGTGCATGAATGGGCTCAGGCTGTCGTTGGGCAAAGTCGGTGAATCGGTCTGGGCCAGATGTGGGTCACACTGGGCGCTACCTTCGCTACCGCTGCTCGATCCTGGGAGCGTGGTAGAGGACTGGCTCTCCTCTGAGTGTGCGTCATGAGGAGCAGGGGGGCGGCTGGTGGCGTCTGAGAGAGGAGCAGAGAGTCAAAACCCCTGGAAATGAGGTGGAGGGGCGGAGGGGGAGGGGAGGAGGTGGGAAATTGGAAGAGTGAGATGAAAATGAAAAGGTCATGTGAAATGAGTTGTGAATCCAGAACAGAGAGAATGGGAGACCTGAGCTTTGGACGTTCTGGACACAGTCATCGTTTGAATCTTCCTCATCCTCATCATCATCAATGGAAGCCCAGGCTCGGAGCTTGGCCTCTGCAATCGCAAACTGTTCAGCCACACCTGCCAAAGGAAATTCCGAATGGGTCAAAATGAGGTTAATAACTAAACACAATTGTCATGCAGTGTTATAAACTCTATATCAGTATTCTACACACAAACAAGTTTTTTAAAGCTTTAAAAGTGTTCAGATTAAGTGTGTTCCTCAACCATGGATGATTTTAAATATTATGATTTATTTAATTTTACACAGAAGACTCGCCTCTTCACAGACATAACTTGTAGTGAAGTCACGTGCATCTTTTCAATATAATAGGAAAGATTAATGATAACTATATAAACTGATTTTTTTTAATTTAGACGGACCCAAGCAAAAACCAGGCGCAAGCACAGGATTACCATTGCAGCAACACATGGTCAGTAGGGCAAAACGAATGATTCTCACGGCGGTCTAATCCCAGCTCACGTTCCCTCTTAGTGGGTGAACAATCCAACAGTCTGTTCACCTTAACTCATTGACTGCCAGCCGTTTTTGATGATTTCACTGATTCTCAAGACCCACAGAATATTATTTGCTAAGACTATGTGAAATATGAAACCAGATTCTGAAAGACTGGATTGTCTACTTTCATCCGCAATAATAACTTTGTTTCTAGCTATTTTTATTTTCCTGTAATCCCCAGTCGAATAGAGGGTCTCAGACAAATATGTCAATGGCAGTCAATAAGTTAATATACACACTGTACACATTACGGCATTATCAAAAATATCACAAATATCCCTAAACAAAATTCTTCCACACTATGCATTTCTTCAGATTTCTTTCATGCTGTTTCTGGTCATTTGGAACCGTCCCCTTTGATGGACACAGTGGCCATGACACTAAACACAAATCTTCAAAGTAATTTCTACTTAATGTCTCTTTCTCGGCTTCACGTCTCCAGCAGCAGAGGATGAGTCACTGCTCCACTCAACAGGAGCTGCTGAAGCCTCACTGGGCCCTGAAGTGTTGGGATTCTGTCTAATAGGCCACCATCTGCGGCCGTCACCACTAGACAGCACAGTGATGGGTCCCAATGTATGACTCTAAGCAGTTTAAAGATTATACCATGACCAGCTGCTTTAAATCTTGACTCATCTTCTAAGTAAGAGGATCCATGGTGGAATCAATAAAGCGACAGTGTGAAATGCTGGGATGACAGTGACGTGCCTGCAGCAAAGCGGGCCTCCTTTTCTCCCTCACTCAGGTGGCAGTAGGAGCTGAAGTGTGTCTGAGAGGCCAGCTCGGGACCGGACGGCTTGGGCCAACCTTTCCACTCTATGAGGTGAGCAACGCGTCCCTGTGCCAGTGAGGTGGGCTTAGTGACATGGTCCCTCACAGCCTGAGAGATGCCTGAGTGAAAAAATGCAAATATTAAAATAAACATTAAAAACAACAGGCAACATTTTTTTTTGCATCATTGAATTCACTGTTTATTCAACGAGACGTTTGACTTATAGGATTAAGAGTTGACATATGGCACTTGGAAGAGTCTAGCTACATCTACCACAAATGAGAAGCAACAATCAAATACCATTCAAGGAAGATCTGGCCAGTGCTGCAAATTCATGGATGCTCACAGCTTTCCTGGATTCTGCTGAAGATTTTCCTGACTTGGGAATCATTTCAGAGTCAAATTTCACCTGTGGCACAAATGAGTTCATGATGTCACAATATAATCAGAAGTCTTGATTGAACAAAAGCACAGTCAATATTCCTGGAGACGTTTTCCTCTGTCCTACCTCCTCCTCCTGCTCCTTGTGCCTCTCGCGTCTTTCTCGGCTCCTGGACCTGAGCCTCATGTTGTGGATGTGCAGAATGTGCGGCTGTACGTGCAGTGCACAGCTCCCCGACTGAACATCACAGCTTGCACTCAGTGTTTTAAACAGTGGCAGACAAGCAAACAGCAATGGCCTAAATTTATTGCACAGATGCTAAAGCCGGTTAGAAGTGGGTTTGAGGGAGGCGAGGGCAGCCTTTCTGACGGTGCATGTGAATGCGTAAACATATGGCCCGTGACCAGCTTGGCTGAAAGCAAATCCAACTGAGCCTGCTGCCATGGGAAAGCTGCAAACCCGATTAAATGTGATAGCGATCCCTAATCAGGACCATGTCCAAAAGTTAGCTCAAGAGAATTAAATGAGCAGTAGGTGAACGTTTGAAGGTAATACGTGTGACGTGGCTAGACCAGGTGCATTCGGCACGTGGATGTTTGAGAGCTGATACTAAACACATTCACCCAATGCAAGTGCAACGATAATAGTCACACAATCAGTGATACCAGTGGAAGCTGGCGACCTTTGGCACAGCCGGACTTATATTATAGATCCATGACTGATGCGCACCAAAAGGACCTTTCCTTAAACCAGAAGCGCACCACGCGCTCGCGCGCCTCCTGCGTGACATCCATGATCCGAACACTGCATCCACTGAAGGGACTCGATCTGCTGTGGAACTACTAACATGCATTCAGCAAAAAGTGTGTACCAAGAATCTGATAGACTTGTGTTTCAAGTGTATGTCTTGTCAGAGCAACACGTCGCTGTGCCATGGTGCCTCCAGCAGCAGGCCAGGCAGCGCGGAGAGCTGGACAAACGTGCAGCAGAAATCAGTCTGTACGTACCTGACACTCAGAGCAGAACAGCGCACCATCAAGCGCATATGAATCCAGCCTCGGCACCGGATCCTGAAGTACACCTCATTACAGATCACAGCGCGCACAGAACATCTGCATTCGTAAAAGGCGCAGAGACACCATTTGTTGCTCTCCAGGATACGATCCAAGTGTCTTACGTCATCAGGCGGGGGAAAAACACCCTCCCACATCCAGGACTCCCTCAAAATCACAAGCAGCAGAAGCCTGTTATAAAACACCAGAGTCGATTTTCAAGGGCGAAAATAAGTCACAGACTTGGCCAACATGGTTCCGGGTAGTTATTTCAAAGTGACAACGATTAGGTGGATAGAGATTTGTTTCGTTGAAGATCCTCGTTCACCACAGAATGTCGAGTGGTCAGACTGCTCTCACACACAAGGATCAAACACATGACCTTTGCATTTATACACCTGGGCTATTCAAAGACAGGCAGGGAAAGATATGCATTTTAAGAAGTCCTTTATTTGCAATGTCCCATTAACTCATCTTTCCAGTTTCAGATGCAAAAAAGCATTATTTTCTTAAATAAAGAAAGCAAAAAAAAGTATTTACACAAATCCCAATAAAACTAATAATCAATGGATTATCTAAAGCACCTCTCTGCATCTGGACAATTCTTTCAGCGGAAAAGGATACAGTTACATCAGCAATTAACGGTTACTGAAAAATAAAACTAAAAAAAACTTTATATATTTACAGAACTGTCCTGAAATAGTTTCTACCTCTAGTAGAAAAGGCTCTCAGTTCATTTCTGCATTTTTATGTATATATCATATTTAAGTCAATTTCCATAAGTTTCAAGTTTTCATGATTGGTAAGTCTTTCCCACCGCTTAGATTCAGAACAGATGGGTCAGTCACTAGTGGGAGACCATGGCTTTGAGTACGCATTAAGACAAGACCGTCCTGTTATCATCAAAGTCATATAGTCATAGTGTCCTCTGATGTCCAACGATAGGAAACAAGAGCGAAAAAATAGAAATGTTTTCTTAAAAACTCTGTCAGTTTAAGATTAGTTAGCAATGTACATTTTCCTGTCAACATTTCATCTGTATCATAAACACACTTCAGTCATGCTGCACACCAAGTGATGGACAGAAAGCGCTGTGTTTGGACTGAACACATTATGGCATGATCCCCACATGTGGAACTCCTCGAGCCTCCAGTATTCACAATGGTGTCATTCCAATTATCTAGAATCATAACAGCAGCTCGTGTGTGTCATTGATTTAAAAAAAAAAAGGTCTAGTAGTGATGTGGCATATTTCAAACCTTGTTACTAAGCATTCCTCCTGCTGCACCAGTTTTCAAGTTTATTAGATACTTTGCTTGCCGCTACAAGCAGGTAGGACATGGAGTCAGAAAAGGAGAAAAGTGATTGTTTTGATTCCATCACTCAAAGAAAAGGAGAACACACATATCCTCATTGAGGACTGATAGTAATAAGAGTCTTCCTCTGGAAAAGGAGCCAGTCTCCCCAAAACTACCCGTCCAAAGCTTTTGCAAAACAGCAGTGGCTTGGACAAGTGCTTAGTCTTTATCGGACTCTTCCTCAGCCTCACGGAGCCAAGTGAAGAAGGCTGTGACAGATTTCAGGGCAACGCCTTTCCCCGTCTGCTCTGCTGGGTCTTTACTAGACTCCCATTTGTAAAAGGCCTCTTCTTTTATCACATCCTCATCATACAAGGCATCGAAGAACATGCGCAGCAAGTCTAAAGAGATCCAACAAATATATTTTCAGAAATATTTCTTGTCAGAAATATTGGATATGAAAGGTTCTTCCAACTTACTCGCTGGCTGTTCCATGTGTACCATTAGTGCTTGAAGGGCATAAAGGGCCTGCAGCTCCTTCTGTTCATCATAAAGAAACCTCTGCAGCAAGCTGGCGCGCTGATTAATCTGATCTGTGTCCACTTTGTATGGGTTATCACCTACAAACATAAACATAACAACATAAGCCACAAACACGGTCAACAACAATTCCATTCCGTGCTTACAGATGATGGCAGACTGACACACTGATGTCATCAATGCCCGAACGAACTGATTGGATCCAGGTTGTTGTTCATCCAAATTTGCCTATAAAAAAATAAAATAATAATACATGTCAAACACGACATTAAAACCAAGTTCTAATCTATCAGGAGTTCAACTACACACCTCAATCCAGTCGCGGATTCGCTGGTTGTCAGCTTTGTCCTGAAGGAGTCTATCCAGTTCTTTGCTCAGCTCTTCTCCAGAGAAAACTTTTTTACTGCCTTCTTTAGATGCCACCTCTTCTCCCAAGGTATATTCCAGTTTCTAAAAATCAAATGAAAATTTCAATTATGTGCTCAGAACAATTCAATAATATAACTCTACGAACAAGTCCTAATAAAAACATAATAGTAATTTAGTATTTTAAAACATTTTAAATTGATTAAATTAGTGGACAACTATTTGAATGATCAATTTAAACCTAATTGGTTCGCCGATTTTTCTCTTCGATTAATCAAACAATTGTTAATTAAGCCATCAGTCCATAAGGGGCAGATGACTAATGTCCATAAATGTTGTTTGTCAAGTGCCCTGGACCATCCCCACTGTACTCAAATACACAAAGTTTGTCCTTTAACAAGACATTAATTGAAATACACAACGGAATTTTGCGCCCATGACTTCTACATGAGGGATTTGACCACACAGACACACTAAGCAGGTCACCCGGATTTAAGAGGCCATTTCACAATTTAACTAACCTGATCTGTGACAAATTTGTTAACGTCATCTTCACTGGGAATAAATTCCTTCCAATTCAGGCCAGCTTCGATCCACATGGCCCCGACTTTCTTGGGGCTCTAGAAGAAAAAAATAATGCGTCACAGTTTACCAACAGACAGCCATTGAATATAAAAACTGCCTTCACCTACCATTCCTTTACAGAGCGTGTTCAAGATTTGTACCAGTAGCACACCAGCTTTTCCAAGAGGCACTAAAGGCTTTGAAATCTCCCTGAAATCAGAAATTGAAAACACATTAATATGATGTTTACATTCATGTGTAAATGTTTAGTCCACATACCTGAAGAGCTGCCCCATCCCGAGCCCACCTTCATGCAACATAGGGCTGATGAGGTTAGAAAGGTAAAGCCAGATATGAGGTATATCTATTTCCATATCCTCTGCCACTTCCAATACCTCAAGGAGTCTACAACAATGCACCAAACCACTCATTAGTAATCACACATACTCCTAAATAAAAGAAAAGAAGCCGCACGCTCACCCTTTGTAGTACTGCTGTGGAGGCAAAGTCCCAGCCTTGACAAGCTGATGCAGAAGCAGCCCCATGTGCTCCCTGGCCATGACGCTGCGCTCCAGTGTCGATTCGAAACCGACCCGGACAAAGACAAAAAGCAGCGAGGCACAGTTCAGCTCTGCAACACACTGCAGTGCTTCCTGTAACACAAAGTGGGTTGGGTATATTTATTACTTAGAAACTGTTATGGTAAACATTAGTCAGCTGATAGTATTTTCAAGGTGCAACATCAACAGCGTTCCAAAGTTTCTAGATTGCCAGGCCAACACCACCAGTTATATAAATATATATTATCTATTATCTTTAACATCCCTCTTGATGTGTGCACTTATTTCTCCTTTTGTGCTGTGTGTTGAAACTTCCCCACTGAAGGACAAATAAGAGGTTTATCTAGGTTCATCAAGCAGAGAATGACCATAAGGTTCTCATTTACCTTCAAGTCATTAATGTGGAGGTATTCTTCAATTATGGCATTTGATTTCTTCTCCAACTCCTCTTCAGACATGGCAGGCTTCGAAGGAGGCGGCATTAGGGCACTGTCACGCTTAACTAAGAATACAGAAAAATGGCTTATTGGATTGCCAGAAAATGATCAAAAATATAAATGTAATGCGTACCAGAAGATATGTCTTTGCTTGAAGCACGGTCCCTACTGCCCCGGTCGCGGCTGCCCTGGTCCCTACTGGTCCTGTCACGGCTGCCCTGGTCGCGGCTGCCCCGGTCCCTGCTGCCCTGGTCCCTGGTGGTCCTGTCACGACTGCCACGGTCCCTGCTGCCACGGTCCCTGCTGCCCCTCCTGTCCCTGCTCTCGGTCATGCTGGCCACACGCCGCACAGAGTCCAGGGCACTCCGGCCGTCTCCTCCTCGATTTCGCTCCTGGGATTCTCGGCTGAAGCTTCTCTTTGTGATTTCAGTGCGATTGCTCCGATCGCCATCAAGACCTTCCCGCCGGTCAAAGCGGTCAAAGCGGTCCCTTTCACTACCGCCACGTTCACGGCTGGAGCTTGACCTAAACAAGACTTTATTAACTCCCGTTTCTCAGGCCCACAACCCAATTACATAAACACCGTCCGGGTTTTCTCTTTTGAAATACCTCTGAGGAACTCTGCGTTCAGACTCTGAGGACGACACGGGACCAGACTGCAGAGCTGAGAACCGATTCAGTGTACTCGTAGCAGGACGATTCGAATCTGATTGATGAGAGTATGGCACGGTTAACAAGATTAACATCCATCATCTATTAAACAATTATCTTGTTCCCTTTACCCTGCTCTCCACTGGATGGTTTGGTTCCACTTCCTCCACTGCTGCCTTTTCCCCAGCTGTTCCACATCCCTTTTCCACCTGGAGCTAGCAACTGATTGTTGAAGTCCAATGCACCAGGCTGCAAGAAAACACAAACAAATGTCACCACAGGACAAGGAACCATCCAGAGTAGAGGTCGAGAACGCAATGGGATCACAACGGAACGTGGAACGTGCACTTCCATGTGATCTTGGAAGGGACAACTTGTGACTAATGGTTGAACTCTGGCCCCCGTGGACAGGCCCTGCTGTAGTAGTTACATTTGATCTGTTTAATTGCATGATGTAAATTCCCCCGTAAGGCGAACGTGTTTTCCCTTGTGTCTGGGTTTTTCTCCCATCTTCCAAATTGTATTGGCCAAAGCCAAAATTTGTGAATTGTCAGACTCACGGTACCCAGCTCAGTAACCCTTTTCTAGTCTCCCTCCCGACCCATTATTCTCTGTGGTCGCCCACATTGGGCAGGGCTGACAGTTTTCATCCAATCACAAATATCCAGCATCCTGCCCGGACGTAATACCCCTCTCCAATCGGTCTTTGTGAAATGTGTGTAACAGTCTCAGTTTTCTATTATTTGTAGCATCACGCCATGGCAAGAGCTCTAGTGTACTATCTGCTCTGTCCGGTGCAGTTATTCCAATGTGGTTTCAATGCAAATGGCAAATAACTGTAGCTTCAAGATCCAGTTTAAGTTATCGTCTATGGCTAATTGTCTTATGTAATAGTTATGATAATTTCCTAGTCTGACTTCCTGTTACTTACATGGCAATAAAAATGATTCCGATTCTGAATGGCAGGCTTTAGTACCTTAGTGATTTTGCTGAGACGAGTGGTGTCAATGGGTCTGTTTTTGGAGATAGGGACAGTGTTCCATCCTTCGTCCTGAGGCTGACTGGTCCTGCCCCCAGGAGTGTGTGAGCCTCGGCCGCCCATGTTCATTCTGCCGCCACCGCCGCCACCACCGCCACCGCCGCCGCCACCGCCGCCGCCACCGCCGCCGCCACCGCCCCCATCCTTCCTTGACAGAAGTTGCTGCTGGGCCCTCATTTGCTGCTGATGCTCTTCCTGCTCTGCCTCCTTGTGAATCTGGTCAATTGTTTTAGGTCCTTGGTCCGCTCTTCTGGGCACCCAGTTGCTCTATTAGATACAATATAATGTGCATTGCATTTAATAATTCTAAACAAAAAATGTAATATTCTCCACCTCAAATCTAATATGACAATACCCTTCTGAGATCCAAGACATCTTGCAGCATGAAACGAATTCTTGATGACGTTTTTTTCTCGTTTATGATTTTGTCTATTTGGTTAAAATACTGGTCCATACGGGGCTGGAAATAAAAATGCTTTACATGAAAAACAAGTTATAATTATCTTCAGAAATTAGGCTTGGAAGTACCCTTGGACCCATACACAAGTCTTTTAAAAAAGGTATTTGTGCTCACATGTACCTTGGCTTTTTCAAAGTCCAGGTCTTTGCCAATTGTAGACAGCAGCCTGCAAAGACACTCGAGAGACTCCTCATCATGATTCTTCAATAGTTTTACAACACAGTCATGCATAATGGCTTCTGTCAACATCTTCAGTTTGAATAGTTCGCCAATGAACTTGATGTTTCCAAGTGACCGCCGTCGGGCCTTGTCTCTCGCGTCATCTAGCTCCGCTTTCAAGCGGTCATGCTCTTCACCCTACGAAAACAAGCGCCATAAGAACCTTTGGCGTTTATGTACAGTAAAACAATTTGATGTAATAATTGAACCACTTACTTCTTTTGAGGCATCCAGCTCTTTTTGTTTTTTCTCAAATATTTCATCATCGTCTTGATCCTTTTCAAATTCCTTTTGACAACGATTAAGCAGCAGTTTCCGAAAGTTAGCTGTAGCTCCGGGTTTTTCCCCAGTAGGTACTTTTAACTGTAGCGAATACAAAAAGTGTCAACTAAAGTGTAATCCAAAATGTGCTGCGGTATCTTTATATGAAAACGCAAGAACTCACCCCCATAAGACATCGACACATGTTGGCATAAGCTACAGAAAAGTTAGGTTCCATGATGGCCTTTTCAAAAATGAGATCAATGGCTCCTTTTAGTCTCTCCTCAGTGTCTATTGGCAGCTCTGTAACCTGCTTCATCAGCTCTTGAAACTTCTGAGGGGTGAGTTTGTTAAGGATGCTACGCAGTCGCTTCAACACTTCCTGAGTCTTGTTCAAATCAGGGTCCTCCTCCTCCGGTTCTTCTCGTCCACGTGTGACTAACTTTTTCACAGATGGTTTCCAAGCTTTTTCTGCTTTGTTCAGCTGAATGTCCTCATTCAAACTGCTAATTATTTTCCTAGGTTCTTTTCGTTGACCTTGCTGAGAACGGCGAGGGCCTGGAGGCTGTTTGGAGAAGAAAAAATGTGTAAACACAATATCAAAAAGAATCTTAGCTGGAGTGATTTAAAAAACTGGCAATATCCAAGAAAACATTTCTCACTGGGCCACGTGGTCCTCCCATCGATCTGCTTCCCAAGTTGCCCAAATATGAGGGCGTGAAATCAGGACCAGCATTCATTAATCGAGCTGGATCAACAGGACGCAGGGGAGTCTTGTTTACCTAAAGACAATAGAAACATATTCATTAGACCTTTCGCAACAAAACATTTTTGAGTGAATATATTGATAGAAAAGTCAGAATGATAGAAAAAGAGTTTTTTGTAATACAATTTCATGAGAGTGGTACAATAACAATGCAGATGGATAATCCTAGTAAATTAGTACATGGATGAAAAAATCTCAATGCAGGACGATTCACAACAAATTAGCTGCACATTCATTCAGCCCAAGCAATAAGAATGATTTCCTTGAATGTATCAGTACTAGTTGATACATGGCCTCCAAGTCTCCAGTTGAATTGGCCATTTACATTCCTATTGTAAATTTAATCGATACAAATTCCTTACAGGCAGCCACAAAAATCAACGGGAATAAGAAGACAGTTCCCATTGATTTTCCAGTAAAAATGACACCGGTAATTAAAAAAAATTACAATATAAACCAAAAAAAATTGCACAAATGAATTTAATTTGCGGGTACAGTTAAACTGAACCAAAATAACACCAGCCTTATGCAACGCATACGCAAATTCCACAATTATTTTTCCAATGCATATCATTCAGCAGTTTTTGATAATTTGAATGTACCTTGTCAAGAACAACATCGCTGATGATTGGCAAACCCTCTGGTTTGTTCATACTGGCATTGCTGAACTGAAATCCCAACAAAAACTCCCTATCGTACCGCTTCTTTGCTTCAGGATTAATTGGTTTCCACTGTTCTGAAATCCAAAGCAAGATTTGGTCAAATAAAGAAACTGAATTTTGAGCGAAACAAGTTGACATTTACCTTCTTTATATTGATATTTCTGGTCTGTAGCCTCAGCTTGGTTTTTAATTTCATTTTGTTTGTCTTCCTTCTCTTCCCAGGTCTCATCTGCAACCTCTGCTGGAACATCAGCTGTGGTCAAGGCAGGCACAGCCTGAATGGCCACATGCTCAGGAGGGGGTTTAGTATCCTTCTGCTGAATAGAAAGACAATCAAGTGGTTAATTATGTTTATATAAACAACTTTTTCCCCCTCAATTCCCCATCACGATTTGTGAATATGTCATAAAGCCGTGACACCACACACACCTCTGTGAAGGCATCCAGTAGAGTCCCAATGGCCTCCTTCTTGTTAAGCTCTTTCATGCTCTTTTTTTTCTTTGGCACAGATGTAGCAGCTGTAACTATAGAACATTTTAGATATGAAAAATTGTAAGATCTATATTAGTTTTTAAAAGGGAAAGACAAACCTTGCATAGTGGACTCCTCTGTGGAAGAGGCAGCTGGGGGTGGTGCAGTAACCACTGTTTTCTCATTTTTCACCTCTTTGTCACCCTCCTCTTGTTCCAGGGTGGGCATTGCAGTTTTTTCCAATGAGGAAGGTTCCTGAGATTGACACGTGTCAGACTGGTCAAGTGGTTTAGCGTCAGATAATTCCACATCCTCTGACATCTCTTCAGTGCCTTGTGGAAAGCCGTTGGGGAGAACGGACTCTGTCTTGATACCAACAGTGGGCTTGAGATCTCCATCTAAACTGGAATCTCCATTCTGAACTTGTGGCACTGCAGGTACTTGTGTTGAAGGCGCCTGCTCTGGGACCTCAGTAACAGTTGTACTTAGTGGACTAACAGTCTCATCGCTTTCCGTTTTTGCTGGTGCAGCCTCTTCAACTGGAAGTTCCAATAAAGCTTCCACCTCAGGCTCAACAGGTTTGACCACTTCTGTATGTTGTTCCTTCTCTACTGACTTCTCTATTTGTGGCTCCTCAATTGTGTCAGGCATATCTTGTACTTCTAATGAAGCAGAAGGACCAACTGGTGCATCTACTGTATCACTAACAGCCTGAACCTGATGGATTTCTTCACAAGGACAGGTCTCCAACTCTGGGGTGGATGAGCGGGGTGGTTCCTCATCCTTTATTGATAATGGCACAGCTAGAGCTGGTGTGAGGTCTACACTATGTGAAGATATGTCCACTGTTGATACTGTGTCCAATTCTTTAATCTCTTCGAGAACCGGAGTAGTGGAAGCAGGAGGCGGTGAAGAATCAGCGCAGGAAGAACGTTCAACACTTTCATCTGCAATTAACACGAAATAATTGCATCAGCAGCCATTCATGTTTAGAAGTATGAATTTGAAATTTGAAATATGAAATTATTTTACTCCAATTGCTCAAATGTTGTCAAACCAAGAACCCAGATCATAAAATTATTCAGCAACATAAACTTAAATCGTAGACTACTTTTGAAACCTTCTCTGCGATAAGTGGTTAACCATTAGCGTATTATTATGTGATGCATTATAGTTATACAACACAAAGCCCAAAAGTAAAACCTAGATTAGAGAAATACCTCTTTGCGGTGGCATCACGTCTCCATTAGTTTTAGCAGGACTCTCTGCCAAGGGGGGCTAAATAAAATGAAACGAATGTCAAACAAAACCAAAGAACCAGCTCCAAACTTTACTTTGATTCAAAACACTAAGGGCATTTGATCACCGCTACACAGCAGCCCACCTAACCCTTTGTTTTGGGAAGATGATAACTATCTTTATCACACAACCAGAGACTAATGCAAAATGTTTGATTGAATGAATTGATTTAACAAATGTAACACTTTGACAATCATACATAATGGTAACTTAAATATAAGCTTAGATAAAAGTTTTACCTGTGGAGGGGTTGGTGTAGTGGAGGAGCGCCCCCCTGACATGATTTCCTCAGTAATGTCACGTCCACCTTGGTTTGGATCTCGTATTCTTATCTTCAATATACAGTAAGAAATGTGTCAGAATACATGCGCTACATCTAACAAATGTATGCAACCATTTGCTCCAAGGTCATGTTGCGCCATTACAGTAGAAACAAGCACTATTGTTATATGAACGTAAAAAGGAATGTTCTGCATTCAATACCCAAAATCCATTTAGCCCATTCTCTATTTTGGCCCTAGACAAGAGCAGCGAGAGGCTATTGTTGAGACACACTACCGGTTTACGCTCCCGCTTTACTGGGCCTTGTGGTGGGGGCGGAGCTTGTTGAGGAGGTGGAGCAGGCTGCTGTTGCTGCGCTGGGTTAACCATGATTGGTGGCGCCTGTACAGATGGAGCATACTGCGGCTGTGGGGAATAAAATGCTCCTGCTGCAAAAACACAAAACAAAGCAGTGCAGTTAGTTTTGAAACATTGGTAAGGCTGGCTTGCAAACCAGGCTTGTGGCGAGTGATTTGAATGTAATGCAGCAAGGCGTGTGTATCTACCAACAACATTATTTACCTGGACCGTACAAAGCAAAAAATCTAGTCAATGTCAATACTTTCACTGTATGTACCTCCAAACATTCCAAAATTGTGGTTTTAACTTGACATTAAAAAAGTCATTTGTGTGAAGTAGTCACGCTTGAAAGTTTATACCTCTGGTAGATATTTTGGAGAGAAACATTTTTTAAACTATAATGACAACAGGAATTACCCAAATGAACCTGATCAGAAGTCTCAATGTGTATGCCCTCCTTTAATATCTATAACAGCATGGAGTCTTTTGTGATAGTGTTTATCCTCTCCAATGGTAAAGCCACTTCTTGGCGAAAAGCCTCCAGTTCCTTAAATTTGCATCACCTGCATGTTTGACTTCTCCACATATTGGCTCAATCCAGTCATAATTTGAAAACAGAAAATATGTTTTTAGATAAAATATGGCTACATATAACCGCCAAGTCTAAGTGGAAAAAAGGTTTGTCATTAAGGATCTTCAAAGTATGACCAAAACAATATAATCTCAGCCAGTGATGAAAACTTTCAAGCTCAACTGTATATTGGTATAGTACAGACTTTGGAGCATGGTGCAGCTGCTGACAACACAAGCGCTCACTCACACGCCACTACTCACCAGGGTAGCGCTGAGAGGTGAGAGGAGCACCGTGGAGAGAGAGACGGCCATTCTCTCGGGCAGCGCCTCTCCCCCCACCACCCCGCCTCTCCCTCGCAGCAAGAGGGGGCTCTGAACCACGCAGCACAAGAGAAAAGGGGAGTGAGGGACGGGAGAGGCCGGAAAGAAGCAAAAAAGGGCAGGAAGAGACAGATGCAGAATGAGTTAATGAGAAGATCAAGGGGAGGCAGGGGGTTAGAAATTGGCCCATGAAATGACAAACTACACATTGGTCATCTTTGATCGCCAAGTGGTGGCATTTACCAACTTGCTATAATACGTTATAGAAAAATATTAAAAAATTATAAAAACTCATTTCATGGAACCATAAAGGCAGTGAAACTAGAAAACACACGCCGAAGCATTTGAGCCAGACTGCACACAGCTTGCTACAGTTATTCTGACAAAACAAAAAGGCACTACATTTAAAGCAAAACCATGACTGCTCAATTTTCATAATACTTCCAATTAAACTTAAAACCCAACAATTTTTTGGGCCAAATTCAGCAAACCTTGTTTTGTTCTTGCTGCTACAATTGTCCATATTGTTTTCATGTTGCTACTTGCAGAAAAGGGTGGCTATGCCACAATGACAGTGATGGGACTATTACTAGAATGTATTTGTTTTGTCATGGTTTTGCTCTTTTCTTCTTTTTCTTTTAATTATCAGAAAGAAATGCCTACCAAACCCAGGGTATTCAGCTGGGCTTGTCCCTGGATAGAAACTAGCTGTTCCACTAGTAACAGGATACTGCTGGGTGGTCATGTATGGGGTCCGATACTGAAAAGGAGAGATAAAAAAATATGTATTTCAATGATTCCTAGTTTTGAGAAATGCTGGTTAAGCGATTGAGAACATTTTAATCATGATGTGCAAGTTTTCCCCGCACAAAAGGGATCCATGTAAGGCGCACAAACCCATGAATACTGCAACCTTTCGTCTGAGAACGTGAAGGAACAGCGGCTGCAATTAGCTGTGGCAAAGGAACTTTGCAACAAGCTTCCATCCTTCTGTTGAGGGGAGTCACGGTAACCGGTGTAGGCACTGATCACCACAAAACATGTTGATGGTAACAGTTTCTATCTAAAAAGCCGAAGGTTTCCTCCATGTGTTACTGCGCCCGCCGTTTCAACACTTTAAGGAGTCTATTCAGAGTCTACTGAAGGCTGTAACACCCCTTACCACACACAGCAACAGGCAAGTCACCAGATTTCATAAATACATTTTGTTTCCCATCAGAAAGAGTCTGAACAATACATTTATGTGAAAACTAGGCAAGGCAAGTTTATTTATATAGCACAATTCATACACAAGGCAATTCAAAGTGCTGAACAAAACAAGAAAGCATTAAAATCATAAATAATCACAGATCATTAAAAAGAAAGCTAAAAATATAAAATCCCTTAGTTGTATGCACAGCTAAACAGAACTGTCTTTAACCTGGTTTTAAACATCGTCATTGAGGAGGCCTGTCTCACATCTTCAGGAAGACTGTTCCAGATTTTAGCAGCATGAATCTAAAACTAGTGATAGAAGCAAACAGTTGAGAGCCGTAAGAGCTGTAGATTTCTCCCTGCGCTATTTTACAATGTTTTCCATCCCATATTGTGATCAAAATGTTTGGCCATTTCACCCAGGCCTAGTCAAGACATATGCCAAGTCTTTCATCTTGACTACTACTCAATAGGATTTTTCAGAGGGCCATGGCCTTGATTTATTGATTTTTTTTATTTAGAGAAAGCCCCTTGAGATGCAGCATCTAATTTTCGAGAGGGTCCCAAATGTCTTATCAGTTTCTCACAGCATCTGCTATATTTCATGTGAAGAATTTAACAAAGAAGTCAACATTGCCTGGCCTAACCATTGCAGAGGTTGGACCATGATGCAGAAGACTATATACTGGTTTAGTCCCAGATAGAAAACTAAAAAATGATTATAGGTTACCCACCTGCCCTTGGGGGATGAAGTAGCCCTGGGGGGATCCAGCAAAAGGGATCTGCTGTTGGGGGATCATCATCATCTGGGAGCCAGGGGGATAGACATGAGGCGCGACAGGCCGTGGGCCACTGGTCGGCTGTATCCTGGGAGCAGTGGTGGGCATAGCTGGCCGGTTTTGATAGTAACCCTGAAACAAAAACAAAAGAGGACAAGAAAATATAAAACAAAAATAGTCTTCATACACAACAGTTATATTGTCCTGAATTGACAAGGACCGCCTTGAAAAAGAGATTATTCATCTCAAGGGGCAATCCATAATAAATAAATAAAGCATGCAGTGTTTTCCAAAGTAAATTTGAATGCTCAGTCTGCAGAGCCTGGTAGAACATCTAGTACAACTAGACTTCACAAATGCAGCTTTCAATGCGTTCAAAAGGATGGATTCCATTATCTGAAATGGAGCCAGCAATTCATATTTCTATGTGGAAAGAAAAAAAAAAGCAGCGAGGCCTGTAACGGGTGACAAAAACGATATGTATTTCACATATGTAAAACGTACGGTCAGTTCTGTATACATCAATGGAAAAGTACATCTTTCGCTTGTGTAAATTTAGAGGTATATACAAGCTGTTGAGTGATATTGAAAGGCAAATTTTGATTATAATGACTTATTGTTTGCCGTTTAATTTAGCAATGGTTTAAAATGAATGGGCAATTTTTACTTAAGTTCTATGGCCAAATACCAATTTAATCTTTAATCTAAACTTTTCCTTGACGCCTGATACTCTACTGGAATACTGCATGTTCAGTACTTATTTTTAGTGACAGTTCTCAGCTAGTCAACTTCAATATTTTTGTTAAATCTAAAGAGAAGGACTTTTACCTGTAGCGCTCTGTATCCACCCTTCAGCCGCAAAACAAATGAGCAGAGAGCGAGAGAAGGAATGAGAAAATTGTGAAAATGGACACAGAAGACATTGTGGAAGGTGGGATTTGAGAAGAATAATAGTATCTCAGTCATAAAGCCTAAAATATATGTTTGTTTGTAACTTTCAAAAAAACAAAATTAAATGCCTGCAGGTAGTAGTTTACATGCATTAACTTTGGTTGACTCTAAAGTACTAATCTGGTTTTGGTTCAAATTTACTCAGCATCAGCACTGGAAGCTGGGGTATCTGACTTAAAACCTGAAAAAAAAAAACAATTCTCACAAACCACTAGGTGGCAGAGATTGGCAATTCATAGATTATATTTAGACTATCATCATTATTTAGACTATCATCATTTCACATTATGACTTGGTTTGAGTCAAAAAGTGTCTTGAATGAGAATCAAGTCTTACATGAAATGTGAAACTATAAATACAGAAAGAACTCTATACCGGCAAAAATAATTCAAACATATTCGAGTTCTGTGAATTGACAATTTATGAGTTAGGTACCCCAGCTTAAACTCACAGATGGCCTAATGAAAATTAACAGATTCATAAATCACATCTAAACTAATCTATTAACATGCGACTTTATATGAGGAATAGTTAGGAACACTTAAGGTTGTTAGTACCTGCTGGTGTAAAGTGCGGGGGCCAGCAGCAAACTGGTAGAACAGCAAAAAGAAAGGCAGAATTTAGAATTTAACCTTTAAGAAAAGAGTAGGCCCTCACACTGTTGTTGAAGCAGCCATGTCAAAGTTTGGGGATTTTTTGTATCGCAAAAAAAATGAAATAACCAGGCCATGAACAATACCTGTCTTGGTGGAGGCGCTGAATTCATTTGTGGAGGTGGAGGGGTGGCAAAAACGAGAGATGTGGGCTGTCCAGATCCGTAGGCAGCCTGAAGGGGCAAAATTCAAAGATTAAATGTGATAAAATAGTGTTGTTCCCTATAAAAATTATAATCAACAATTCAAACTCTTCGTCAAATAGGTTTGTTGTCCTTTATGGCATTAACCAATGTGGTAGACTGCTGCGCACGTTTTTTTTGGTCAGGAAAGATACCAAATATTTCAATGAACAGAGGCCCACATGTTTCTTGCTACCTGCCTTGGGAGGGGTCAGAGATGCACATGGGGCAGCAACTGTCAGATTCATGTATTCAAGTATATGAGGAGCAAAATAACAAACTAGCGATAATGTTGATTTTTATTACAAATGAAGCTGCCTGTATTTCATGCTCTGTGATAAAATGTCTGGGGGAATGGCTATACCTCATCCTAAGGGGACTAAGGGCACGGTCACAAACAAAATAGGCCAAGTGCCCCGGATCGTCGCCACAGGGGTGTGAATACGGCCCGCGGTCAGGAGGGTTTGTTTTTTCAACCATGCCAGCCCAAATGCGATGCAGTACAACTCTTGGTCCAGCTGGTGGGGCCAATACTAACTTCAACGTTTAACTCGCGGACTAACTCACTTTGTGTTATCGAAGCAGCGGTTTCAAACGCAAGCGCTGCCCTCGCGCTTTCTGCTCCCCTCCCCGCACTGAAAGTTTTCGCCCCCCACTACCCCCCTCCCACTCAGCGTGTACTCCTGTGCTGTTGTTTATGGAGCTCGTGTAACCCGCATTTCCTAACATGATATTTTTATATTTATTATGGTTGCCCAACATTAATAGTATTTTATGGATATTGCGGCCCAATAAATGCATACAGCGTCAGCGCTGCTTCCCTCTAACCTGCGGGGTCATACCAGGTCATTCCCCCTGCCCCTTCCTTGACGGCTCTCTGTGACTGTGGCCTGTGGCGTGCGTCTGGCTTCTCGGCGTCCATTGTCTTTTACTGCGCTGATTTTGTCTCATATTATCTTTTACAGTCTCACAATATGGATTGCACATTTGAAAGTGGATGGCGTGACCATAGAATGATGAAACCAGGAAGCATGGAGGACGAGACTTTCTTTTGGCCGTTTTGCTGTAACCGGTAACGAACACACAGGAAGTTTTAGGTTCGCCTCCGCCATGATGCTCGTTTACCCCAGGTGTCTGTGCGTGCTAACGAGGAACCTGTAGCTTTTCTCAAGAAAGTGGGGGCCAGTGGTCCACTGTGATTGGTCATTATCTGGTCCCAAATCAAATTCTCTTTGCGTTGCAAAGTCGATCTAAAAGAAAATTACACTCCAGTACAAACCTGTGCTACTTATTCTTCAAAAGGACGTATATCCCAATGCACTGCATGGATATGGATTGAATTTCCCTAATGAATACAAAAATAAAGTGAGGTAGTACAGCTGTAAGTTTCCGTTTCTTTTCCCGTTTACAGAAGGCAGCTGTGCGCCAATTTGCAATCAGAGTAAATGGGCAAAAGTGTGAGATGCGTCTTTATCCAATGTGCAGCCGCTTAGTGGGTAACGTGCACACACTTTGGCGTAAATGGCGTGAGCCTGAGATATTAATCAATGAGAATGAAAAGTGCGGCGTACGGGCAGAGCAACCTGAGCCAGGCAGGATACATGTGTGACAGCAAGGGTCAAAACAGAAGGGACTAATCCTTCGTAGGAACCACTTCCCTTTGCCTCTTGACCATGGTCCGGGGGCACAGATGGTGTAACACAAGCAAAGGAGACTGATAGGTAGAGATATTATAATAGATCCACGGAGGAGACGTGTGTGAAAATGCACATCACAGTGGGCACAACAGTAAGACGCAACGTGACGCCAAAAAAACTTCCCCACCTCTTTCAAGCCGTGGTCACACGGCACATGAAGTCCGAATCTGATCGCGTTCTGGGCCTAGGCCCGCTTTAACTAGGGTATAGGTTGTGCTTGTGAACGCAGCCTAAGTTAGTTTGGAGCCCTGTACTGCACAAGGCCCCACAAGTTGCTACAAATGCATAATATAACATCTGTTTTGTATCTGTTATCCATGCATTTAATATAGCAGCATGGTGAATCAATAGAAATGGCTACCAATCTCCATGCGTCCGTCTGTCGTGAGTAGACCACTCAAGACAAAAGAGAAATCCTCCTATTCTTGATACAGATCACAAGACGTTCCTGAGGCCGGTATGTCCTGTATGAAGGCATTTGCCCTGATCAGCAACAGACATAATATAATAAAGCCTGCTGATGATCATTTTCATTAAGAGCCAAAAGAGCAAGTTTGAATGGTTTCTGCAGTGATAAAAGGCATTTACAGACATCCCGAAAACAAATGAACCAATAGCTTCTTATTGTTTCATTTCCTGTATTCCAATTGTTTGATCCTCTAATCTATTTATTTTATAAAGTCCTCCAAAAACAACTAATCAATTAAGGAAATACAAAAAAGTAATTTGAGTGATAAAGGGGCAGCAGGGAAGCTGTGTGGCCATCCTTCCCAGCTACATTATGACTGACTGTCTATGCAGTGAAGTCCAGCCCTGTTGTAACCTGAAATAAATAATTCAGCACATAATTGCAATGGGTACATTATGAACTGTCCTCAATTAAGCTCAAAATCATTCATTAGATTATTCACATATATTCTAAGGGAGAATCCATCAAAATGAGATCATCATGTCAAAAATCCTCAGTGACTTTGGAGAACCTCACCTGTGTCAGTCCTGGGGAAGGGGCAGGGTTAGGGACAGTAGTAGGTCCCGTTATAGGCTGTGGCGGTTTGTTCATTTCACGTTCTTGTGTGGTTCTGCATTAGAATGGCTTTTTATTGCCAGCCTGTCAAAACAAGATTGAAAGAACAGGCAATAAATATGACGTATCAATAAGACAAACTCTTCTTTCAACAAAAAAAACAAAACTCTTCTTGTCACCAGCACAATGGAGTTTCTGAATATGAGAAATTACAAGCATGAGGGGAACCAGGTTCAGGTGCCTCCAGGCCACCATCCAAGGGAAGTGTTTAGAGCATATCCCACAGGAAGACTCAGGGCAGGAGGAAGCCTCAGCTGGCCTAGGAACACCTCAGGATTCCCCCAGAGAAGTGTAAGTGTACATAGGACTGCTGCCTCCCTGATTCGCAACCAACAAAACAGTAGAACATAGTATGGATGGGTGGCAATAAATACACATTTCTCAACATAAAATGTATGAGTAGTATGGTAATTAAAAGGTTGTGGAAAATTGGACATGCAAGATTCATCAGACCAAATATTCAGTCAATTATACATGAACATTTCGGGACTCAATTGTGTACTTGGCATTACGAAAGTGTATACTTGGCCTCAAAGGTCATTAGTTATATTAATGACAATGTTTATTTTACAATTCCAACACCACATTTTAAAATAAACAACGTTCTCGGTTATACACAAAAAACAAGAACTAATATTAAGTGTATACGTGTCATAGACCGCTGCACTTGCTGTCAAGATAAGTAGATGTGCATTAGCTGTTAGCCCAGTGCCATGCTTGTTTTATACTGAGCTCAGAAACTAACAATCTGTAACCCATCGCAACACAGCAGCAATTATTATAAGGAATACAGCCACAACCACATTTGATGTTATGGTGAAAGAAAATATTTTATTTTCATTATGGAATAATAAAGTATCATTCTCTTGGCCTGTTACTAGCCAGTCAAGTGATGCGTGTCCTTTAGTCATTAGACAAGCATTTACAGATCATAACGACTCACGTTCTGTTTAAGATTTTCTAAAGGTGATAATAGTCAAAAAGAAAGCCAAACAAAACCCGTAACACACAAAATGATAATCACCGTTAGCAACTTAGCACTAGCCTGGATGGTTTGAAAGGCCATTTGAGCGTTACTGGGAAATAAAAAAGATTACGATTTCATTCAGAATAAGTCTAACTCTGCTTGGTTGAATTTCGATGGGTTTTAATCATATAGTACACAGATTAGAAGAACCCAGGTGGCACCGGGTAGCACCAAGTGACCACTTTGAATAGCTAGCTTAAATATAACCAATATCGCCCAATCCTCGTTAGTTAAATGAACACAAATCTACGTGAACTGAGAGACCGAAATATTGACAGATTGTTGCTATCAATGTGTGTTGTGGCTGAATTTGCTCCCTAGTCTTCGTGAGGGTTGACAGCCGGTTAGGCCTGATCTAATGCTAGGCTGTGCCTGTGAGATAGCTTCATGTCGCCAGACCTGGTGTAGCTAGCTAGCAGCATTGCTGACAAGATTATTTTCTCTTACCGGGAATAAGTAACTCTCGTGTCGTTTGACAGAATTTCAGGCACCGCGACTTGGGTTTCTTCGGTTTGCAGTAATAATCCCCTTTTTTCGAAAAACAGTATTGTTCCCTTAGTTATTGACTTAGCTTTAGCGTGCTAAGCTAACCCGGCAGATGGATGAATGCCACTTCTGTCACAGCAGTTTAAATCCCCGGGATGCAAAAGTGACAGTGATGAAAAATGAGAAATATAATAATTTGGAGATACTATTGAGTACTCCGATAGCCCCGAAATAACCCCCTGGACTGGAGGTCCATGATCAAGGCGTCGATGGTTACGGATTGCCGGTAAGGTGTGTACCCAGTGCCTTTGAGGACACTCACAGCGAGGCCATTGCGCTGAACGTACGGAGCCGGTGCCTCCGAGCAGCCGCGTGGACAACTTCCGGTACAACTATAATGATGTCGTTACCTCAGTCATGTGGTACAGGAAACAACCAAAGACAAACCAGTGATGCTCTTCTTTATACACTCAAATGGCCACACCGCTGGCCCAATAACACAGTGGTTCCAACATGTCTCGAGTAGATCTGCCCTAATTGTTTCATACTAGACTATAAGTTAAATTTAAAATAAATACGTGAGTCAACAATATTCTTAGTCAAATTCAATTTAGCCTCTTCTCCTGGTTGGGAATCATTGACCCAAGAATGAGTGGGGCTGAACAATAATGAAAATAATATCAATTCTATATTTTTCAAACATGTGGAAGAGAATGAAGTCATCAAAATTAGTAAAAAAAAAAAGACAAATTATAATGACAGAATGACCAATTATCTTACATATGGTGTAGCCTTCAAGTTACAAAGCTATTGAAGAAGATGACCCGGTCTGGGATCGCGTCTTTAATTCTGACAGAAGACATGTATTATTGTCGATGGTAGAGACAGCACGAACAACAGATACAACAGAATGCAAGTGTATTATACAGAGCGGAGGCATGGAGACCTCCAATCAGCAGCTTCCACGGTGTGCTTGTAGCTTGGCCTTCAGATAGACAAAACAAGGGAAAAGTACTGGCTTCTGCACATTGATAGAATGATGAGTTTAACTTTAACAAAAGTTGCTTAAAAGTGTTATGAAATCTCACATTCCCCCCTCTGGTCACACATTCCTGTTTGACCATCAGGATCGATAAACAGCAACATAACATCATAACTCAATACTTAAACTCGGTACTTCACTCGGTACTTCAAAAAACTCAGAACTCGGAATACTTAAAAAACTCGGAAAACTCATAAAACATGTTCAGATCTTTCATAAAACTTGTCAACAATCTTCAGTAAAATACCAAACTTCATCAGTCGATGGTGGTTCCAGATATTGCTTTGAAAACAGTCTCTCCCACTTCTCCGTGTTGATTTCTTTCAGGCTGCATTTGTGTCGAGCCATGAATTCTTCTGTGACGTGTCTTTCAATCACACGTTTCAGCTTTAGTGTCCAGATTCAGAAATCCAATTCAGTCCAAATTATGTCCAAATTCAGAAATCCAATTGTTCCAAATTATGTCCATGCAAAAGAGGACGCTGGTGTTGTCCATGTCTCAGCAGCTCACAGCCTGAGTGGAATCAGGGGCTGTGCAGATTGTCCAAGTCTGCTGGTCCAGATGCATTCTCTTGAGGTTTCTCAGTTTTGGCTTTAAAAAAAAAACACTTTTTGTGTAAAAAAAAAAAAGTCTTCTGTTCTCTAGATGTTACAGACAAGGCCCACATCCTTCCACCACCTGAAGAAGATGACCCGGTCTGGGATCGCGTCTTAAATTCTGACAGAAGACATGTTTTATTGTTGATGGTAGAGACAGCACGAACAACAGATACAACAGAATGCAAGTGTATTACACAGAGCGGAGGCATGGAGACCTCCAATCAGCAGCTTCCACGGTGTGCTTGTAGCTTGGCCTTCAGATAGACAAAACAAGGGAAAAGTACTGGCTTCTGCACATTGATAGAATGATGAGTTTAACTTTAACAAAAGTTGCTTAAAAGTGTTTATGAAATCTCACACTATCCCTACGATTAGGTATATTTTTAGAAAGAATGAAAGTTTCAAAATCCCATATATACAACTTGGGATCGAATATTCACCCACACTGAGAGTCTTCAGCGAAATATTGGAAATGAGGAAGTGGCCTGAAACATGGAACTCTGCAATTTTCACTATTATGCCCAAGGAGGGAAAAGACATGCAAAGATGCTTTTCATACGTGTGGAGAGGCCTAAAGAACATCTCCGGCTTTGCACAGAGTGCTAGAGGGACAGCGGAGGGAGACCAGCACCGGGCGGATGAATTTAACCAATATTTCAACCGGTTTTATTCTCCCTCCTCTCCATCTGCCCCCCCTCCCGCCCCCAGCTACATGTACAACCTGAGCCTCAGCCTGGAGAAGGTGCCTGTCCTGTGGAAGACCTCCAGTGTGATCCCGGTTCCTAAAATAGCGCATGCCAAGGAACCGGCTCACTACAGACCAGTCGCACTGACCTCCCACCTGATGAAGACCATGGAGCGGCTCATCCTCACCCATCTCCGCTCCGTGGTCAGCCCCACCCTGGACCCGCTGCAGTTCGCCTACAGACCCAACATCGGAGTAGAGGACACCGTCATCTACTTACTGCAGCGGTCGCTCTCCCACCTGGAGCCCGCCGGGAGCGCTGTGAGGGTCATGTTTTTTGACTTCTCCAGTGCTTTCAACACCATCAGACTGGCACTGCTGCGGGGGAAGATGGAGGACAGTAACCTCACTGCATGGACCATCAACTACCTCAGACCGACCACAGTACGTGCGGCTGCGCAGCTGTGATTCTGAGGTGGTAGTCTGCAGTACTGGGGCCCCTCAGGGCACTGTCCTCTCACCGTTTCTCTTCACCATCTACACTTCAGACTTCACATACGACACACAGAGCTGCCACCTGCAGAAATTCTGCGACAATTCCACCATTGTGGGCTGTGTGACTGAGGGGAACGAACTGGAATATCGATCGGTTATCACAGACTTTGTCGACTGGTGAGAGCGCAACCACTTGTGCTTGAACACCAGTAAGACCAAGGAGATGGTGACCAAGTCGATGACTTGGTAAGACCAAGTCAAGTACCTGGGTGTTCACATTAACAATAAACTGGACTGGTCCCATAACACCAACGCCCTGCACAAGAAGGGCCAAAGTCGCCTCTTCCTTCTGAGGAGGCTGAGGTCCTTTGGAGTGAGCAGGCCTCTGCTCAGGACTTTTTATGACTCTGTGGTAGCCTCTGCCATACACTACGCTGCCGTACAGGAGCAGACTGAACAAGCTGCTCAGGAGGGCCAGCTCCAGTCTGGGCTGCCCCCTGGACTCTGGTGAGGGTCAGGAGGGTGCTAGTCAAAGTCACCTCCATCATGGACAACACCTCCCACCCACTGCACAGGACTGTAGAGGAGCTGAGGAGCTCCTTCAGTGGAAGACTGAGGCACCCTCAGTGCAAGATGGAGCGCTACCGCAGGGCCTTTCATCCCCACCGCTGTCAGACTGTACAACAAGTCACTTTAAATCACTGCATTAAGACTGAAAAACCTGAACTACATTGACACAGTTTCTTGATTGCCACTTTCTAATTTGTCACTTTTTGTACATAATATATCCTGCATTTAACATGTTTGCACATTTCTTACTTTTTGCACAATCTTGAGTGTTTCTATCCATGCCAGATGTGACATGTAAATTTCTCCTGTGTGAGATTAATAAAGTAAATCTTATCTTTTAGTATAAAATCCAATATCCCTATTAAATGTGGACCACAAAATGTTTACGTCAATTCTAGCCAACAGACTGTCTGGTACTTTACTAGAAATAGTATAAACGGACCAGACGTTTTTTTTGTCAAAGACAAACTGCTGAGCAATAACATGAGGAGAGCCATTAACGTTACAGACTACATAACTACTTAAAAAGAGGGTCGCGACAAAGGGACCCCATCGCTGCACAAATAGTCCTACAGCTGCTGTTCCGTAGAATGGGGTCATATTGCTGGAAAGATGAATGTGTCCCGACTTTGGGAATGACTAGGAGCCTGGTGCAGGAGGAGTACAGGGGCTGGGAAGGCTCACGTGCACTCCCGGGTAAACCGTAAATACACAGGTAAATGCACTTCAAATGCATTCATGTTCCCAAAAAAAAATAAAAAAAATAACAATGCCTTTTTTCTTGCCGGTCAGAAAATTGCTGCTCCAGGAGTTATGCACAGAAGAATTGGAACACAATTTCAATCTTCCAGAAAAAAACTGTGGCCATGTTGAGACAGCTTGTAGAAGTTCATGGTGTATGAATATTGTTCAAGGCCCTGTAAATATGTTAGCTGCAAGATGAAAATGGTCCTCCACTAAAAGTACATTCAGATCACACATCTCTCACTCATTCACCCTTTTCACTTTCTGCTTACATTCACGATTTGAATGCGAAATGAATGAAAGAAAAACAACACACTCAGAAACAACATATTCAGAATTATAGTAATGGACAGAAATAGAACTCTTTTGGAAAACATTCAAAAATAATTTTATTGGCAGGTTTGGAAAGTACAAGATTTCTCCAGACCTAGGAGAAGAATAACAAATTAAAACACATTATTAAATCAATGAAGCAAAACAATACCCATGGGATTTCTTACCTGAGGTAATAGCATTGCATTTCCTGAGTGAGTCCATGGCTGTCATGTAATTTGGTCCCAAAAAGTATTCGTAATTATCACTGTGTACCTCCTGTAGACATTGTGTGGAGTCTTTGAAGAGCAGGTTTGTATTTCCGATATCTGGCTTGAACATCCCAAAAGTTGCACTGTCAGATCCGTTTCGCCCAAACTTGTCCTGTAAATGAATCAAAGTTATTCACCATTTCCCTAAAATTTCTTGCAAATAGTCAAAGGTAAAATTAACCTGTTGTTCCAAGAGAACGCGGACTACTTCACTTCGTTTTTCGGGCCTAGTCACAATAGCATGTGCAGGAACTAGAGCCAAGTTGCATGATTCGTAATCACTAATTGGTACTGGACTATCCTTCCCAGGACAAATCAGCTGGTAGTCTTCGCTCTTCAAATTGTTTGCCCATTGTGGACCACGGCCTTTCAAAATAAAGACATAATTTTTCATCAGAGGTTGCTTAAAAATTTCAATTTCCAACCTGTTCAATTTGTACCATCGGTGTTTTCCCCAACAATTGTGTGTTTGATGAAAGCCACATTACCAGCATCTTCTGCAAGACAACTATAAACCAGAAACAAAATCAACTCAAAGATGGGAGCATGATCTAAAATTGTGAAATTTGTTTGTAATACACATGTGACAGGGATGGCGGTCTGAGAGTCTAAAACTCTAAATCTCTGGATACTTTTACCTCTGATTGAGTCTGATAGAGGTACAGAAAGTAAAGACTTGGATCGAGAACCTGGACAACCTGGATCCAGCCATTGTCACAGTGCGCATAAATGGAGCTAATCTCAAATATCAAAGTTACCTAACTAAACAGATTGTATGTATTTTTGTTATTGTCCAAGACCGGTGTGTTTGTGTTGTGTGTTATACAAAAAGTAATAGAAAATAAAATATAGGTTGTAAACATTTCTCACCGGAAGGCCCCGGCATAACCATAGTACTGCTCGCCTGCATTTGCTTTGCATTTTGCTTCATCTCCAACATTTTTTCCACTGCCAATACACTGTTGGCAGAATACAGAGCTCGGGTCTGCCCCAGGGGCACAGCCACTACTGAAGAACTTACCTAAAGAAGGAAAACACATATAGCTCATCCGTAGCCTTAAAGTGTATGTTGATTTTAGAGTGTCTGCTGTACATACCAAAGTCACAGTCATTTGTTTGTTTGTGGATAAGACCCATTGGGATGTTCCAACCAGCTGTTCGGCCCATGCCAGTGTGACACGATTTCTTTCCTTTAAGGTTAGCCCAGGTTACTCCAGAGTCCTTCTTAATCACAGCCACCGAATAATAAGAGGACAATGACACTAAAAAAATAAATAAAAACATCTATTAAAGACACAAATACAACCATGTCAGAAGTATTACATTTAGATATTGTTTGTGAATATTACCTCCTTCACTGCCACATTTAGCTGTAAATTCAATAAAGTGTCAAATTTGGAATCATGAGCATTTTACTTTGCTTGTTCAATATAAAACAAACCTTCTTCATACTGCTCTGCCATGGCTGGAACCAAACCACACTTTCCAGCAGTGTACACCTGCCCTCCATCCACAGCCATTGCATCTGCTTCGTTACGCTACAGACAAGACGGTCAGAACTAAACTGATATCAACCAAACCAAAAAGCCATTCATTTTACCATAATTTTCTTGAAACATTCTTCAACTGTTGCACCTGCCACGCATTCAATAGAATTGGTCTTTGTAACGCCTGAGAAACTGAGTCCTGACCATGTATCACATTTGTGAAGCTCAAGATGTCCAACAGCGCACCATCTAATAGAAGTGGGAGTTGTGGGGCGGGATGTGTCTAAAAGAATTAATTTACAATCAAGCAATGACTTGTAGCCGAGTGTGGGTTGAAAAAATGGTACCTTTAAGAAGAGAGTGGATTTTATTAGTGTAATCAACACCAAGATAGAGGACGGAATCTGTGTCTTGAGGAATCTGCTCAAGCCTGGCTGTTGTGTCACTGAACATCAAGTTTTTGCCTCCATAAGCTTCAGAGGAAAACAAGTCAAAATCCTGCAACATATACAAATTTTATTGCAATTTTATTACAATACAGTTGTTATTGTGATTGATTTCTTTGTTTAACTTACGGTCACTGCTGTGAGGTTTTCAAAGATATATTTAGCCAGTTGGTTGTCTTTGCGGCTAACAACAGCGCGTGCTGGTTCTCTTCCAAGATTGCAGGTTTTGAAGTTGTGGAGAGGTTCCCTGGAGTTGTCTTGGCAGAGCAGCTCATAGTTGTTTTTCTGAGATGCTTGAAAATGTATTTTTTCTTGTATTAAAATCAACACATTTCTTTTGTACAACAGTGATATAACTTGTTCCGTTCAATACATACATGGAACTTGAGTGGGATTCATAAATGCAACATCTCCATCTTCCAAACACCTGTAAAGTAGCCAAGATTGTAGGTCACATGCATTGCTTTGCAGGTAAAAGAAGGGAATAGTTTATACTAACCTAAAGGCTCCAGCATCACCAAAATAACCAGTAGGGCAGCCATTGCAATGTTTGCACAGGCTGTCTTGAACACCACACACAGAACTGAAGAATTCACTGACAACTGAGAATAAAAGGAAAAAAATAAGTCTGCACTACGGCCTGATCATTCAATGTGAAGTATATGGTATATATAAAGTACCTTGGATAAGAGGTTTGTCATCTGCGCCACCCCATTCAATTAAACCCTTACTTAACAGAGTGCCAATAGGAAGGTTCCAGCCACGAGAGTCTCCCATTCCAGTGTGGCAGGATTTCTTTCCCCTAAGGTCATTCAGCCCAAATAAAGTGTTCTTCTTCACCACAGCTGCACTAAAGGTGCATGCTTCATCATTGTCTATGACGGAAAAATATTGAAGATAATTGTTATTTGAAAATGTCTTTTGTTTGTTTTAGTACAAGTAACATACCACTCTTGTACTTCTCAGCAATGATGGGAGCTAAGTCGTAATTTCTCAGTCCAGCTGTGTAGATGTCCACGGCAGGGAGAGTAATGGCATCTGCCTGTCCATCCTGTTAGAAAGGTTAGTATTTTACATACAGTTATCCCAATGGTTTAGTAACATTTAATTTACAGGCAATTTTAAAATCAATGATGACTAAATGGTGGAACCAGAAGTAAAGTTAAAGTTTAATGTGATGATTTGAAACATGATGTCATTTTCACATAAACTTTGTATTATCCATGGAAGAGTAATCTAAAAAAAAAAGTCTAGTATTGAATAAATGAAAGAAATAATAGGAGATATGAAACATTCTTGACAAGATGATAGAACCTGTGCAACTTGAATTATACTGTATTACACAAATCACAAACAGTAACTTTCAATTACCTTGATGGCAATAATGCATTCCAAATAGCTGTTTCTTGTCACACACCCGAAAGCAGGATGTCTTGCTGCCAGGTCGTTACATTTCCTGTGTTCCTGGTCTGAGACGCACCACTTAATTTTTGTGGTGGAAACTGCAAATACTGTGGCAGAAATAAAAAAAATATAACATTATTGAACAACGCAATATAAATAATAACTGGTTGGTAGTAGAAATATTACCCAGACAGCACAGTAGCACAGCAAGCTGAAGCTTCATGTTGGCGGCAGGCTCTTCAGGTCGGCAGAGTAGAGAGGAGACAGTGACAAATGTTTATATACTGCAGTCAGTCCCGCCATCAACTGAAAAAAAGAAAAGAAAAAGTCTACTCATGTTTCCTAATACTGGAGCATAGGCGCACCTTTGTACCTCAGGGCTTGCTCCCGGATAGTCCCAAATTTCAAGAACACGATCCAATATCGACCACCACAATGTTATCATTCTTTAGTAAGCTTTTTTATTATAATGTATATACATTAGTAATGAAACTTTCATAGTTTCATGTAACTAACCTGATGATTAGTTAAACCTTGAATATTGACTGAAAGTGCTTAAGTTACAATATGTCAATAAATTACACAATGACATTATCAGTAAAAAACTTCAAAGTCTAATTATGGATTAGACTGGGAATTTGTTGTGCAACATGCACTCCTTTTGGCAGGAATAATAACGCATTGTTGAACGTTGGTTTTCAGATTCATGCTGCTAAAATCTGGAACAATCTTCCTGAAGATGTGAGACAGGCCTCCTCTCTAACAATGTTTAAAACCAGGTTAAAAACAGTTCTGTTTAGCTGTGCATACAACTGAGGGATTTTATATTTTTATCTTTCTTTTTAATGTACTGTGATTATTTATGATTTTAATGCTTTGTTTTGTTCAGCACTTTGAGTTGCCTTGGGTATGAATTGTGCTTTACAAATAAACTTGCCTTGCCTTATCAGCCCATGGATGAACAGACCAAACGTCCAACAGTCAATGTCTTTGAAAATAATATTCAAATAGAGAGATATCAAAAACCCTGAGGACTGTAGTCTGAGAGCTGCCAACGCCAGAGCACATGCCACACAAATCCAAATACCTATCCAGTTTAAAAAAATATTTAGGTTTAGATTGTTCTTTGGCAATGTTCTGGCCTCAGTTCTACTCATTCTGTTATCGAACCATGCGATTTCCTCACTTCCTGGATATGATCCTGACGTAGCCTGTGAGTCTATATTGATTTAAACTTGATAAACTGTCAATGTTGCATGCTTTTTACAAGCTGTACAGACATTCTATACTGAGTGTTGAGCCAGAAAGAGCAGGGCCAATACATTATAGTTGCAAAGTACATTGTTTTAATGCAATAGTGCAACAGAAAATGTGACTCAATTGACGCCTGAAATACCCAAGAGATTATTCATTAACTTTCATTGACTTCTTTCTGAGAAGTACAGGGGTCGTTGTCATCCTTATGCAACTTGTTAAAAAGCCCAAACTGGCAGGTTTTTTGGCCCTGATGACACCTAATTTCACAATGCATTATTTTTATTTCTTTAAGAGTTTAGGACCATTTTATAGCATATTTTGCTTTCGCATTGACACCGTAAAAGAATATTTCTTACTGAGCAGATTTGTATATTCACGTCTGTGTTGTCATGTTTGGACAGCTGCATCTGCTTTTCTGACCATTGCTCTCTGCAGGCAACTTTAAAGAGGGTCACTCCAGGTTTGTAGAAGAGCAACATTTCAATAGAAAATAATTGCTGGAAAGAATGGTGCATTTATTCATCAGAATACAAAAATATATATGTTCCTTGTGAAATATTTCAAATCACATTAAAATAGGAGTGAGCGGTATGGCATGTCACCATTAGCATCTAATGGTGCTGAATTTTGGGATTGATGGAATAACAAACCATAGTATCAAATAGTATATGTCAACAGGAAAGTTTTTATCGTCATAACGCTCAGCCCTTTATTAAAATCTTCACTGAATATTAAAGACTAACGTAAAAAAACACCTAAACTACCATAGGTTTCTTTAGTCAGCAATTTCTGTAACCAAAGTTTAATTAACAAATGTTCATGAATCAATAAGTACCAAAACACCAAAGTCCCATATTTTGGTGGGTATATTTTAACATCAGAATATTGTCTTGGCATCATATTAAAAAATAAAAATAACATTTACAACAGCCAAATCTGTGTCACCAAGTCACCTCAGTGTAAAGTCTAGGTCCGATGAGCCAACAATTTCAAAGTCATAACTTATGCTTAAGCCCATATTATTACCCCCCTGATCCAACTTTAAAACACGTCTGTGCAGACACCAAGTGAGATTATCGAAACATGTACTTGATGCGTGGTTGAACTTCTTTTTCAGTTTTACAGTCAGATTTTCTTGAGGCAGGCAAAGGGAGTTTACCTGCCTCAAGAAAACAGGAGCCTGATAATATAGTCCAGTTTCTACTATCCATTTACTGAGACATTCTGTACGTATTCAATATTCCATGGAGTCTCATCCAGCATCAAAGATCCACTTCAACTGCTATATTTTGTATCAACTTGTTTCGGTATGTTTAAAATAAAAAAAAATAAAAAAGGATGGCAAGCTATTAGACAACAGCATATATCAAATATTGCTGGCTTTATATCATCACCGATTTAATTAAGGGCCCTACACAAATAGTTTGGATGCCAGTAATAATAGCACATCTTTCGATCATTCATCCATGGAAATAACAATATTGTATAAGAGCCAGAATCATTGTCCCAGATCGTGATGGTCTAATGAGCCGCTGGAAGGTTAATTCCTCTCCTGCACAAACACTGTCTCCTGTGGACATAAGCCCGCCTCCTGCAGGGTGATGTCATAGTCCAAATGGGCGAGCTTTCTCCTAGGGAAGTTGGTTACAAGTTCAAAGCGTTCATTGGGGTATCCTTTTGACTGCACATGTTTTATCAATGCCTAGAATAAGAAAAGAAATAAAAACAATTACAAGAAAGAAGAAAAGTGCGTAGTCACTACCCACATCAGAAATAGGAGACATTCCTTACCAGTAGTTTTGCGTTTGAGGATAACGAAATCTGTTCTTTTTGACCATCTGGATAACGTAGCATCAGTCTGGCTTTAGGGCCTATAAGCAAACAACATAATTTAGAAATATTTATCATATACAAGTGCACAAGCAGAGCCAATCGAGATAAAGGTCAACCAAGATGTCCGTTGCCCATATATTCGGATTTGAAGATAAAGAATAATTTGGACGGTACATTTTGATAACATTATATTTTGAAAGGGTTTTTTTCCATTATCAAGTTAATTTAAATAACTATTAGGGGCTCTACAGAGAACTGCATAAAGTAAGTGGTTTCAAGTGCACATGTTAATGAGGATGTATGGTTTGTCACTACTGGCCACTTCTGCCACTGGATGGCAGTAAAAAGTCAGTCACTTATCACAAAAATGAAATATATGAATTTGAATTGTATTTGTTTGTACAATAATTATACAATCTATTGCAAAAATCATGTGAAATATGTAGTTTACATGTATTGCACATTAATAACAGTCTTTATATTAAATGCAAAACTTAAAAAGGTGATGTAGTAACATCAATTTCACTTAATGTTTTAAAAGAAAACATTTGTCACTTTATGAGCCTGTAGTATCATGCATTTTGAGAATATTGATAACAGTCCCCTCTCTTGGCACAAGTAACATTTTCTGGGAGAATTAACCCACAGCCTACGTCATCAAGAAGTTGCACGTTTGTCGCATTGATGCAACAGAAGTATCTTGCAGGCGGACACAGATAAGTGCATAAAAAAATCGCAGGTTTCTGCAATTATTGTTTTAACCCCAAATACTGAACATGGACTTAAGTAGAACTTAAGTCCATACATAGCAAGAGAAGCAAAAGTAGCCTGGCTTCTAGCTATCAAGCCCGGAGAGTAGGACCACCATCAAGAATGCGCGCTTCTGCAGTGGCCATTTTATATCAGGTAAATGTGGTTTCATAAACAATGGTTAAAAAAAGTCATCCTTCGGTTGCCATAATGCACACCATAGACTGTAAATATTAACGGACGCAGTGGCCCCTATTTCCTCCGTTGAAATGTATGTGTGATCAACATGCACAGGCTGCGAGCAGTCCCTCCCACAGGAAAATGCGATGGGCATACGTGCATTCAAAAGTCCACAGCGGTTAAACAAAAAAAACAAAAAACCCTCCTCAGCATTGAGCCAAGATCCAACTTTTGGACCGGGCTGTAAAGTCATTAAGAAGGAAAGACGACGCCATTAGAATGCGTTGAATAATTCTGTTTCCGGGGTACGCCACCACTGGCAAGGATTCAGATTACAAGCCTTTCAAAGCACTTGCTCATGGACCCTTGAGGCGGGACCTGCCCCCCACTGATGCACACACAGCCATCTTTGTTTACAAAAACTGGGATTGTAGTTAAACCCATTGTGAGAATCTGAATTCTTTATGTCAATCAGGAGCTGTGATGGAAAGCATGGGTGGGTTGGACGTTTGCGTTTGAACATTTTCCCTCTTTACACAATCCGACACTGACTTTATCATAGTTATACTCATATATAACACTGTCATTTACAATGGCCAAAAACAAGTGTCGGAAGCTTTTGGAATTTCTCACATTTCTGCATCAAATGTAATCTAATCTTTTGAAAAGAAATTACAGATGATAAAACGGTGTCTGCTTAAACTAAAACCACCCAAACATTCTTAGGTAGTCATTTTTTTAATGATGATAACTTGCAAACAATGACAGAAGGGGGAGAAATAAGTAACTGAACCTTCAGCTGAAAGAAACTTGGGAGAGCAATTAATGTCAGGTGTGTGTCCAATCACTGAGGAGCGTCTTAAAGGTACGCAGACCACAATACAAGAGCTCTTTGAAGACCTACAATCAAGAATTGTTGATTTGTATAAAGCTGGGAAAGGTTAAAGAACCATCTCTAAAGGGATGCATATTCATTGTTCCACAGAGAAACTTTCTACAATTGGGGAGTTTGACACTGCTACTTTTCTCCCAAGGAGTAGCCGTCCATCATAAATGACGTCAATCGTTCAGCATAGAAAACTCAGAGGTGACAAAGAACCCTAGAGTGTCGACCATTCCAAAATCTGTGTTATCTGTATATGGGAGGACTCCACTGAACACAGGAAGAAGCCACTGACTAAAAAAAACATTGCTGCATTTTTAATGTTCACAAAAAGGACACCCAACAGAACTACTTGCAAAATATTTTGTGGACCAATGAAACCAAAGTACAATAGTTCCTGGAGAACACATTTCACTATGGAGAAAAAATGCAACAGCTCACCAACATCAAAAGCCCACCCCCACCATGAGGCTTGGAGAATTGCAATCATTATTGTTTGCATTACAATTGGAATGCAGACGTTTATTAAGATGTTTTGCGGAAAAAAGTGATTGGTCAGAAAGAGTCAGTTTCAGCAAATCAACTAAATGGTTTCTGAAGAACAAAACAAATGTTCTGGAGTGCCCAAGTCCTGACAAGAACCCCATTGAAAGCTTCTCATAGTATGTGGACGTCATTAAAAATATTAATATAATTCCAAAAGCTACAGATACTTTTTTCAGGCCACTGCATCTGTTTAGTTTATTTTTAATATTGGTCAATATAGATTTTTGAGCATAACTATACGGGAAGCATCAGAACTGAATAAAGGTGACTCAGTAAATCCCTAGATCCCAAATGTTGCAATAAGTATTTCTTCTTACCATTATCCTCAGGGCAGTCAAAGTCACTGGATTTGGAAGTGCTTTTTTTACAAGGTCCTTCACTTTTGGATGTTTTGACACAGTGGTCCCCCCTTGAATCTGCCTCAGCCGGAAGTCCACTGGTCACTGGAGTATCCAGGTGGTTCTTTTTGCTCTCCTCTTTCTTGTGACCCTGGTTGTTTTCTTTGTATGGGGACTTTCTGTGACATGAAGGGGAAGTATCGTGCTGCGAATGTTGTGGGGCAGAGGTAGGAGCTGAGACATCCTTAGTAGAAGAGGAACCACTCCCTTCATTGGGCTCTGAGAGTTCACTGTCTGAACCGTCCACAGAGATGGGCCCTTCGCTGTCAGAGAAAGGCTCTGCATCGGAGTCTTCATCTGAGCGCAGGGATCCTGGGGTATCAGTGACGTTTGAAGACTCGTAGTGAGTCTCCTGCAACGATGCACGTATTGCTGCTTCCAGCTGACTGTCCTCACTGGCATCGATTAAACTCTCCTGCAAATGACAACTTTACTTAATAATGACGTATATGTCAATTCAAATAATCACGGTAATTAATAATTCATAGTACATACATGAAATAATGTAAGATGTATCTAATATACATCTTATATAATATAAGTTTGTACCAAGTTTCATATTTGGATGTTTGACTATAAGGCCCTCTATTTTGGTTATGTATATTATGTTCATAATGCTCAATAAACCGTCTATCTTTTTTTTCTCCAAAAATCCCTTAAAAAGCATGCAATAGTATAAATATGATGCATTAAAACTTAACCCACAGAACGTGCTCTTTTTGCAGGAGGGGCAGGGCATGATGGGCCGTCTAATTGCCCATGTTCAGTAAGGAAGCCGGTTGTCTGCTCCAGAAAAGACGCCACATCTAATTCGTTCCATTCCACCATCTTCTGACCTAATGAAAAGCACAGTTCAAACACCTCACAATTTTCTTCATTTCATATTATGCCGAAAAATCATTGGTGCACAACTGACCTGTGCGAGGATCTAGGATTGAAATGTAAGGAAATTTGTTAAGCTTGTAAAATTGGATATATCTTTGTCCTTCTTCGCTATCATGATAGACCTATGATGGGCAAACACATTACTGGATAATCATTCTCATACTTTATTGTATCGTAAGGAAGGGAGATGTGAATTCAGGACACTTGCCTGCCAAAATATAAAATGCTCTCTAATGATAGTCTTCACAGCATCATTGCTCCAGACATCTCGGTTCAAACACTGGCAGGCAAAGTCTTGAACATTTTGAATGTTGATCATAAGCCACTTGTTCTCCAGCTGTCCACAGTCTTTTGCCTGTATGAAAAACAGCAATGATTACTGCTCCAAAAAGACATTTCCGGCAACATAAATGATGACCTAGGATTTACATGAGAGACAGCCACTTCCCACTCCTCTCCTGGGAAATTATATTGCTTGAGTGTTCTATGGGTCAACTATTTTTCTCTGCAATAAATGAACTCACACTTGCTACTTAATTAAAATGTACGTACCAACTAATTTAGTTCAACCAAAGGCACTAAATGCAATTTTAAGCTGCATAGCTTGTAGTCGTTGTATGCTCACAAATATACAGCTGTCCAGAGATTCTATCTTATTTGGAGATCCTTAATGGTAACACCTTTTTTCCCCAACCATCATTAGTGGTTGTGTAATGTATGGCACCATTGAGCTGCACAGGGGAGATCTCAAATTTGCAGTTTATGCAAGGTGGCTGAGGAATATTGAGTAACTTTTTTCCAAGAAGAATGGGTGGCTATACCATCAAAGGATAAAGAACCTCATCCACAACTACCACATAAGATTCCATGTTGAAGAACTTCCAATCAGAATCTCTAAAGTAGTTTCTGTTGTCATTATAATTCAAAAATAGAAAACATGTTTATGGGACCATAAATGGCTCACACAACCGCAACCCAAGAGTGAAAATGCATATGACAAAAAAAAACAAAAAGTGTGCTTGCTAGGCACAACTGTAAGCAAACATTCAGACAAAGCAATAACATATTTGAAGTATTAGAAAGTGCACTTCAGAATGTCAATATAGGCTTAAATTCACCATACAAATGGAGAGGTATTAAATGTTGTAAATGAAGCCTCACCGTTTCAAAGCTTCCTTTGTGCATGAGCTCAATAGGTGGACGGAAAAGGTCTGCCAAAGTGCTAAGTTTCTTGTCGACCGCTCCACCATTTCTCAGTTCCTGCTCCTGGCGTACTAAAAGAAACAATTTCATTGTAAGGCAAACAGTGACTATACAAATATTTGCTTTTATCTTTTCTCACTTGTTTCAGTTTGGAAATCACGAAAGCCGTCAAATATTGAACGGGCAGGTCTTCTTCGTTTTGGCACTGTAGATACAACAAACATGTTTTAAATGTTCTTTTAAAAAAATCATTTAGAAAATTGTGGAAGAGATTTCAGCAAAATACCTCCAAATAAAGGTTCTGGTTCTACCAAGATTTCCTGCTTCTGGGGAATTGGAGCTCTTACTTCGCTACAGCAAGAATGAACAAAACCCTAATAATTAATATATTGTTACATATGTTCATATTTTGCCTGCAACAGATTTTGTCTCAGTAATGATGCAGTGTATGACAGACTAAAGTTGTGTCGTGCTTTGGCTCCTCATATAATAATAAAAATACATCTTACTCAGCTGGAGGAGCTCTACTGCTTGATGCTGTAGTGCTGGAACTAGTGCTGGGCTCTTCTGCTAATCCACCTCCATCCAGAAACATTGTCACTGCCATCTCCAGGTTGTTGTTGCATGCTTCCAGCATATGTTTTCCCACACTCTCTGTGGCCCCTTTAAAAGTTGGATGACAATGTTGACATGACTTCAAAACAGACACTGACCTATTTCAGCGTAACTGTTTCAATAAAAAAGAAGTCTGCTTCTATGTCACAACTCAGCAAGTCAAACTTTAATTGCAAGGGGATAAATGGTCACAATTTAGAGCCAGAAAGAGCTGCTGAGGCACGGAGTGGCATCATTCGTACTGCGCATGTCCGTTTCACTTTTTAAGTCCAGCAGTAGATGTAACTAATTCGGCCTTCCCTTCTTCTGTTTTCCGTTTACTAACACACCACTGACACAGATACTGCACATATGCAAACTATTCATAATGAGGTGTTTGTAGTTGGTTTTCTCCACAGCTCTGACTGAGTGAGACCGAAGAGGCGAAAGCTCCCAATCGCCCTCCATTCCTCTGAATCAAACTCCATGCAGCGTAAATGTGAAAAGAACCCGTGTTCACAACTGCAATCTCCTCTGCCACAGTGCCCCTTGAAAGCAGAGTAGATACACTTTTCAGACATGGCATTTGAGGCTCACTTCTGACTTTTTCCGCGCAAACTAAGCAGATTTTGTGTTTTATCTTTTACCAATGCAAGCATTGACAGCGTAGAGAGGCTGGAGCAACACTTGACCGTCGATTTTTCCTGTATGCTACACATTTGTGTCCGTTTCACTGAAGTGACTACTGCTTTAACCTATCCCAAACATATACAATGGCTCAAAATCCTAAATGTCATATATTTATACCTGTTATTGCTGTAAATTGTTGTATTAACTCGTTCATCCCCGGATCTGAGTTGTCTCCGAGCGCCGCCATCTTACCGCCACAAACAACAACATAAATGCAGCGCATGCGCTTTGCTAACCTTTTTCCTGGCTGGCGCGCGAGCACCAAAGGAGTGAACTGTAGTGTGGGTAATGTAGTTCTTTGAAAATGAAATCGCAGCCTCACGGAGGCCAAATATGTGGTAACCAATCCTGACACAAAGACTTTGCACAATAGCGTATATTCTCAATTAAGTAAAGCATTTTTGGTAAGCAGTGTGATTTTATTTGCATTTATACATTCATTTCCAAAATAAGCTCAACACTGTAAACCCATTTGGCCAGGTTGGACACCAAATTCCTTGGCTTGAATTTGAAATATTATTTTCGACGCAAAATAGAAGTGCACAATTGACCTTTTCTGGTGGGGGGAGTGGTATCATTAAACCTTCCAGGTGAAGCAAACGAGTTCATACAAGTGAATCTGTTACTTGACCTGGTGGCATATTGTCTGTCCATGGAGATAAACATTCTCCTACTGTGGAACTGGACAAGTGGCATTGAGCACCTTTCATGCTTTTATTTTTTCAAATGGGCAAAAACACAAACAAAATAAGACCAGGAGTTCTACTTACACAGTTTAATTTTGGGAGCTCAATTTTAATCAAGTCAAATAGCCTATATATATTTGTAAATATTATTATCTATAATAATAAATAGTACATTCATAATAACTTAAAATATCTAACAAGAACTAAATGATGTATTCTAATCTCAAATGTGAAATAACCTTGGTGACTATGGTTAAGCCCTGAGGTGAAACATTTCATGAAAAACAAGTTATGGTAAATTAACTGATCTTACAAATTGTAATAGTGATGTGATAGTTATTATGTATAGAAAATGGGGCTTAAACCTACTACTTATAGTAAAAAATAAATAAAAAAAATGGCAATTGACAACAGCATACTATTGTTTGAGATTCCTGTTCGAGGTGATATTCTTCTTTCTGTATACAAATTGGTAGGTAATGAACAATTGTATTTGTAATATTATTTAGATCCGTGCTGTTACAATGTCAAACTTAATCAATTTCAGTATCATGACTGCGTGAAAATTGAAATAATTTTCCTTCAACTCTAATGCATTTGATGAAAAACGTTTTTTTCCAATTATGTTTTATTAGTAATAGTCTTTTTAATATCAAAGTATAGCTTTAACCAGATGATAGGTACACTCCTTTCCAACCAAAACACTTAATGCTCTGAAAAGATAAAATGGCAACTATTGTACATTTTCTGTTTGTGACAGCATGGGTGCTCACACTGCTTTCTCACATTTGCTTTCGAACCAATGCATAATTGATCATGAAAGACTTCTGTACCACATGCGAAAAGCTAATGTACAGTATATTTGAGAAGGAAATGTAAATGGATGGTTTGATATGTCACTTTTAACATTCATTTGAAATACATTTAAACACAATAATATAGATAATAACATGAATGGGACCATACATACATGCATATATGTATGTTTAGGCCAGTGAGTAAGGAATGCATGTATGATTTGTGAGGGAGTCTAAACATAAACATAAAGTGTGTGATTGTGTGTGTGTTAATGTTTGAGCAGAGTGGGTGAAGAAACACTGTTACATTGGAAGGTATTGTCTGGTTTACTCTAGTTTAAAAGCGGATGAAAGTAGCATCGATCTGGCGAACACTGGGAAGAGCCAACATGATCTTCCGCCTGTACTGCGGATCCTTCTGCAGTGGGTTTCTTTCCAGATAAACCGTCTCCAGAATCTTGGCATTCTTTAGTTCATCGAGATCGGACCAGTTTTCTATCTGATTATCATTCATCTGAAAAACAAATATACAAAAACTAAAACAAGACATTAGAGAGGCTTCTGCCTGCAATAGTGAGATCTAAAACTAAAACTGTGAAGCGACAGACAAACTGTGTGGCTCATTAAAGTAAAAACCATGGGTGTGACAGAGTTTGAGATTATGAACCACTCAATTGTCCATGAATTGTTCTTAAAACAACTTTGAGTGTGCATATGACAACAAATCAATCGATTAATCATTGGTAATCGAGCTGTTCCAATAATCAACAGCCATTTATAGAAATTGATGAATCATTAAGTACTATACAAACTTGAAAACACAAATACGTGGTTTAAACAAGACCCAATAAGATTGATAATTGAATACAAAATTAAATGGGAACTGTATAAAATGAGATTCAGCAATGACATTTTAAATCACGTGAAATTTAGTTTGCGTGTTGTCTCTGTGTATGTTTCTGACCAATAAAAACATATGCAATAGCTCAGGGTGAATGAGTGTGTGTTTGTGAGCGGATGCAGATTAGCCCAAGGCTACTATTCAGGGAGGTGTGTTCACTAACACGCACTGTTCCAACCAAATAAACAATAATACATTCCAAAAGTTTGTCAAAAGTTTGTCATCATTTGTCAAGAATACATAAAAATTATATATAAATATATATATTTAGTTGAGGGTTTTTTTTGTCTGGTAACACATACCCAAAACTCCTGCAATTCGGTCAGGTGGCTGATATTTTCAATCTTCTTTACACGATTGGCAGCTATATCCAACGTTGTTAATTTTTTCTGCAAAGAAAATGCATTTCAGGCACAGGCAGATGAGTTTTTGATGGAACATTTTCTAAAAGAATCTTACATTGTTTTCTAATCCCTCAATGACCTCAATGCCATTGTGGCTCAGATACAGCTCTTTTAAACTGACAAGGTTCTGGAGCCCTTCAATTTTAGTAATCCTGTTACTCTAATGAAACATTAGAATAAATACAAAAAGAGTTAATGCACAGTCCAACCGATATCAGAAAAAGAAACACTCAAATAAAAATACCTGAATACTTAAAACTGTCAGGTTATGTAAGCCCTCAAGGTTCTGAAGTTTTGTGATTTTATTTGTCCCAAGAAATAAACTCTGCAGTGATGAAAGTGAATCAAGATTCTCTATTACCTGAAAAGACAACAAAAGTTATTGTTATCAAATATTTTAAAAGTAACAATTACAGACATACAACTTTAGATGCATGCACAGAAGGATTATTACAAGGTTATTACCCGGATACGATTAGATCCAAGTTCAAGCATTTCAAGGCTTGCAAAGTGATCCAAGTTAGCAATGCTGCCAATTTTGTTGTGAAGCAAAAAAAGTTTCTTCATTTGGGTTAACTGCTCCAAACCTTCAATTTTACGTATAATGTTGAAAGACACATCAAGTTGTCTGTGGAGGAAAAAAATGCAGAAATCTTATTTCCGTAAAACTAGTCTACAACACTCTTGTGGGAGGCTTAAGTTCAAAACTTACTCCAGGTGCACAAGACTATCCAAGTTCTCCAGTTTGCGGATCTGGTTATCATAAAGATCTAACTCCTGCAGTAACTTTAAGCTGGCAAGGTTTTCAATCTTTTTAATGAGATTTTGTCGTAAGGAAAGAGTCTGTAAATGCAAAATCACGCACACCAAAACAAATTAGTATAATTTATATTCATCGTATTGTTTCAACTATATGTTTTTACTTTAGCCTTTTGTAAAACTTCCAGTCCTTCAATTTTTCCAATTCGACAGTGAACAAGATCAACATCCTTAAAAGAAATATAAGTTAGACCAAATTGAAAAATTATAATTAGTCACAATTATAATATGCATACCTCCTCCTCAGGATCCAAAGTGATAGTGTCCATGTCAACAGGAGATTCCTCTTTACCTGAAAAATATAATATACATATGATGCACATGAATGCAATGGGGCAGTCTTTTAGCATTACTTTAGTATTACTTGTGGGAGTGGGTTGATTAGGATCCACGTCACCATTGATGCTCTTCCGTCTGGTTTCATCATCTCCAGATTCCTCCGACTCTCCTCTTCGGTCCACTATATTTAGCAGAAAATATATTATATTGGACTTGTCTCATAATCTGTAGTGACAGCAGGTGCACCCCACCCACTGCACTCTCATCCATGGAAGATTAGTATTTTCCGTTATTACGAGATCAAAAATAAAGACTACAACATGTGTCCCCGTCACACAAATCTACCATTCGGCTACACTGACAGAGGGAACAATTTAAACATCAAACTTGCCACATTGATGAATGCTGCTAGCTCTTTCATGACTGAAGTAGGGTTAGCTTAACTCATAGCTTAATAATATTCTGCAAAGCTGCAACTGCTCTCATTCTGTTATTATTGCACGTAACACTGAAATAATCCTGTAGATTGTATTTGAACGGAAAACCAGACGTTAAGTAATAATAAGTTAACATTGAATGGCTGCGTTAGCGGTGCGCTTGTTGTTGCTAGCCTACATTAGCTTTATATGAAAATAGAGACTGCAGTTAGAAGCAAATAACTAATAATTAAGTCAGTGATTGAACCTGACGTGTTTTCACAGATCTAGGGTACACGAACCACAGACAGGTAGAGAACAAGGGGACGCTACGAACCATATTTTAAGATGTGCTCACCTTCCATTTCTTGTTCTCCAGCAGCAGACACGGAGGAGGCCATGTTTCTGTAAACACTGCCGACGGCCGCTCAGCCAATCCGCTGCCTGCACTGCGCTCTTTTACCACCGGCGGCGCTGTTGTGCCCTTTGCACTTCTCACAGATATTAAGAATAAACTGTCTTTTCTGTCTCAATGTATTTCTCCTAAATCACAAGAGCAGTCGGCTCGGAGGACTGTTGTCGATTCCCCAACAACTTATCAGAGAATCAAACAGTTTGAACACAGGACATGCAATAATAGCAAACACATAGAAGCATTGGTCCAGAGCGGGATGACCAATGTTCATACCATAGATAGACTGTATATGTTCAAACTTGTTAAATGTCCATAAATGGTCATCAGGTCTCCAGTTTATAGCATATATACAGTTTATAGTGGTTAAGGCAACCTATAGTCTGATTTGTTTGATAGGGACAAATGTATACAATCAACATATGAAACACTAAGGTTAATTTGCAATATTCGTCCGTAGAAAGGCTTTTAAATCAATTAAAAACACATTCTACGTTGTTACATACACATTTAAGGCAGGTGGCCCCCGACTCAAAACAACTGGTTCGTTTTGTAGAGTATTTTTAGTTAGAGTGGTTTGTATTGTTTTGACTAACTTGGTAATATATATTTTCTTACTATGTCCCATTAACCCCACATCACGGGTTAAAAGCTTAACCAGTTCAGTTCAGCGAAAAAACAGAAAATATCCGCCGAGTCCCTCCCAATAACGTGCTGTCTACAGTAGCCAATCAGATGAGAGCTGTGTGTACTTTTACTTTAGTCTGAATTTTAAGCTGCCACATTCATATTTAAGCGTTGGAGGGAGTGTATTTAGTGAATCTGATGTTTTAAAGATGCAGGTGTTCCTCTGTCGGTATTCGATGGCATAAGGTTCCGCTCACACAGATCTGCGCTTTGACGGTGGGCGGTTCCTTCTCCCGTCGCGGATTTAAAATGTTTATTTTCTGCTTCGTTTTAGCATTATCGTTATGCCATATAACATTATGCATAACTGCTCCAATAGGTAATGTATTCATAACATTTTACCATCAACCTTCACTTTTAATCGTGAAAAGTTTCAGCTTCCTGCGTCATCACGTAACATTTTACCCTGTTTTCTCACGGATGTATATTCTTGTTATGTGTTTTCTATATTGTGTTTTGAATAGTTTACCACTATGGACACGGCCATCATTTTCATCATTCTGTGAGATTTGTTAATAAGTTCCCTTATGTTTCCTTTATAGATACTGTTATAATCCAGGTCCAGGTGAGTGCTCAGCCTCTCATGCAACAAGTGTTTCTCAACGGTTTGGCATTCACAAGTTTGAGCCAGGAAATTAACAACATCGTTCAGAGTTTAGCAGATGCAATCCTTCCTATTGGTGTCAACCAGACAGCAGAACTAAGTACGTTTTAAAGAGTTTCCTATTGCTCTAAAGTCCCTAAAAGGACGTTACTAACTGGAATGTTGTTCTCAGGAAACCACACAGTGCTCCGATCACGTTCCTGCATTCTGGAGGGCTCTGAGCTGCACTGGACTGACCGAGTGTTTTATGATGGGGAAGTTCATCTGAGCCTGGAGTCCTCTGACACTTGGACAGCTCATGTGCCACAAGCACTTCACCTGAAGGCCAAATGGGATCAGGAAGTTGATCGAACTAAAGTGGAGAGAGTGCGTCTACAGGAGGGATGCATCCAGCTCATTAAAGAATTAAAGTTTACTCAAGAGGAACAAGGTAACAGTAAATACGTGTGCGTATTCCTAAATACTTTATAAAGTCTTATTGACTGTCCATAGTCCCGTTCAAACAAGCCAGGCATAAAATGATAGTGTGACTATGAATCATTTTTGTTTGTATTGTCAAATCTTTTCCCACATTTTTTACTTGGAAGCTGGGAGGAGATTGGTGCTCCCTCTTCACATACTAGTTAGATTGTGACTTTTTTAATTTATGTTTTTACTTCTTTACTTTACCAGTATTTCACAATCTCTAATTGTCAAAAACAGCCCAAAACAAAAAATACACATATAACAATACAAGACACATAACCCCACATTGCCTGAAGCTCCCACTGAAACACCAAGTCTGTGGCACCAGCCATCTTCCCCACCACCTGCAGAGGATCAGCGAGGGAGTGGTGCTATGAGCATTAGGTGGCAGCTCCCCCCCGACCCAGAAATTGACTATTAAAGGGGTAGAAAATGAATGAATGACTTAACATTAGGAGTTTTCTTTAGCCTGCAGTCAACCATTAACAACTTTGTTGCAAGTTTATTTGATGGAATGCTCTAGGGTGAGAGCTGGTATTTTTCGACAGGGTAATAACCCACCTCCCAGTTGCCTGGAATGCAGCATTATACAAACACTGATTGTAGCAATATTATAGCACACATTATTGTGTCTGTATTGAGTAAAACAATTTATTTTCACATATTAAGTTTTTTTTTTTTATTCTAAAGTTTAATTTGTTTTGTGAGATTATCTTTTTATTTTTCCATAGTTCCACACATTCCTCTTCCTCAAGTCCTGATCCCTATTTTGGCAGTTGTGGCTTTTACGGGTCTATTCGTAATAAGCCTTTGTCTCTCCAAAAACGTTGGTGAGTACCTGCAGTCTAATGAAGTTCATTCTACAATAACATACCACATGATTATGCTATGGTATCACATGGTCATGTGTTTTCCCTCCCTGTTTAGGACTGAGGCACCCCGGAGGTAACACAACAACTTCTCTGTGTTTTAGAGCTCTGTCTTACATAATACTTCAATTTTGTTGCTCAAGCCACAAAACAAATGATCAGATATGTTTTTTTCTTCTGCAGGTGTTATTGGATCAGTTATACATTATCCAAAAGACATACCGGATGAAACTTCAAAAGGATTTGACTACCAAACTATTTAAAATATGTTACATTTTGTTCACAGAACTGCAATATGGAGCACAGTTTTATAATAGAATCCAATTTGTGATTGTCTTTTACTTTAGTTACATGCTTTTGCTGTAGAAATGTAAGTTATGAACATATTTGAGTATTATTTTTGTTCAGTACAGTGAACAAAAAGGGGGGAACTGACATGTTCCGCTGAAAAAACAGATTGCTTTGTTAAAAAAGCTTGCTTTGCATACACTCGATAAGCTCAGCTCCATCAGGACCTATCCCTTGCCCTCTGCACGCACTGGAGGTGATCAACAGCAGCTCCTAAAGTTAGAGACTTTTCACACAATGGTGTAAATCCCTGCTGCTGGACTCTTTAATACACAGAAGCCATTTTTTTTTGCTTGTTTATGTTTGTATATATCAATGTTTGTTTATTTTGAGCTGTGGAAACCAAAGACAATTCCTGCAAGGATGAATAAAGTTTCCATCTACTGAGCACTCAAGCCTTGAATGTAGGAGTAGATAACTACAAAATATGTTCTAATCTAATGATAATGATGAAGGAACAGGGGTACTTAAAGGTCATCATTGTTAACAATGCTTTGAATGTCCCTATTTTGACTCAGAGTCAGAAGGCGTGAAATTATTTTACCCAGATGCACTTCGGTGAAATATAATTTTAGTACATTTATTGGTTTTGACAATGCATTATGCAACTAAATATTTAGATGAATAACACATCTAATAACAATATCATAAATATATATTATACTCAGTGTTGGGGAGCTATGAATAATTTCTTTTACGGTAGCATACAGACCTTACAGAGGAATAGACTAGAAATATATTTTATTGCTAGATCATTATTTTCAAAACTGGTCTTATCAGTAGTTTTCACGTGCATGTATTTTTTGGTCTTTGTCACATTTGTACCATAGATTAAGATAAGATTAAGAGATCCTTTATTCGTCCCAACGTGGTGAAATTTCAGTGTTGTATCACAGCACAAGATAAGTGAACAATAGTTATACTAATCAAAATAAAACAAAATCTGTAACTCTAGCATCAAAAAACAAGTATAACATCTCTGTCTTGAACATAATAATGAAAAAGTATAAAAGTTTTATATTTGGCAAAATAGGCAAGAATAAAGTACTGTGCAAGCTGTAAATATGAAAAATAGGACCAAGCTAACAGAGCCAATCATCTCTGAGCCGAGTGTGACGTACTGAAGTACTTGGATATGATTTGATTTACACCTACGATTCACACCCCATGATTCACTCACAGCTTGTGTATTTTGTATTTTCCTTTTGGCCAGCAGATCACGCTGTTACCACGGTTATCCATGGTTACCACAAGGTCTTCTGCTCATGCGCAGCTCTTCACCAGTCAGAGAACCGCATTTGAAGCTGTTGTCATAGCACCCGCAACGGACAGAGATGAAGTGACCAATCAGCGCGCAGCCTTCAGACATTTAAACTGTGTCACGCGCCGACGTAATTCAAACAGAGTCTGCGACCTGAGTGAGCTCACGCATTGTCCGAGAGGTGAGTTCAATTATATTGTACAATTCTTGTATGGACATCATACATACATACATACATACATACATACATACATACATACATACATAACTACAGCGAACTGGGCCCTGACTCTGATGCTTCTAGCTGGAACTATAAGCTTACTTCGACGTGGCGTTGCGTTGTGCATGAATTGTTTGTACTAGACAACGCTTAGGTTAAACGCTTTTTCAACCTTACTCTGCTTACCAATTCAGTTATTATTCCTCGGTTTCCACAGAAGATGGCACAGTTCGGCTTCGAGAACGACATTCACAGCATTTTGAAGCTGGATATGCCTATCACAAATGCCCCAATGGCAAGATGGCAGCGGAAGGCCAGTTCTTCCAGCTCATCTGCAGCAAGTGGGCTGTCGCCTGGAAAGTCTGTGAATTTATCTTTGAGTACGTCGAAAACTCCCAGTAAAACGCCAGGTTTGTCATATTCTCGTCTTTTGAAAGTGTATGGGAATTACTTCCCCGTGCTAATTCTAATAAATGTGGTTGCAGTGAAGGGTAAAAAGCAAACTCCCTCGAAAATGGGTGGAGATCGTTTTATTCCCATTAGAAACAGTAAACAGATGGATGTGGCTAGTTTTTTGCTTACCAAGGAAAATGATCCTGACCAGCACTCTTCAGCAGTAAGTATCATGGATTAAACTGTTATTAAACTTGCCATTGAAATATTACTTGTTTGCTTCATCCAGAAAGCAATGTCTGTGAACCTAAATGGATATGATCTTGAAGATGCAAAGATCCTACATCTTGGGGGGAAGCCTCTAAATGCCCCTGAAGGTACTTTACTGAAACTTGTAAATCATGACATTAATTGTTAAAGATGTTAATTACATTGATTACTGTTTTTTACAGGCTACCAAAACAATCTAAAGGTCCTCTACAGTCAGGCTACAACTCCTGCCTCAACCAAAAAAACTAGATACATTTCCACAACGCCTGATAAAATATTGGATGCTCCTGAACTTCGAAATGATTTCTGTAAGTTATCAAAAAATATATTATGTAAATTTTAATTTAAAAATAAAAACATTTTGCAGATTTAAATCTAATTGATTGGAGCAGTCGCAATGTGCTTGCTGTGGCACTTCACAATGGTGTTTATCTATGGGATGCAAATCAGGGAGATGTCATTCTTTTAATGAAGCTGGAGCGGGAGGAGGATTATGTCTGTTCAGTGTCCTGGACCAAAGAGGGGAGCTATCTAGCTATTGGCACCAGTGATTGCAAAATCCAGGTACGTGCACATTTTCTTGGAGAAAATAATGCAGGTCAAACCTTCATGTTAATTGCTTTGTTTTAGTTGTGGGATGTTGAAAACCAGAAAAGACTTCGTAGCATGGCAAGTCATACATCCAGAGTTTCTAGCCTCAGTTGGAATGACTACATTCTCTCAAGGTATCACAAATATGCATGTTTTCACATGTTATATTTCAGTGTCTGACTTTTTTTTTTTTCTTCCAAAATAGTGGCTCCAGATCAGGACTCATCCACCATCATGATGTGAGAACGGCACAACACCACAGGTTCACGCTGACTGCGCACTCTCAAGAAGTATGTGGACTGAAGTGGTCACCTGATGGCCGATATCTGGCCAGTGGAGGCAATGACAATTTAGTGTGCGTATGGCCTCGCGTTTCAGAGGGCAGTGCTGGCAGTGACAACCAACCAGTTCGCTGCTGGAGTGAACACCAAGGAGCAGTGAAAGTACGCTACTTTAATGTATTTAATTTTTTTGTTTTCATAAACGATCAAAGTCTTAAACTTGATCTGTTTTGTAGGCTCTGGCTTGGTGTCCATGGCAACCAAACATCCTTGCATCTGGAGGTGGCACGAGTGACCGTCGTATTCGCATCTGGAATGTCAACAGTGGCTCTTGCATCAGTTCAATAGACTCTCAGTCTCAAGTAGGCCTTTTGTGGATCGTAAAATCCACTATGAATTTGTATCAAATATTTAAGAACATTAACGGAGGCTATTTTATTGTTTCTTTCAGGTATCTTCTCTTGTTTTTGCACCCAATTACAAGGAATTAGTTTCTGCTCATGGATATGCCCACAACAATGTTGTTGTATGGAAGTACCCTTCATTTACAAAAACTGCAGAACTCTATGGTGAGTTGAGCCATATAAAAGCTCATCTGATATAATGTTCATTGAATTTTTTTATTTTTAGGACACAGTGACCGAGTACTTAGTGTTGTCCTCAGCCCAGACAACTCCTCGATGGCCACTGTTGCTGGAGATGAGACCATTCAAATATGGAAGAGCTTTGAAGAGGATCCTGTTAAAAAGAAGGCTATGGATCGTATGGTCAAACCAACAACCACAGGATTGCACCACTCAATCAGATAATGTTTTGGTTTTGGGTTTTTTTTCTATTGTAAATTAACGTCTATGAATTACCTATAATTTTGGCCATGCATTTTTCTGATGGTGTAAAAGGGTTTTTTATTTTTGGAAGTGCACATTTTGGGATTTTTCCACTGTTCTTACTAGTGTTTTGATTAAATGGTTTGGGTATCAAATGTTTCTCACCTCTGACATGATTTTTGAAGTTGAGCGTAAGATGTACCTCTTAATGTATGGTTAAGGTGGGAAATGTTTGTTGCAAGAAATTAGTCAATTTTTCAAAGATAACCAAATTTTTTTTAGAACTTTGTCCATAAATAAATAGATGCCATTCCTAAGAATTGCTGTGCCCCTCATTTCTGTTCGATAAATGCCATACTTTATCACTGTGGCTTCTGTTTGAACGAGAGTCTTGTAAGAAAGGTTACAAATCGGACCACATGTGGTGGTCATCTTAATCTAGCTATTTTAAGTCTTTAGGTGTTAAGATTGAGCTAGAGTGGTTTTAGTTATGTCTGGAAAAGCTTGATCTAAAGATGTGACTGAGGTCAACACATGTGAAAACTGATTGTACCTTTTGAGGGTAGCAAATTGGACCCTAGCTTTACTGTATATCAAATGGTACGGCAGTCATAGCAACACTGGAGGTGGACATTTTTCAATGATCCATGGAAACAGTTGTGTGGTTTAAAGTACAGAACCAAAATCAGTCTTCAAACAGATTCACTGGTGCTTTATCCCATGGGAAAGTCAGATTGCCACAAACTCCTGTCACACCGCTGCAACTTACCACATCAAAACTGAGTCAGACAGCTGGAGAGGGAAGGACAGGACATTGTCCTATTGGCCGTCTCAAACCTTTCATGAAACTGAGCCCCATTAACCATTCAAATCACTACGCTTAAAGCATGCTATAGTAACTTTTGCCATCACAAAACGAATTGCTTGTTTTAGCCATGGAAAAAAAAGCAGTGACCAGGTCTTAACAAGGAGCAACCTAGCAAAGGTTCTCAACTGGACTCTCACTGCACATTTCTTGAGCGATTCTATCCATGCCAGATGTGACCTGTATGTCTGTCAGAACAATAAAGTCTGTCTAGGGACAGCCAGCCCTTGTGTTTATCCCAAAGTAAACTGCAATGGGCTCAAAACTAACAAAAATACATATTTGTGGACAAGCTGTAAAAATGAAAAATATGCTTTTATACGTATATCCACTGGCAAAAGGTTTATTTGAACTTTACATTTAAAAAGTACTAAAAAAAAAAAACTTGCACTTGCTTCTCATGTACAAGTATGTTAATTCACAGTTCAGTCAAGATAAATAAATTAGGCAGTGTGTTATCTTAACATGTTTGTAGCTGAAGTTTGCTTTATACATTTTACAAATCAAACTGCACAAAGTTTTATTTGAAAAGATAAATAAACTAAAATACATTGAATAACAACATTGACATTTTGTATTTACGTGCCATGTGGAAATTGTACAATACTCCCAAATATCAGCTGTCATGCAGTCCACCACTGTCAGTCAGAGCCAAATTCAAACCTGAGTAAATTGCAGAGATGCACCAGTCTCGAGCTACCAATACATGCATTATTCCGTTCACCCCTTGTGTGCATACCCTCAAAGGCAGTCCGGTCTTGCTGTCGTGATATTTTTGAAGAGCGACAAAATCCTAGGTGGTGTTGGATTGAAGTAAATAATGAGTCCGCAGTGCAGATCTTTTCAATTTCAAGTTAAATTTCCTTTACTTTTCCATTTTCATAATGTGGAGCATGTCCGTTGCCCATGGGGCTATTGTTGGTTTCAACTGTAGTGATGTGGGACGTTATTCCATTCGTCTTCACCTTGGTTTTGTCTAGGGCAGGAAGGCGCTTACCCTTGACGTAAGCTTGCACCCAAAAGTGTGAGAAAAGCACAAAGAAGAGGATGCCATACATTAAGATGACGTGAATCCAAAGGGGCATCTGGTAGTCACACTTTTCCATAAAGTAGTACTGGCTGATGTGAACGGCTACCAACATAAACTGGATCTGTCAAAGAAACATTACAAAATATATTAGAGGTTTTCAGGTTGAATTGAATATATACAATAAATCAATACAACATGAGTCACGTACCAGCTGGATGGCAGTCATATACTTTTTCCACCACAAAAACTTCTTAAAATAGGGACCGGCGGCAGATAGTCCATAGTAGAAGTACATGATTACATGAACGCCGGAATTCACCAGGGCGTGAAGAGACCCCATTCCTCCACCTGAAGAACAAATTAACAAAATTTTAGAACATTAAGAGCATGTTTTAAAACGGCCTTTTGTAGTGTTTACTATTGAGTAATGCGTGAGTGTAGATTCAGTCATTCAGGTTTATTTGTTTGGTGACCACAAGTATTTGGCCTTCTGTGTAATACCATATCTGAACCACCAAAGGACAACAACAATGTGGGATGAAATTAATTCAACTGAATCAAAAAGTTTGAGCGTTTTAACATTGTTCCCTCATTAAAAACCTGGAGTTGTTTTTAGGTCCAACCAGGAATATCAGGAACTTCTTTCCTAAAGCTCGTGTTTCAGTCCTGTGACAACATGATGTCATTCTACCACTATGACATCACACTCAGCCGTTTTCTGCCTTTCCAAACAAAGGTATTGCCCACGAATTAGTTTAAGCGTTTTCTCAGGTGTAACTGTTATTCGCAATTGCATGCCTATGTCTGCAAACGGAAAATTTCAAATTTTAAAACTTCCCCGCTGGTGGTAACATAGGGGGACAATATGGGGTGCCGATTGTAAAAATTCTGTTAAAATTTTTTAGCTGAACATTTTTCTACATTTAGCTCACTTTCCTCACATTTAGCACATTTTCCTCACATTTAAGACATATCTATATCTAAATATTATATCTATATCTAAATGTTAAATGTTATATCTAAATATTATATCTATATCTAAATGTTATATCTATATCTAAATGTTAAATCTAAATGTTAAATCTATTTATATAGTTTCGGCCAGATAAGTTTGAAAGAAAAATGGGAGACTTATGCCACTGTGGGAGACTATTATGCCACTGTGGGAGACTATTATGCCTACTGTGATGTCTCGTCTACATCACAGTAGGAAGATTCTCTATTCATCCTGAGGTTTTGCACTATTTACAACAAATATATTTTCATGGCATGGCTAATTATTTCTCTTTATTATAAAGGAACAACAATTACTACAGTTACAGTGACACAGTACCTGTGTGTTTTATCCTTTAGTGGAAAGGCAGTATGTAAAGACAAAGGAAAAATTACAAAACATGCTAGAGAGTAATTTCTCCATCCATGTAATTCAAACACAACTGTAATACATGTTAAAACTGTATATGCTCACCAGGAGTAAGACCGACGCCCCACCACCAACTCCAGGGCATGACAGAGTGGTGGAAAACATGGAGAAATGTGATCTGCTGCTGTTTCTTCCTCAGCACAAAGAACACCTACAACAAAATAATAAATAAATAAAAATTATACATATTTACCACCGGTGCAGTGTTTGCATTCAAGTGTTAGCATAGCACTTACGGTGTCAAGAAGTTCAATGTATTTCGATAAATAAAAAAACCATGCTGTTCGAACCATCTGAGGAAGAAACAATTCATGTTACAAACGGATGCTTCAGAGTTTGCACGTAAATGTCCACTGCATTAAGAAACACATGCAAATTGTGAAAATCAGCTTTAAAGAATATGTGCATGAAAATGTATGAATTGAATTATGTCTGGGTTGATTCGATGACAAGAAAGATGACAAATAATAAACTTACTGAAAACAATCTGCATTCATTCTACACATCAAAATGTCTTTGTGAATTCTTTGGATGTGTGATTAAGCATAGATTTCGATTAAATGAATTTCTCATATGCAGTTTAAGCAAATGTTAAAGTAGCTACCAACATTAGATTAAAAAGTTATGCCTTCCCCCTTAAATAGGTTTTACTGAAGATTCACTACTGTGTCCAATAGAACATATAGCCAGGATCCAGCTCGTGGTGCCTAAGACCAGACTTAAAACCTGGGGGGAGAAGGCCTTTTCTGTGGCTGGACCAAAGCTCTGAAACTTTGCTTCACAGGGTTGAGTACATTTAAAGCTGGTATGCCTGACTTTCAAATCACAAAAAAGAGACAATTTGCTGATAGTATAAAAGGCTGCATGTTGTGGTCTCATGTGCCCCTTAACTCTTTTCAATACCCTTTCTTTTACAATGAATAAAGAAAGATTAGACATCCCAGCTTGAAATTGATATAGTGGAATATTTTGACCAAAGCAGTGACATCTCCACGGCGACAAATACATGGTCAACCCATTAATAGAAACGTTACATTTGCACATTAAACTTGTTACAAAAAAATATTGGTGATCAAAAGCGGTCTTACCCTTAGGCTTTCGGGACTGTTGGATGTGTCAATAAGGTCGCATCTCCATGAAAACGTTGTAGCCCACCCTGACATCAAGAACTAAGAAGGGAAAGAAGTGTGTCAAAAACTAATGCAAATTCATTCAAAAACAAATACAGTCAATATTTTATGTTTGTGTTTTTTTTTTAATATGAACTCACCTCATAGACGATGAAAGCATTAAATAAAACCATGGATAGATTGTAGATCACCATAGCCGTATTCAAACGGAAAGGTTCACGCTTGGCCATGATCTGTGGCCCGCCATACACAGAGAAGAAGACATAGGTCAGCAGTATAACAGTCATGTCTATTGGCGACGTCATTAGAGGAAGATCGCGGACTCTAGGATCTACAAACAAAACCAGAACATTTTAATTTAAACCTTTGCATGTAGGTTTTGGATCATACACACTCATTTCAAAGTACTTACCTAGTTTATCATAAACGTAATTGTTGAAATTGAAAACCGCTGATGCAATTTGTTGTGACATGGTGAGTATTGTCTTTGTCTCAGAATCACCCTATATCATAACAAAACATATTGACAAGATTATGCATTGTATTGGCATCATTTGGGTATCAGCTTCATGCAACATCATACGGAAACTTTAAAATACATGTTTTAAATGGTAAATCACTGTGGCAAAGATCCTCATTTTCCATTATTCTGAAACCAACGAATAAATACAAATCATTCACATAGTTTTTTTTTTTCAACAGGAGAGCACACCATCTGCTCTCCTCACTGAATAAACATTGAACCGCATGTGAATGTCCATGTTTCGAGCATCATTTACTGTATGCTTTGAACATGAACAAAAGAAGTGAAAGATATCCCCATAAAATACACAAGAGTTGTAACATCAATTAGAAAATTACCAAAGAAACTTGTGTGCCTCTGAGAAGTTGTGAAATATACATGTCTCTTTAAAACAATGAAATATTCTCACGCTGACTAACAGCTTGCCAAACAGGTGAGGCAGAGATCATGGCCCATATGCCCAGCCTAACCACATCATAGAGTCAATCTCAGACTAGATAGGAATATGCAGTTAAGAACACAAAACTGTACACGTATATTCTCCAATTCAGTGGCTTCTGTGAAAGAGATAATCATGTTTTACTATGATAATGAACTTACCTCCTGAGCCTGTTGGTATCACAGAGCAGCTGCACAGCCAGGGCAGAGCACACAGTTGTATCCAAATATCAGTTAAACCACACACTCAAATGCCCTCAGAATGACAATTATATGATGGTTAAGAGAGAGGGATGCATAAATCTCCTAGCAATGTCTCTGCTGACTGACTAAATGCATTCTGCTCAATTCAAACCTCAAGACATTACTAGAAATCTTGTAGTTTCACAACCACACCCTGCTTGAAGCCTGGCTCCACCCTCGCACTCCAACTTTGCTGCCTCTCATTGGACTGCCAGTTCAGTAAATGGGATGGGGCATGGATGTGTGGGGGTCAGAAGGTGTAGCTTGCTCTGGGTAACACAGCATTGGCCTCTATTTATCAAACTAATGTAAAATAAGAATAATAACAAAGGGAATACTATTTGAAATGGTTAAAATATTCGAAATGAAATAAAATGTACCTATATGTACCTATAAGTAGTATCTCTGAGAAGCTGACAGCATTACAAATAATAACATGAATAGTATCATTTTGTTTGATTATTTAGAGCAAAGTTGACATAAGCGGTACTACCACAAACGTCACTTTTCACCCATCCCTTTCCAACCTGTGGTTCAAGGGCTAGGCCTGCTATGCTGTGCAGTGTCTCTGGTTTTACCTGTTTGCTTGTGGTGATGATGATGATGGGTGTGTGTGTGCTGGAGTCTCCCAAACGAATACGTAACATCGAACGGTTGCCGGAATGATAGGAATCTATACAGCAGACGAACAGAAAGGTATGATTATATTGTGCAATCACAGTGCTCAAAGAAGTTTAGAGTTCACTTCCATGGCTGACCACAGGGTGTCATGTCCACTTAACAAAATCATATTAAGGCTTTATAGAAATAATTCAATTCAATTGAATTTATTCTTGTATAGCACTAAATCACAACAGTAGTTATCTTGGAGGACTTAACAAAACCGTTGAATTTGCCTACAGATATCAGAGAATCAAACATTTCAAAGCCAAAAAATACATTGATAAAAAAGCACATAGAACCATTGGTTCCATGTCCATAAATATTGTTGAAAGTTGAGTGTCCTGGATCCCCTAAAAACATACAATACATGTATGAATGTTGAACTGTGAGTCCGTCATTGTGTTGTTGGTATTTTCCAGTCAGCTGTTGTCAATATTGAATTTGAACAATTTGTTCATTGTAAGGAAACTGGCAACATTGTTTTAACCCATCACCCAAGAAATGTCCTGCTGACATCCTCAGGATTTTCAATCATTGGTTAATCTAATCATTTAGACTGGATTCTTGTCTTAAATAGACACAATGTAACATTAGATACAAGACATTATAATATGGAACAATATGTCACTTTTTAATCCCCAAAAGAAATGGTACCAGAGGAAGTCAATGAGGTACAAATACATGAGTTGAAATATGTTGAATAGAAACGGTGTTGGGACACTAAAGTAGCTTTATTTTGTTACAGTTGTTTTATTTTGGTGGTGTTCAAATTAATAAAAAGAAGCTTCCAGGGCAATACATTTAATTGGTCTACAGTTATACATATCATGGTTTGGCTATTGATTGTTCATTCATTTCTAATATAAAACTGAAATTACAATTCTGCTTCACACTTAAAGTCTTAAAGTTGAGTCTGTGTTGTGTCTCAGGTGACAAAACAAGAGGAATGAGGAGCACACACACACAAAATAAGAAAAGTGAATAAACCTCAAAGTATACACATAACAAAGTATAAAACTATGTACTCTAGTGCAAAGTTTAGCTGCCATTTGTTACAGATCTATTAGCTGTGAAGTACACTACTATTGTCCATTGAACCATGAAACCAAATATGGCACAAAATATATAGTACAGGAATTCAGCATAATAAATATTTTAAAATGTTCTCCCTGACACTGAATTTGACTGAATGTGACCGCAAAATACATCATCATGAGGAAATACATGAACATAAGAATGGCACTTATCATTGTCTCTCTGTATAAAAAGTGTACAGTTTAATAGCCACAGAAAGGAAGGATGCCTTGGAATTATCTTCATACAAGACAAGAGTTTCGTGGTGGGGGTGGCATACGGTGTTCCCGATACAAAGCAGTTTCACCCCCTTTCAAACCCCTCTATGAGCCCTGGATCCAGCTCCACACCCAGGACACACCCAGGAGTATTGCTGAGCAGCTGAGACTGCTCGTGCGCTGCCTCCACTGCACCAGGCATGGACAACAGAATAATCTGCTGTCTGTATTTTGAAAGAATCAAACAACTAGGTCAAAGTTGTCTACACATCTTTAAACGCCACTCCCTGCCCTCAAAACTAAGCAATCATGACATCTTTGTGGCTGTCATGACACACAAAGCACAAACCACCTATACCTGCCACTTTACAAAGAACTTTTTCTGAAGGCTGTGCGCTCAGTTGAATGTTGATGGTTATCAACAATGATGAAGGTTAAGTTATATCCTGGGGCTGTGATATGCATGAAAGACAATTAGCCTGAAGAGATGTTCTTCAGCTTTGGAGTGATCCAGGTGACTGTGGACCTTCCACTTGTATGGCCGTGTTCTAAGTAGGTTGCACTTCAACTTGAAAGTTATTATAGTCCAAAAAGAAATTGTGGGTGTCAGACATATAACAATACAATAAGACAAAATACAACACACAATGACGTTAAATTCTTTTTTGGAACTATAGTTCTTTCTTTTACTAAAAAGTACAAATACCTTGGATTTATGGTAGATGAACATCTCACATTTGATGAAGGGATTGAATCACTGAATCTGAATCTGAATCTGCAGGTCGAGCTCTCGGTGTTGTTACGAATAAAGTTAAGGCGTGTTGTGATCTCGGTTATAAGACCTACACTGAGTTGTACAGAGCTTGTGTCTGTCCGGTGTTGGACTATGGTGCTGGGGTCTGGGGTTACTGTAATCAAACGGACAGTGAAAAAGTTCAATGCAGAGCTCTGAGGTACTTTCTAGGTGATCATAAAAACACCCCTAAACTTGCTCTGTACGGGGACCTGGGTTGGTCCTGGTTGGTCACCATATGAAGTAAGGCATGTTTGTGACATGGTACATTTATGGAACAGGTTTATCAATATGTCTGACAAAAGACTGTCCAAACACATCTTTCAATTCCGTGGATTTTATGTTTTATTGTCCTTTGTAACATAATCTGAGAAGGCAATTATTTTGTAAACTGTCCGATGTTACTGAACTTTTGTTTGAACTGTCTGATGAGGAAAGGCTTAAGTTTCTGTTCAATAAGCCATTCCATTTAGCTACGTTTTTGTTAAGTGCATGGCTCCAACGGAAGAGGACACTCTTTGTTTGATGTTTATCGGATGTCTACCTATATCTTTGTGTCTTATAAGCCCATACGGGCAAGACACCAAATAAGAAATAAACTAAACTAAACTAAAACTAAACACACTAAAGAGCATTTATTCGTATTTTTGAAATGTTTAAGTCAACTTTTCTTCTTCCTCCATGCCAAGATTGGGCGGATTTGCAAATTGATTGGGGTCCAGTTTTGGTGCTACCACCCACAGTTGCTGGGCCAGTAATTCCAGTGACTTCCAACGTTGGAAGATAATGGGGTCTTTTATGCCCCTGACACGTTCTTTTCCACAATGGGATAGACTCTGCAATTTGAGAAGTGGGCCAACAGCAGCCTTACACTCAGTCATCTGAACTCACATCCTCCATGGCCATTCTAAAGGGAGATGATGATAGAGTCCCAATGCTTGTTCAGAACCTGGGAGCACTAGATAAACAAAAAACCCTGTTAGTTTGAATATAATATTCGTCATCATTGATTCACCATATGTATATAGCCTACAGAAATATAGTCTTAGTGTCATAGGCAAGTCAGTGATCATCATATTCTTTAGAATATAAGATTCATATTTAACGAACAATATAAAATGTGGTTTTATGTGTTGGCAATATAGTGCAGATATTGTCAATCTAAAGGTAAGCCTTTGTGTGTATCTATTCATCTATCTACTGCTATCTTAACTGTTATTTGTTTGTCATGACATTTCCTGTGTTTTGCAGGATGAGGAAAAAAAATACTCAAGAGCGACCTCCTGTGGCCAAACATTGGTGATAGACTTTGTTGGTTTTGGCCAGGGAAAGTATTGTTGTAATTAATTAAATGTGGGCTATCTTCGGTTTAAAGTGGTGAAAATGTTATGAAAATCATGTGACCTATTCATAATCTGAAGATCATGTAGTTTATGTCTTCAGACAATTTGCTTCAATATATAACATACAGACTCCCACCTTATTACCTGATGGAAAGCGTGGTCTTGAGAAGTAAATTAGCCTACTAACTCAAAAGAACATCTATATCTGTCTGCTGGGGATTAGAAGCGACACATTTGGCTCCTGGACTTAACTTACATAAAGCTCTACCCACGGGTTATCAGTGACAGCCTGTTCACTAGCAGTTTACAATGTAGGCCACCCGCAGCCAGATCAAGGAGGGGAAAAATATAAAATTGTTCGTACTGTCTAAAAACACATTCATGATCCTACTTTTTGCAAAAACAACAAAGTAGAAAAATGCTCAATTTGACAACATGTGCGTTTAAATTGTGTCCCGGTGTGATTCGGCGGTTTACAGTGTATGGGTTTTGCTATATGGACACTAACTCCGCCTTTGTGAGACGTCTTCGTACAGTAAAACAAGCGTATGCTGTAAAAGGCGGTCCAACAAGTCCTCCTCCCGCCGCGTTTCATGCTTTTGAGTCAAGTGGATTTCATTCAGTCATTACAACTCCACTGTCGACACCCAGGAACAACATTTACACAGATTTTCCCTGCATTTATTTAGGCTGATGAAGTGCAGGCACCACGGCGAGGAAAAGTGCGACTACATTTCGGTATTTACCACCCAGGTCTATAATTACAACATGCAGGCGCGTTAGCAACACCACCCCTGTCTGTGTGGAGACTATGAAGGTAAGCACTGATCGGTATTTTTGATGCATTTATTCAGGCTGCTGACTTTTTTGTGTTGTGTTTTTTCGCTTTGGGACGACTGTATCTGACTCTTGCATAATTCTGATGAAGCGGAGTTATCTTTGACTGTCCCACTCATAAACACAAACGCCTACAAGTCTTTCTTACATAAGTTTAGTCTGGTAGAAATACACAGTGGAGGGTTTGATTGCTTATTCAGCTGGGTCGTCTGTTTAATAGTATTGTTATGGGAGCACCTGGCCCTTCTAAACTATCTCAGAGTCTCACTTTTAATTTATTTTTATTTTAGTTAAATCATAACCTGGTATTGACAAACAAAACATTCATGGACTGTTTTTATACTGCTTTTCTAACCCTATCTGTCTGTGTCACATATGCAACAATTTGTAAAAGAAATGCTATCTCAGAAGTATTATTATTGGGCCACTGCTCTTGTTAACTTTACATATTATGATGTTCAGGAAGGCTATGCACTATAATTTATATGCTAACTGTGTGCATGTTGTCTCCTCAGGTGCCTTTGTGTCTCGTCCTTTCGCACTGATCTCCAGAGGTCAGTCCACAACCCTCTGACATGGATGTCCTGTGGCGATCTACTGGCTTCGCTGCAGAGGTGTTGGATGTGTTTGACCGCTCACTGACCGATAAAGAGCTGGTGTCACAATCCAAGGCTCTGTGCAAGGACTACATCATTTCAAGACTTAACCAAAATGGACTTGGGTGGTCAAAAGCGGAGCTCAAGTTCTCCTGTTCGAATGCCATCTGTGAAGTGTCAGTGGTGCTTTTGTGTCTTGGTGAGTATGAGTATTATGTAAGTTATGTTTTCTATAACTTCCCTCTGTGTATTATGCAATCAAAGAAGGCATAAGTTAAGAAATGTATGTCTTAGAACCAATACCCTAAAAGAGCATTCATAAAAGTTCAGATCATGCTTTACACAATACAAATACATTTACATTCATAATTTTAAGAGGCCACAAATATAACGACAATCTGAGGGCTTCGAGGTCACCATTGAAGAACAATCTTTCACAGTTCACATCAGGTTATCAAGACTGATTGCACCTTCTCTGTATGCTTTTGTTTATTGCATTTCCATATCAGTGCAGTTTTCATATCTTCGCATCCTGTATGATGTAAACTATGACATAACATACCAAACTCCATCTCTTTTCTGTTTAGTTGCAATTGGTGCTGACCATGAATATTGTTTCTGTGCTCCGTTCCCTCTTCTGTTGCCCAGGCGACGAGCTGGAGTGTATACAGCCCGGTTTGTACAGGAACGTGGCGCGGCAGCTGAACATTTCGGTTGCCATGGAGAACATGGTGTCAGATGCCTTCATCGGTGTGGCCACAGAGATTTTCTCCACAGGTTTGTGCTGCAGTTTGATTTTGACATGGATGAGAACGAAATGTCCAATTGTGACATTGAAAGGAAAAATATTGTGATTTACAGCTCTTTGGCTTCTCACCATAACATAATTTAAACGATTAATACACTAATATCAACATATAACAATAATAGCTCTGGAACAAAGATTGGAGTTATTTAAAGACAAATAATCCATTGTGAACAAATGTTTTATGTTTTAGGTGGTACGATATGACAAAATAAATCTTTTATGTAACATTGATTAGGGCTGCAAGATGAATGAATCAAATCTAAATCACAATGTGATTGGAACACCTGGATAAATTAAATGTGTATATATATATATATATATATATATTTGGACACTTTGTTATTAGAAATATATTCCTAGCAAGGGCTAATTTAAATGTATTAGCAACAGCAACAAAATGCCTAGTCTTTTCCATATAGAAGAACTGTGGCCCTACCACATCTCTGTGTATGCCTGTGTATGTCTGTGCTTTCCAAGTTTGCTCCTTTTTGAGGTTAAACATAGTTGGCCTGGAAAGAATGAGATGCAGCCCATTGACTTGGCCTGCTTGATGGAAAGATAAAGCTGCCTGATATAATGTCCATGTTCGGAGCTCTGTTGTGCTTGTGTAGACGTCACAGATGTTGTTTTTAGATACAGCGTGGGATTCCACATAAAGAAAAACAAAGTGTTGAACTTGGAATGGCCCTGCCTTATGTGGTGTTAAAAGGCATCAAATAGAAAGTGCTAGATGCTTTGTTTTACTTGGATTCTAAAATAATGTTATAGTCAATGTAATAAAAACATCAGACAAGTTCATAACTTCCATAGAGATTATGAAAGGAAAATCCATCACAATTTGGTTCTAGGAGCCTGAGCTTTAGTTTCACTCCTCCATTCATCTTCCCTTTATCTCTTCAGTCTATTCTTGGATTTCTTCTCAGCAAAGAGCGAGACATGATTCTGTTGTCTTATTGGACAGGTCATCTCTCTTAAGCTCACAAAGACGTCTATCCCCTTATATCAGTCACCTGAGGCGGTGTGGCTCAGCACTGAGAGCAGTCGTTTTGTAAAAGGTTAATACCATTAGCTGCCCACTGCTTGACTTGACATCCTTAAAACAATCTTTCAGGCCTCAAAACCTTTACTTGGGAAAATCTGGATTCCCTCAGTTAGCAGTTCTTAATGGTGCAATTAAGTTTTATGGCACTAAATGTGATTATGTTTCCTTATTTGCGTCACTACCTGCCCACACAAGTCTCACCCAGTTCAAAATAACTGTTGCCAGGTAAGGCGTCTTATCAGTCTAACACACAAACACTGGTTTGTTGACTTAACCTAGAATTTTTACTGCAAATTTTAGAGCAAGGTACAATGCTTTAATAAAAGGTGGAGGTCGAGTTTCTTTCAAAGGCACATTCAAAAAGAAACTAGACAACTTGAGAATACGTCCATACTTCAGGGACCTTTTAGCTCCTGCTCTGGGCTCGTACTCTCCAGTGGAAGGAAAACTTTTGATGACACAAGCAGATGCTGACTGGAACACTGGATATATTAAATGTATACATCACATTCTTAGAAAAGACGAATCTAAATGTATGAACATTTTGAGCCGTGTATGAGTCTGTAGTTTGCTTTTCTTCAACGTACCACAATTTAATTTTGTTAGACACCACATAATTTAATTTTAAATTCTCTACTACACTGTATGTAATGTTTTAATTTTAAATTGAATTTACCGGTTTAACTTATCTGTGTTCCATAGACTGTAAAAAAAAAAATAGGCTGTGTTATTCTTAATTATGATGATAGGTCAACATGTACAAATCGCATTTGGCATTTTCTGAACAAAAATTAGGGTTTGGGTAATAATGTTCATAATATTTATGTTCACGATTGTTCAAAAAAATGATCCAATCAGGAACAGAATGAAGCTGTCATTTGGGTTGCCAGTTTGAGTAAAATGTAACTGGTCTTGGCTCCATCTTTTTTGTTATTAGGGATAACATATTATATTCAATTTCAAATCATGAGATTTGTATCTTGAGATACTGAGAATATATGCAAACTTGATAATATATATATATTTTTTTAACCGAAATAGCTACTGGTGCTAATACTTCTGATTACTCCTATGTCAAATTATGACTTTACTTAATATTTCTCATTCTTTGATTGTTCCAGGTATCACATGGGGGAAGGTTGTGGCCATGTATGCAGTAGCAGGAGCTTTGGCTGTGGACTGCGTCAAACACGGTTATTTGAATTGTGTTTATGTCATCGTGGAAAGTCTTGGCCAGTTTGTTCGCAAGTACCTGGTTCACTGGCTGAAGCGGCGTGGCGGATGGGTAAGCATATTGTATTCATGTTATAATTCTGCTGACAATACTGAAGCAAAGTTTCATAAACTGTACTTTTTTTTTATCCAGATGGACATCACAAAATGTGTGGTGAAAAAAGACTTTATCCCTGACAATCACTGGATTTCCTCCATCATAGACTCTATGAAATACTTTGTCACATCAATTTATGTTTACATCATGAAGGAGCAATGAAGAGCCTCCAGGCCACCGTAGCCCGTGTTTGCTGAGGCTGGCACCTCATTGGAAATATAGGACTGTTGGATCATTCTGCTGATGCTGCTGCTACACGTATTGCTTTTCAGCCAAAGAGTAATACTGAAGCATCCATTAGTTGCACTTCATTTGAATATTTATCAGAATTGTATCATACTTGCATGTCCGCTTGGGTTCACTGTAAACTATACCTCCCTTCCACTCTGTATGGATACAGTTGTTGCTTACACATCTGTCGTGATCCTGTATTCAGACTGTCATGACTGCTGTGCAACGTTTAAGTTCTCAACCATTTTTTTTTTTTTTTAACATGTTGAGGATTGTGCACTTTGAATTAAATCGACAACAAGCAAGTTGTTACTTTTCTTTTACAGGATGATAAATTATTACTGTAGTTGACCAAAGAAGATGCCAGGTTAATCTTGACAAGTCTGGGTTATTTGCCAATTTTTATTCTTGTAAATTATATTTATGTATTTTTACCTATTTTTTTCACATTGAATGTAATGAATGACATTTGTTTTAATTTATACAACATCCCAATGAATCATGGTATCCCGTGTGTGTGTGTGTGTGGATGATTCCTTTCCAGTGTTAATTTATTTCAATATTCTACAATAAACCATTCAAATTCATTCGTAATTTTCAGATTAGATTTTATTGAGTTATTCATAGAACAGGAACAGGAACCCTGAAATACCTACGTGAATAAATAAGCAAAATGTATAACAACTCCAAGACTAGGGGATAAGACTAGCTTGCTTTTTCTTTTAAGCTTCAACAAAAATGAAAAATCAATGTAAAAAATGAACTGTTTAGATAAGGAATCTTAAATACTTTTCTTGCACACTAGAGCCTAACTTCATGCTGGTGTACATATAGTAGAAAACATGCAGACGAGAAGAAAGTAAACTTGTTATGAGGAAGCCAAGTGTGTAATGTTTTAGCACAGTGCAGACACACCTGGAGTTCCACAGACCCTGACCTTCAGAAACAATAATACAACAATAATATATTTGTGCAAATATTTGGAAGCTGCAGTAACTGAACCTTCCACCAGTGAGTTTGTAAAAGTTATAGTGACGTGAACTGAGGCGATAACTGTCGGGCGATAGGTTCAGGATGTTCGTTGATATGTGACATGCAAGTGCTGTGTTAGTGGCTGGTTGAGTGTCGCCATAGAAACGGTCTGTTCCAACTTCCCATCTGGCTGGAGACAAAACACACGAGAAATCTGCAAAATTAAAATCATCGGAGTTCAGTGCTACATAACGCAGTGTAATTCAATGCAAGACATATTCTATCTGTTGTATTAGATGATCAAATATTGTAAAATAAAGGGTTTACCTTTTGGACATGTGGATCTTTAGCAAAAGAAATCCTGGACAAAGCACAGCTCTCGAGGTTCAGCTGATTATCAGTTAGCTCCCCTTCTTCAATGTCAACCAAACCTGTGGGCATAATAGTTCATTCACTATTGGGAATGTAAATTACTATTATAGACACAACAGAGCAACGCATCTTTGTATTATGTCACAGTGCGGTTCAAAACAAATACCTGTATTTTGTGCATTAATAAATGCCACATGGTTTGTGCCAGGTTTCATGCGTATGAAGCCAGACTCTCGGTGTAGAGGCTTCTTGGTTTCAATATGAAAAGCATTGAACCTGTATCAGGAATGTAAAAGAATATTGTGAATTTATGATATATAATTACATCCGCAGCATAAAACACCAGATAAATAACACACATCCAGGTTCATAGAACTCACATAAAGTTAATGACTGGCTGCCCCACATGTGTGAAGTGCAGTGTCTCTGTGTAATGGAAAGGCTTTATGGTCGGGAAAGTGCCCTCTCCGGGTTCGGCTGACTCCCAGGTCCCCAGCAACCACTCAAGAGGAGCCACAGCATCATTCAGGGGCCCTAGAAGTATAAGCACAGGCGCCTTGTGGGTTACTGGTATAGTTTCCTAATAATATTGTAAAGAACTTGTACACAACATGTATATTCAGTATAGAGCATGCATTCATAATATATATGTATATATGTATATGTATGTATGTGTATATATATATTTTTCCTTTTTTTTTTTTAAGCAAGAAGGTATTGATCAATTGCAACAAAACTAAATCATGTTTTTGACCTTACGTAGACTTAAACATGCTGATAAAAAAATAAAAAAAATAATATATGAATGAATGTATGAAAAATCATCTTAAAAATTCACACTTCACATTATTAGTCCACTCCTGACACATTGGCAATAAACAGTAGCCACAGCTGCCCTAGGGCAGACTGATAGAAGTGAGGCAACCAGTCTGTGCTATTGGCCCCTCCATACCGTATTAAAAATCCGATATTCTCCCACCTTTTGGGATCTAAACAACGAAAGGATAATCCACCAAGTAAGTATTCATTAATTACGTCCCGACAATTACATAATTTGTTCACCTTGTTCATGGTGGGAAGAACACATAAACAGTTTGGTACTTGGTACCCGGCACCTGATGTTCCAGAGGTCTTCTATAACCAGGCCCTGCATCTTATTATAATAGATCCATGCCCTGCACTCACTGAATCACATGGAACCTACTAACGCTATATCAGCTCTGGGCCACTAGATGTCACTGTTGTCCACGGTCAACACACGAGGGGAATATATTCTAGTTCTATGCTTTATCGCCGCCAAAACTATCAGGGAGACATCAATATTTACAGTCTATGAGCAAACTCTGCGAAGAATAATACCTATTTACCGAGGTAGGCAGATGCGATCAGAGTGAAACCACAATCCGAGTCGCTTTCGTTTTCAAAGTAGACATGTTTAAACCTGCAGGCGAGTAAATCCTCCTTTATATTTAAGCTAGCTTTCAGCGACAGCGGTTATTTGACATAACTTATAACTAAATAGATCCGTGCCTGAAGGGCATTGGCCGCGCTAGACTATTTAACATTATTTAATTAACACTAGGCCATTTAACTTAACAAACGCTATCATATGGAGCCTTTAGAGGACTCGGACTGACGCTGTGTTGATATCTGCTCACCTTTGTGTTGCATTGGACAGGACATGGTCAAACCTTCTCCGGGACAGTGATGATAGGACTGAACAGCTCAGGGTGAGTTTGATAAGGAACCTGACGTAAACTATGACGTAGGAGGTCGGCACTCGGGGATGATGGGAAATGTAGTGTGAAGCAACATTGAACGCTTGACAAAAATACATATATTTATTTCCAACATTCACAAAAAAAATATTTTCTGAAAGCACTAAACACTTTCTCCTGGGTACACACATAATGATTTAGGCCAAAAGGTTCTGAGCAATGTGTGTCAAAAGTGATCAGCGAGTCCTTCAGGCCTTGCTCTTTTTGCAGTTCTTTAAAGCGTCCGCTAGGGCGGCCAGTGCCATGTCAGCCTTATGTATCTCACAGTTGTATCCCATTAATCCAATGCGCATCACCTAATAAAGAGTTCAAAATTAGTGAGTTGTAGTATTATAAGCTACCATATCAAAAGGCCTAATTGTTTAGTCTTGAACACACCATGCCAATAGATGGCCCGAGACCTCCAGTCATCTCCATCTGGTGGTTTTTCATGATGTACATCAGCATCTCCCTCCAGTCATAGCCTTCAGGAATAGCAATTGTTGTAACTGAAGGAAGCCTTAAGTCCTGCAATATATCTTATCAGTGATCTGATTTATGACAAAATGACCAATGTTCAAGGCTGCTTTTGTATGACATACTCTGTCCGGAATAAAGAGCTTGAGACCCAAATCTTCCAGGCCCCTGTAAAGATAAGATGCCACTTCTTTGTGTTTCCTCCATGAAGCCTCCAGTCCCTGGTGAGAGAATATTCTTAAAGTAATTAACAGTTTACAGTGATAATCATTTTTGACCTGTATTAATACCTTTTCAGCCACAATGGCCAGACTCTCTCTTAGTGCAAAAAAGCCAGACACTGGGCCGGTGTGGTGATATCTATAGGAGAAGCCACATTAGGAACAATCTTCTTCTATATTTTGATTTGATGATTACTCACACACGGGCAGGTTTTCTATCACAGCCCCAATAATTAGATAAATGTGTCATGTCAAAGAGGTATGACACAGGTTTGGTTTTCCTGTTAAACATCTTCTGGCTGCATGAATTAAACAAACATGTAAATTTTATGTTTTGTTCTTTTAACCTAAGAATAAACAAAACTTACCATGCTCTTTCATTAAAGGAAATTGGTGCTGTTCCTGGAGGTGCATTCAGTGCCTTTTGCGAACCAGTGTACAGTATGTCAATTTCTAAAAGTACCAAATAACACACTTAGCAATAGTGAGTATATCTTGTATGTCCTTGTGTATTAAATAGGCCTATTACTTTGCTGGTCCATAAAAATAGGAGTCGCTCCCAGTGAAGCGACTGTATCCACAAGGAAGAGGCAGTTATGTCTATAGGACAATATTCATCACTTAGTGGCTATACAGCTATACATTTGTAATGTTTAGATAATGTATTGAAATACTTACTTTTGACAGATATCACCAATTCCATCTACTGGATGACAGAGTCCAGCTGACGATTCCCCATGTGTGAGAAAAAACAACACTGGCTTGTGTTTCTCAATGACCTGAGCAGAGAAACATTATTTGTGTTCTGAGAAATCCTATTTGTTTGGAATAGGGCAAACAAGAACATGTACACACCTGTTCTATTTCTTTATTGGAGAAATATCCTCCAGGAGACTTTTCCATTCTGTGAACATTGGCACCTGCGAAAACATTTGGTTTTATTCAAGAAGAGAATGTATTGGTTGCATTCTTAAGTGTGCGTAAAGACGTACCCATTCTTTCTGCTATTTCAGCCACGCGCTCTCCCCAAATCCCGTTAACGGCAACAACTACACTCTCCCCCGGCTCCACGGTGTTGAACACTGCGCACTCCATCGCTGCGTGTCCGGAGCCACTCATGGCTATGGTCATATTGTTTTGTGTCTGGAACACATACTGTATCCCCTTCTTAATGTCGTTCATAATCTGCAATTGTAACACATATTAACATGGACAATTCTCTCAAAAGTTTTCACAAGTTTCATATTTCCCCTTTGTTGAGGCTTACCTCATACATTTCTGGGTGCAAGTGACCGATGATGGGTCTTCCACCTGCAGCTAAAATTCTCGGGGGGACGTTCGAAGGTCCTGGTCCAAAGAGGTGGCGCAGGGGCGCTTCAAGGGGCCGGAGCATACAGGCTGGAGGCGGTATAGTGACAGAAGACATGGGGCGCTCCTGGACCAGAGACTGTCCCAGAGACACTTCCAGCGCTGAAGCGCACTGCGCGAGCCGCGCGCTGCGGCGGAACAAGGCGCGTTGCATCATGGTACCAACAGGTGAGCTCCACTGAGCACAGAGCAGCCGGGTCTCTGGGGGAAGTTTTAAACAAACAGGTCTTTGACCGGAGGGCTGGGACAGCTGTGCGTCACACGCATCAGCAAGAGGTCAAATGTCATCTATCACAGTAGTTAGACCGAGTATTACACAATTAACATAATTTAATAAAGTTAAGTTTTTAAGGCATTATGTTGGCATGATCTCATTGACTATTAGCCTATAACTGTTGGTGGTGTGTACCTTTACAAGTACTATGTAGCTTCAAACAAAACAATAATGACATAATGAATTCAAGATTAAAAAAATCAATATGATAAATAAATCACAACGTAATAAATGCCATATACATGTAGCCTAATATTAAAAGTCACTATTACTTAATTTGAAAAAATGATTTATGATGTTTTCCTTCGGTGTAGATGAGACAATATTGATACATAAAGAGCATGTTTTGCATCTGAGACTTCCCTTTTGAACTTAACAAACTTTCAAGGAGGACCAGTGCTATCAGCTCATAACCAGTTCCAGTCAGTTTTCAAGTGTTTTATTGATTTTTTTCTGCTGCTCACAGAAAAAAGTAACAGAGGTGTCTCCCTCAACAGCCAATCTGCTTCTCATGCAAGAGCTGACGTGACGCTAACACATTAAAGGCCAACACCCACAACAATGTTAGTTTTGAAATCCAGAATCAATAAGACATCTGATGTTTTTGGACATATGGTTGTTTTGTGTGATTTGATTTTTTACAATATGAATGTAGCAAAAAATGGATGATGCCCTCAAAGTCTGTTGTTCAATTACATTTTTAAATAGTCTCTTCATTCCAAACTTATTCTTTTACAATAAAATACTGGTTTTTGTTTGAATTTAGACTCTGAATCCACCTATTTAAACATGGGAATACTTAGGAGGTCAAATAGTTATTCAGATTCGAGAGAATAAATAATAATTGCGGCATAAGTCATAAGTAGAGGAGACTATAACTCTGGGCTGTCCTTCAATATGACGTCTGACAAAAGTTGCTGAACCTCTGGTTAGGCAACAACAGCAGGAGTAGAGCAATGCATTGCAACATGCGACAGGACTTCTGGACAGCCTAAACACACAAGGGAACATCTAAAACATAAACAGCATCACATCGTTCCTCATCATCATTCTTTTTTCATTTAGATTCATAAAGCTCTCTCCAAACACAACATATTGAAATGTGAGGTCTGAACAGAAATAGGAAAATTAACATTGATATGTCTATGTTGTAAGTTTGTATGTGTGTGTTTGTGTGTGGTTGTATTTTTCCTCAGTCCTTATTTTGTTCTCACAAGATCACGTAACAGCAGTTAGATCGAAGAGTCCTTTGCTCAAAACAAGGTAATCATTACACTTTCTAAATAAATATGTCGCCCATGGCCTTTGCTCTGGACAGATGCATTGAAGAGATAAACTTTACACAGTGAAATGTAAGGACTCTAAACACAGAAGGACTTTAAACACAGAACCTTCACTTTGATTTTGAAATAAAAATTATAATTGTAATATTAATAGGAATAATATAGCAATAATAGTTGTAGTAATAATACTAGTAAAGTAACCATATTAATAATATACAAATACTAAAGGTTTGTGTGAAAAAATGTACATTGAGCTAGTTTGATAATAGTTTAAGAAACCATTGGGATTGAAGCTTTCTTACTCGGCTGTTTCATTCTCATTTCATTCCAGTTAAGGCATGTGTATTCTGATTCTGATATGAGCTTCTGCGTCCATTTCCATTTGTTTGACCCTAACCCAAGTGAATACATTTCCCAAAGGGTTCTGTCAAAATGACCTATAAGCCCACGATGTATCCTGCGTGTGTTTGTGTGTGTGTGTGTGTGTGTGTGTGTGTGTGTGTATGTGTGTGTGTGTGCAGCAGATGATGATGATGCTGATGCTGATGTCACTACCGCCTCCAGCAGCAGCATCCCTGAGTCCCGCCTCAGCTGCGCGGCCATTTTCCCATCTCCAGACTGTGACGAGGGCAGCTGCGACGTCCTGCTCCATCTTCGGTCCGTCCGTTCGCCTGCCCGCTCCTCTTTCCTCCTACTCGCCATTTGTGCTTTATCTTGAGAAGGAGACGTTCCCGGCGGATGCTCCATGTTTGGACGCAGAGACGGAGCGATGCCGCGGTAGGCTGAGCGCAGACGCGCACTACTGCTGTCCATTTGTTTTGTATGGACCCTGGATCCTCAGCTCGGTGTGAAGAGGTGAGAGTCTTCATCATGTTATGCATCTTGTTATGGCACATTATAGGAGCGTCACAAATGTGAAGCTTTGGAATTGAACGAGCTGTTGTTAGACTGGCGCAGAAGGCCGCGGCACATACGGTGGTGTCACCATAGTTCAGTGGGTTAGGCTTGTTATCTGATAGTTTATTATCTGAGTTTTTATCTAATCGAATCATTATTGGGCTGATAATTGTGTAACGCCGCGTTTGCGCGCTGACCTCCTTTCTGACGCAGTATCAGGGGGTCTCAGATGTTTGTGTTTACGAGGCCTGTTTTTGAGGTGTGGCCTTCAGGACATGTTTAAAGAAACATAAGGGCTGTTACCACTGCTGCATGTGTCCACGTTTATGTGATGAATTTTCTGCTGGCTGTGGAACCTGTCTCCTGATTTCTAGGTCAAATGATGTTTTTCGTCCCAAGCAGGAGCTGTAAGCCCCATGTTCTTGTGAAAGCATTGGCCTAAACATATGAACCCATCATGGATGTTGATGCGGCAGTGTTGTTGTCAGGATGCAGGTGCAATAATATTGTGGAAAAGATATGGATCTTCTTTCTGAGTATCTCTTTCTTCTATAGGCCTTGAGCTGAGGGAGGCTAGGTGAAGAACAAGCAGCCATTTGAATACAGAGCAGTGACGACGGCTGCGTGTTGTTCATAGCTCATATAACTGGTTAAATGTGATGGTATCTGTGTTTGTGGCCAGGTGACCGCTGAGTAGCTCTACAGATCCCATCACTTCAGCTCAGCACAGCATCAGCATCATGGCGGTGGCTTCTGTCAAAGTGGCGGTGAGGGTCCGGCCTTTTAACTCCAGGGAGATCGGAAAGGACAGCAAATGCATCATTCAGATGACAGGAAACACAACAAGTGAGTAAGACATCATGTGAAAAAGATTCTTTTATCAAACATCTGCAAATACTATCAGGAGTGGAAAATCACAATAGCTGGAGGTGTTCTTAATTGCACTGTGAAAATGGTCAATAGTGTATTGTAAACAGCAGAGTAGGCCTAAACCTTGGTATACACGCGCTATTGTGTGTGTCTGAGCACAACATCTACTTTCTGTAATACGATACTGTAATGACTGGATGAAAAGTAAATCAGTGTGCCAAGGGGCAATGCACCATTTTTCTTCAAATCTGTGTGTGCTTAAAATTGTCTACAGAACGCCATATCTACAATATATAACATGTGTTTAGACATAGTATAACTCCATGAATTATATTGAATTAAGCCTGTAGAAGCCATGGCTTTATATATTAAAGTCAGTTCTGCTATCTAAACTCTGTAACCTTCATCACTGGCACCAGTCTAGTTATGTACAGTTATGTACAGTTATGTACAGTTATGTACAGTTAAGTACAGTTAAGTACAGTTATGTACAGTTATGTACAGTTATGTACAGTTAAGTACAGTTAAGTACAGTTATGTACAGTTATGTACAGTTATGTACAGTGGTGAATGGCTCAAAACCTCTTGGCTGATTCAGTAAACAAAAGCCTCAGTCAGAGCATTATTTGACTGAGGTTGTGCTCAGACAAAGTGTCCTTTGTCAACGTCAAAGCTGTGTCAATCCATGTGTGTGTGTGTGTGCTTGTGTGTGTGTGTATTTGCTCTGCCCTGTGTCCATTAGGTTTTTTTTATTTAAAGTTACTTTGTGTTCATTTTCTAGCCAGGCTCGTTTTGCTTGAAGGAAACATTCAACTGTCTGGCATTAAACATGTGTTTATTTTGCATGTATTGACTCTCGGGTTATATTATTCTAATAACAGTAGTTTTAAAACCACCAGTCATCCCACAGACCTGTTCTGTATCTTGACCTTGTGGAATCCTCTACTAAGCAGCATGGAGATTATTTTTAAGTTTCCGTCATTGTTTTGCAAAACTTTCCCCTGTGTAGGAGTTTTTCTATACAAATATGCTTGCATTGCCAAAACATAACAAAAACAAACCATTTCAGGCAAAAGCAGTAACAATCTCCTGGAGACAAACAGGTGTCTGGCCCCAAGCCTGCTCGTCCCCTTTCTCATTTGAATAAACAAACACAACGTTTTCCTGCATCAATCACATTTAATTTACCTCCTTTTGACTTATTGATCATAAATAAAAGAAAAGAAACCTTTGATACAGCTAATTCAAAATAAATCTTTTGTGCATGTATTCTCCCTAACCTGGATTATTTTCTGTGTTCAGCAATCTTGAACCCCAAACAGCCAAAAGAAAACAAGAGCTTCAACTTTGACTACTCGTACTGGTCGCACACATCTGTAAGTGTCTTCTCGATGTTAAGCCATGCAAATTGTCTCTCTAAATATTGAGTTTCACATCACAATGATTTGTCTTTTCCTTTTTTGCAGCCCGAGGACATCAATTATGCCTCACAGTTGCAGGTGTACAAAGACATTGGAGAAGAAATGCTGTTCCATGCGTTTGAAGGCTACAACGTGTGTATTTTTGCGTATGGACAGACAGGAGCTGGAAAGAGCTACACAATGATGGGGCGCCAAGAGCAAGATCAGCAGGGCATCATACCGCTGGTAAATTATTATTATTATTAAAACCAGAACTATGTAACAAAATCCTTCTGACTCGCTCTCAAATCAGTTTGGCTCTATCAACAGTCTGTATCATCTTTAGATCAACTTTTTCAAAAACGGCCAAAGTGTAAAACATTGGCTCACAGGGCTCTTTCTTACAAGTGTGCAAAATATAACAAGATTTTATGTTTTCTTATACAAAGGTGAAGACAGCATGTTGTGGGTCTATTTGTTCATTTTTAAGTCACTTTTTTAAGACTCTTTCTGTTCAGGTTATGACAAAAATAAGCTAGGAATCTCAGTTTTTAAGAGGGGCGAGCTGATGTTATTATTATATATTCACTTTATATATTCACTTTTGAACAATATTTTTCACTTGTATGTTAGAGTGATTGATTGAGTTGGAGTAACCTTTGTTCTCCTGAAGTATTGATTTCATTCCCAACGACTTGATGCCAGTTGGAAAACCCTGCTTTACATAATAATAATAATAATGCTTGCTCATTCTGTCGGAGTGAAACGGTGTGAGATCTCCCATTAAAACATATTCCTAATTCTGTATTCTCATGTGTTCGCCAGCTCTGCGAGGACCTTTTCACAAAGATCAGCGACACCAATATTGACAATAACAAGTCATATTCTGTAGAGGTAAGTTCCTCTTTTGAAACAGAACACCCTCAAAAAAATTTGTTTTAAAACAAATAATTTCTAATGTTTAAGGTGAGTTACATGGAGATCTATTGTGAGCGCGTACGTGACCTGCTGAATCCCAAAAACAAAGGCAACTTGCGGGTCAGAGAGCACCCACTGATGGGACCCTATGTGGAAGACTTGTCCAAATTGGCTGTCACCTCTTACAATGACATCCAGGACCTCATGGACTCCGGAAACAAAGCCCGGTAAAAAAATAACTGTTGTCTACCTTTCCCTTTCCAGCACTAATATAATCTTATACTGTAGATTATGGTCATGTGACTGAGGGCAGCTAAAAAATCTGTGTGTAGAAGTGGGGACAATATCAAATAAAAAACTCTTTTATCCGTCCCAAAGTGGGGAAATTTTATTGTTGCATCACTAGTTACAGAACAGTAGGAATGAGAAGCACACAGCACAAGATAAATGAGACATGACTCTACACTACACTAAAATAAAATCTCTAACATTTGCATGATAAATGATCTTGATCAGTCGCAAGGACACAATATGGCAGGTTTGTAAATCCAATCACCTGTTAATGAATAAATGAATGAATGAATATACTGTATACTTTATTTCGAGCCATAGCAAACAAGAACAAAGAACAACAACAAGAAAACAACAGAATAGAAAAAGACAAAATACATGATTATATACAAATATACAGTATGTTTTGTTTTATTAACAAAAATCCTGCTCGACAATCCCCTGTTAAATAATGATATGGGAAAACATTTGTACAATTTCTTCAAGTTGTATTGGCACCAGCCCTGGTAACTTCTAACATGAACACAACATATTCCGTGTATGATTCCACTCAATGTTATTTGTATTTCCTGTGTGTAGGACGGTGGCCGCTACAAACATGAACGAGACCAGCAGCCGCTCTCATGCCGTGTTCAACATCATCTTCACACAGAAAAAATATGACGCAGACTCGGACAACACTTCAGAAAAGGTTCGGGAAATCGTCTCGTGATGCTAATAATTGACGTAACGTGATCATACGTTTGTGACTGTATGGCGTGTCTTTGCAGGTCAGCAAGATCAGCCTTGTGGACTTGGCTGGAAGTGAAAGAGCTGACTCAACAGGAGCCAAAGGGACAAGACTAAAGGTTTGTGTGGATTCAAAATATTTAGTTTGTAGGAAGAGATGATAATTTATTTACCATTGACAATTGTTTTTTTTTTGTGGTTTCTGCAGGAGGGAGCTAACATCAACAAATCACTGACCACTCTAGGAAAAGTTATTTCGGCGTTGGCTGAACTGGTAGGTCCAAAAATTGTGTTTATTTGTTATAAATGATTGTTATAAATGATTGCTATTTTGAATTTATGTTGTTGTTTTGCTCTGGTTTAGGATACTGCACCCAATAAGGTATTTCTTTGTTTACTATTCTATTATGAAATCACAAATAGCACATTTGTATCTTTTGGTTAATGTCTATATATTGTGTGCAGAACAAGAAAAAGAAGAAAGTGGAAAGCTTTATTCCATACCGAGATTCAGTGCTGACTTGGCTTCTAAGAGAAAACTTGGGTATGAACATGTTAAATACATGAATCGATAACATCCGTTGTACTTTAGTTTTTTAACACTTTGACAATGACTTTAGGAGGAAACTCACGCACAGCAATGGTGGCTGCGCTCAGTCCAGCAGATATAAACTACGATGAGACGCTGAGTACTCTGCGGTAAGACAAACTTGACTGGTTTTGACATAAACTACAAAGTACAAATGGATTTATAAAGGGCTCTTTTATTTATTCATTTATTTGAATGGGACAATCATTTCCATCTGTAGTCCCATGGGGTCAGGGTGAAAAAAATATACTACATTGCTTCCATTCCACCCCTTCATAATCCATCAAGAGTCTATAATGTTAGAGTCCACATCATTGCACACACCCCATTATTGCATTTACCTCGTTATTGCACGCAATGGACAAATATTTCACTTGTTATAATTTTGCACATAATTTGCACACAAATGCCTATTCTACACATGTAAACCAAACAATTGCAATGTAATAAATCTACATATGTACTTGCTCTGTAGGTATGCTGACCGTGCTAAGCAGATCCGCTGTAACGCAGTGATCAATGAAGACCCCAACAACCGTCTGGTGCGTGAGCTGAAGGAGGAGGTAGCCCGCCTCAAAGACCTGCTGTACGCGCAGGGCCTAGGAGACATCATCGAGAGTGAGTCAGACAAACAAGCACACACACTATGAGATAATAAATGTAGACACTTGGTTTAATGTTCAATTGTGTGATCCAAGTACATCCTGTCTTTCTATGGGGTGATGGCAGAGAGTAGGTCGTCTCATGTTTGATGTCTTTTCTCTGTCCTATTAGCATCTCGCTGTCCCGGTCCTATCATCCATGGTTTGAAATGTGTGTGTTATAAAAACAGAAAGCCTCCGCTTTGCATCTAATATTCATCATTTTTAAGCCGACAACAGAGATACTCAATGCAGGATTCAAAAATTATTCCAAAATGATTTCTCAATATGTCTTTCTTTTAAATAGTGTATTCAATGAAAATCACATTGAGAAACAGCAATATTATAATGGCCTAATATTTCTAGTTTAAAACATGGACTGTACATTGGAAAGGACAATGATAACTCACTCACTTAAATCACTTAAGCCTATAGGACGTTTTGCTCATGAATGAAGTTTTGCTACATCTTGCTGTGGCTCTTGAAAAGTAAACTACTCTTACTTTGTATCTGTTTGTGTCACACTCATCCTTGTGACCTTAAAAAAATTGTGGTCTACTGCTCTCATGACCCTGGTGTTTATATTTTTTATAAGTTCTTTATAAATGAGCCTTAACAACAGACAATCCTGTGCCTTTCGTTTCAACATTTGGTTTTCAGCACCACTCCTGATTAGCTCTTTGGTTGCTAGGTTGTTGCATCCCCAAATTTGGCTCCAGATTCCTTCCCATTTTGAGTTCAATCAAATTGGGTCCTCGATATAGCAAACATTATGAGTGCTGTCAGCTCTCGGTTGGTCCACTCCTTTTACAATCTATGGTTTGAATGTGAATAAACTGGAAATAAAAAGCCACTTTCAGACTTAACGTCCTGAGTCTCTGTGTGTGGAGCTCATTGAAGCCATGAGTCAGGTGCTGCTGCTGCCAAAGGCCATTCACACATGTTACATTATTATTATAATTATTCATTGGACACATTTCTTTCCTTTTGGATCAGCGTATCATCCCAACAAGCTTGCTGAATGCAGCTATTGCCGTATCAATGTGTCTTGAACATTATTGTATTTAAATTGAAGCACACATTGCAATGATTTTTTTATCATTTTTTTGACACATTATTAAATCTCTCTTCTTTTTTACTCCCCAATTTTCCTTGGCTTCCTTCCTTTCCTAATCCGTCTTCATGTATGTGCCTTTATCCCGTATGTATGCGTCTGCCTTCTCCTCTGCTCAATCCCATAAAACGCATCTCTTTCTGGCAGACCTTTGCGATTACAAAAACATCATCAATAATCGCCAGGCTGTCAATGAAAGGGATGATCTCTCCGCAGTGTCCCACGTCATGACAGGGATGAGTCCTTCTCCGTCACTGTCGGCCTTATCGAGCCGCGCCGCCTCTATCAGCAACCTCCACGACCGCATCTTCAGCCCAGCCAGCGAGGAGGCCATCGAGAGACTCAAGGTACGACATCATGATGGAAGGACTTTATCGTGGGGTTCTAATGTTGTGCTAATATCCATCGTTTACACAGGAAACAGAGAAAATTATTGCAGAGCTTAATGAGACCTGGGAAGAGAAACTGCGGCGCACTGAAGCTATTCGTATGGACAGGTAAACAATATATCATGACACATCCTGGAATATTTGTCTGTCTGTTTTTGATCATGCATCTTCATCGTGTAATATCATTTCTTTTCATTCTCAATTATAGGGAGGCCTTGCTCGCTGAAATGGGAGTTGCCATGAGGGAAGATGGAGGAACTGTGGGCGTCTTCTCACCTAAAAAGGTAAAATTGTCTTGTATAGGTTGCGCTCATGTGATATCACAGAGCCTGTAGTTTAAAATTGTGGTGGAGGGCAGCTGAATTGTCTTTTCCGGTAACTATGGTAAATGTCAGACCTTTTTTCTTAGCTTAGAGTTTTTTTCTCTGTAATTTCTAGGCCAATAAGCTGACATTTCTAGGTGTCGAGAAGTGGTGAAAATATTCAACAAAACATACACATAATGTTGCCTTATGGGATCAACTTTCAGACTTAAAAATCTAGTTTGTGTATCTAGTCCCTATAAAATAATGTTCTAGGGTTGTATTAGCCTAGTCGTACCACACCATAGTACAGATTACATTTCGTACTAAGGTCTGGAGGTGCTCCATTGAGCTACGTTAACAGGTGGGAGTGGTTAACTCCTTTTGCAAATTGAAACGATTGGATCTGAGTTTACTGTGACGTATGTAATGCACCCGAGTGAGTCGTTAGCATTTAGCCTAGCTTCAGCCATCTCCTTTGCCGCTAACAGAGCCCGCAATTACATTTGCTAAACATTCCTCTTGCTCCGACTTCAATTTCTTGATAGAACCAGACCGGATTACTTTACTACCGCATTCTTCGCCATTGCCAAACTACAATCTGCCTGTTCGACGCAAACTCTTGACGTCACCCAAATCAAAACAACACCCGCCTTCTTCTGATTGGTCGGTCGAAATTCAAGCGATTGTAATCGTTAACACAGGGCCCAGACCCAGACATTACATGCAGTGAAATGATGATTGACCGGAGTGTACGGATGGCTAAGGCCAGGCTAGGGTTGTATTGGCATCTGCCCTCCAACTGAAATTCTCAAACATGAACGCGACCTATTATTTAACAACAATACAGATATGATTATGATAAATGGCAGATATTGACATTGACATTCTTCTAGACTCCTCATCTCGTGAACCTGAACGAGGATCCGCTGATGTCTGAGTGTTTGCTTTATTACATCAAAGATGGCATTACCAAGTAAGTTTTTGCATTTCAAACATATACACTTTATTGCTGTTTTTTGGTATATTCTAATTTCTTTGACATATTGCAGAGTTGGTCGAGAAAATGCAAGAACAAGACAAGACATTGTTCTTAGTGGACATTTGATTAGAGATGAACACTGCAGCTTCAGCAGCACCACCGGCCCTCAAGGCGAAAGTATGAACTCTTCCACATCTAAACCTGAAATGTTTGATTCATGTTGCATTTTTCCCAAACAATGACATATATATATATATATATATATATATATATATATATATATATATATATATATATATATATATATATATATATATATATATTTTTTTTTTTTTTTTTTTTTTTTTTTTTTCCACCAGGTTGTGTCATCTTGGAGCCAGGTGAAGAGGCAGAAATATATGTCAATGGAAAAAGGGTCTCTTCTCCCATTATCCTCAGATCAGGTGGGCTCAATCAAACAAACATATTTATTTATAAAGGGCAGTTCATACAGTGGAACACAAAGGGCTTCACAAACAATTAAAAACAGACAATTGAACATAAACATAGGGGAAATACATATGAAACATTTTGTTTTAAAAATTCAGTTAAAAAAAATAAGTTTTTTTAACGACAAAAGATAAATGTTTTTAATTAGTCGTATGCATAGCTAAATCAGCCTGGACTTAAACATTGTCAGGGACGTGGCCTGTCTTACAAGCTCAGGGAGACTTTGAGATTTTGGCGACTTTGAGATTTTGGCTGCATAAATGCCAAAATCTAACTCTGGGCACCAGCAGGAGGCCAGTTTCCGCGCTCCTCAGAGTCCGAGTTGGTTTGTATGGCACTAAAATGTCTCAGATGTAGTTTGGTGCGAGGCCATGGAGAGACTTGTAATAAGCAGAACTGTTTTTAAGTCTATTCTATTAGCCACAGGAAGCCTGTGCAGAGACCTGAGAACTGGACTAATGTACCTAATCATGTTTCCTGGTTCAGTCAGGACTCGAGCTGTAGCGTTTAGAAAATACTGCAGCTATTTGTCAAACTCATGGACAATTTTGAATCATAAACTAAACAATTATTTTGCCTTGTTTCACAGGGAATCGTATCATCATGGGAAAGAGCCACGTGTTCCGCTTCAACGACCCGGAGCAGGCCCGTATGGAGAGAGAGCGGACGCCGTGTGCCGAGACGCCCGTGGAGCCTGTGGACTGGGCCTTCGCTCAGAGGGAACTGCTGGAGAAACAGGGCATCGACATGAAGCAAGAGATGGAGCAGAGGTGAGCCACAGTTCATGGCATTTCAATAGCACACAATGGTAAAAGACAGTGGGAGACAGAGAAACCAGGATATTTAAAAGGGATTGTTCAAAAGTCCATTTACTTCAGTAATTCAACATACAATCTGAAACTAATTTCAATCTGGAGAGACGAGACAGACACTTCGTAATAAATGAGATTATTGATTTTGTTTGTTTGCCACATAGACCCCAGCTGGGAAGATCATTGCTTGGGTGACGCTTATGATCCCCAGGGCCTAGGCACTGGTGGTGGCATAAAGGCAGAGTCGAGATAAGAGTGTGCGCCTGAAGGGCCAGAGGAGGAGGGCGAGAGCTTGAAGAATTGTTAGTTGTTGGAAAGTTTCTGCTTTTAAACTGCCGGCTTGATTGGCATGGATAGGCTGAGATGGGGGGGGGCAGCCTTGGATGGGATGGGACTGCAGCAGGTAGTATATAAGCTGCATATTTGGCAAACTCATTACATGCAAAGTGAGATATATCAAGCCTTTATTTGTTATGGCTCACAGTTTGTAAATCCTAAATAAAACACCTCAGGCAATTTGAATATCTTGACATTGAGCTTTAATACACAGACTTGCCACTGTAGTCTATATCATCATTGATCATGAGACTATATCATCATTGGTTTCAAATTTTAGGAAATAAGTAATAAATAAATGAACTTTAATGAACACTTTTTCTGAGTTTCTCCTGTATTATATAAATGGATATTTTCCTCAAATACTATATTAAATGTGTCACTCTCACACTACAGGCTACAAGAGCTGGAAGATCAGTACCGAAAAGAAAGAGAAGAAGCCAGTAACTTACTTGAGCAACAGAGACTGGTGAGATTTATTTGGTTTCATCAACTGTTGATGCAATTACAATATAAAACAGCACATTTTTACCACCTCCTTTTTATTTCATGTGAACGTATTTTCAATAGGATTATGAGAGTAAACTTGAAGCGTTACAAAAACAAGTGGACTCTCGGTACTTGGAGTCTCCTGAGGAAGAGGAGGAGCCAGAAGAGGAAGGTAATTATTATTGAATCAAATAACCCTAACTCTCAATTTGTTTGGATTCTAACGTTGTTGAGTGTCTGAATTCTTGGCTTTGTCTGCACTTCCAGTTCCTTGGACAAAGCATGAGACCGACCTGGCTTTGTGGGCTTTCCGGAAGTGGCGTTTCTACCAGTTCACCTCTCTCAGGGACCTCCTGTGGGGAAACGCTATATTCTTAAAAGAGGCTAACGCAATCAGCGTGGAACTTAAGAAAAAGGTATTTGTCAACAACATTTTAATCCTTTTTATATTTAGTTCAGGTTAAGCAGCTGGTACTTCAATAAGATAGTATTTGAATACATTTGGGTGCATTTTTACTGTTATATCTGCTAACTAAATGACAAGTCCAGTCTTATCTAACTTACTTTTAAACATAAGTGGGATTTTTGAGGAAGATTCTCACTTTGAACATTTTAGCTTCATAACATGAATCGTAAATACAATCGTAATGTAATGGTAATCTGAAGAATCGCAATCACATATTTCCTTTCACATTAGATTACCTACTTACATTTTCTGGAGACTTTTTAGGTCTCCAGGAAATGTAAGTAATCAGTGACAGTCTCTGCAGATAACCTTTAGTCCTAATGCGTCCTACGTGTGTCAAGAATTAATTAGGCAAGTTTTTTTGTATAGCAAAGTTCATACACAAGGCAACTCAAAGTTAACTCAAAAAAGATAGAAACAATCACACAAGGCATCAATCATGAATAATTACAGAACAATGAAAAGAGTGAAGATAAAATCCTTCAGTTTCAACCCTGTGGAACCCAGACATAAAAATGTTTGTTGAAAATAATGATCTGTGCTATTTTTGGAAAGCAGCAGCAATGCTACAGAACCTAAATAAAACCCAAATAGTTGCTTCTTTGGATTCTGGGACAAAACAGTCTAACTAATACTTATTTTGCCATAACCGTTGAAATGTATGTTACATATTTGCAATAAATGGTGCTACGCAGTTAACCTGGATTAAAACAGTATGTCTCCTCCACAGGTGCAGTTCCAGTTTGTCCTTTTGACAGACACGCTGTACTCGCCCCTGCCCCCAGACCTGCTGCCCCCATGCGTGGCCCAAGAGAGGGAGAGGCGGCCTTTCCCTAGCACCATTGTGGCAGTGGAAGTCCAGGACCAGAAAAATGGAGCCACACATTACTGGACGTTAGAAAAACTCAGGTAAACACTGATCTGATCTTTTTGTTGTTGTGTTGTTTTTACTGTGACACGGGCTGAGGTTTGTTCTCTCCCGGTGAATGCAGGCAGAGGCTGGACCTAATGAGAGAAATGTACGATCGAGCTGCAGAGTTGCCCAGCAGTGCAGTGGAGGACAGTGACCCCGCGCTGACCGGAGGAGACCCCTTCTACGACCGCTTCCCTTGGTTCCGCCTGGTCGGCCGGTCAGTGTCCAGCGGTCAAAGTTAACCCAGAGCATGAATGTTTATGTAACTCCCTCATGTGCCTGTTCTCAGGGCGTTTGTGTACCTGAGTAACCTGCTGTACCCTGTGCCCCTCGTGCACCGAGTGGCCATCGTCAGTGAGAAAGGAGAAGTCAAAGGCTTCCTCCGAGTCGCCGTGCAGGCCATATCCGGTAATGACGGACTTTGTGACATTAAAGCTGGGGCGCCTAAATTGTTTTTCTTCATTAGTAATGCATACACACAGAAATAGTCTTAGTAATAGAATAATAGTCTTAGTAATAGTAATGGAATAGTAGTAGAAAAAGTAATATGTTTTGAATTAGTTAGACCAAAACATGCTGTACTCATCATATTAGTAATATCATCACTCAAATTAGGGTTGGTCCTCTCTTCTTCCTCACTTTTCTGTCTGAAAAATATATTAAATGACACCTGTGATAGAACTAAACAGGTTTAGAGCCAAGAATTAGTTACTAGATGTTATTACATTACTGGTTATTTGTTCTGTGGTTTAAAAGTTAGGTATACCTGCTTCATTTTTAGGTATTTTTCTTATTAGTGAGTTTTAAAATGTTGTCATGCTGCCACATTAAACTGCATTTACACTGCTTTATAGCTGTTTTCATTTACAATCGTCTTCTACATTTCAGCGGATGAGGAGGCTCCTGATTACGGCTCAGGTGTGAGACAGTCAGGGACGGCCAAACTATCATTTGAAGATAAACAGTTTGAAAAGGTACACACAGACCTTTATCTGCATTTACCTCATTAACAAACAAAAGATGATAAGTATGTTTTGTTTTTTTTGGGGCTGTTTCAGTTCCAGACAGAGACCTGCTCCGGTGGCGGCTCACACTCGTCTCAGGAAGAGCTGCGGTTTGTTGAGGGCGAAGGACAAAACGCAGATATGTCTGTTTCAGCCGATGAAGTCAATAATAACACATGCTCAGGTAGAATCAAGTCACATTCTATTCAATGTATTCTTGTATAGCCCTTAATCACGACAGTAGTTATCTCTGGGGACTTTACCCAACCGTTGAATTCGCCAACGCAGATCAGAAAATCAATCAATAAACAGACAAAACATAAATGTTGTTGAACGTTGCATGTCCTAGGTCATCACCACAATCAAGTCGCATTCATAAGTCATTCCTTTCCAGATATATTTTCTTGATTGTTTTGGTTTTGTTTAGCTGACGAGGAGCCTCCCTTGAGCCCTGCAAAGACCTTGGGCTTAGGCCTGGACCTGCCCCTGGACCTGTCCCCAGAAAAGGCTCTGTCCCACCTGAAGATCGGCAGCAGGTTCACTTTCAGAGTCACAGTTTTACAGGCTTCCAGCATCTCTGCAGAGTACGCCGACATCTTCTGCCAGTTTAAGTGAGTCTCTCTTCTGCACATCTCCTCAAGGATTTGTCTAAAGTTAGATATTTTAGTTTTGAAGTTACGATTTCCAGGCATTTTATCCCTATTTATCCTGTGTTTGTAGTTTCATCCATCGTCATGACGAAGCCTTCTCCACAGAGCCCCTGAAGAACACAGGCAGAGGACCACCTTTGGGCTTTTACCATGTGCAAAATGTAAACATGCTTTTACCTCCTGTACACTGAATATGGTTGAATGGTGGTTGAACGAACATTTGTGCCTCTTTAGATCACAGTGGAAGTGACTAAATCCTTCGTGGAGTACATCAAGACTCAGCCCATAGTGTTTGAGGTCTTTGGCCACTATCAGAAGCAGCCCTTCCCCCCACTCTGCAAAGATCTCATCAGGTTTGTCTTCATTTCACTGCAGAAAGTGACAAAATATGAGGTAATAATTGCATTTTTTAATCTTAATTTGAGTATTTTTTGACTTGATTTGCCAATAGAACAAGCCATTTAGTCTTATTTCAAGTCTCCTTTTTTTCAAGCAAGACATTTTTGCTTGTCCCAATGGAAAATCTTCTTTTTAGATTGTAAGTACTCTAATAAAGATAAAAATTGATTTAAGCATTTATTACCTTATATTTTATCATTTTTTGGAGTGCAGCGTTCATCATGAATGTATCAACATGTCACATATTCACATTTGTTTGATATTTAGTCCGTTGAGACCTTCCAGAAGGCAGTTTCCCAGAGTCATGCCACTGTCCAAACCAGGTTAGTAAAACGTGACCACATTTATTACATCTATAAACACTTGATTATGTCGTGTGGGAATTCAATAGAGTGTGATTTATTCACAAATACATTTTTTCTTTCAGTCCCAGCCACAAAGCTCAGCACGTTGACGCGCTCCACAGCAGGACCTTGTCACGCCAAATATGACCTCATGGCTTTCTTTGAGGTCTGCGAGCTGGAGGCAAACGGAGAGTGAGTTGAATATAAATATTTGACTACGTAGTATATAATGCACATCACAGTACTTTATACTTGCTTCTTATCGTGCCAAAGGTAGAGGTTTTATACTTGTTTATTTAGCTAAAGTTAGAGTTTTTGTGCTCATTATGCTAAAGATAGAGATTTTATACTTGTTTCTTCTTCATGCTAGAGTTAGAGATTTTTATTTTGCTGTATTTAGTATAGAGTTATTGTTCATGTATCATGTGCTGTGTGCTCCTCGTTCCTTCTGTTCTGTAACTTGCGATGCAACACTTACATTTCCCCACTGTGGGACGAATAAAGGATCTCTTAATCTTATCTTAAACTTGTGCTTTCTAACTTGTCTTACTGAATATAAAACATGTCGTTCTTTGCAGATACATCCCTGCTGTTGTTGATCACAGGGGAGGCATGCCGTGCCACGGGACATTCCTTTTACATCAGGTAAACTTGTGAAGCTGTTTGTTTTTACTCTACCACTTTGAAAAGGCAGCTTATAACACATTTCCTCTGCAGGGTATTCAAAGGAGAATTACTGTGACAATCGCTCATGAAAATGGAAACGACTTTGAGTGGAAAGAGGTCAAAGAGTTGGTGATCGGTGAGTTGTAGAGATCAAACTGAACTCATATTTTGTCAATGGTGTCGTGTCCTTACGACCTGTCTGTGTTTAGGTCGTATTCGAAACACTCCAGAAGCTGATGAAACCATTATTGACCCAAATATTCTCTCCCTCAACATCCTGTCCTCCGGATACTACTGGCCAAAACACGATGACAAGTAAATCATTTGATCTCTAGCGTGCCTATGATTTAAGCTTCCTCTCATTCATTTTGTTTTGCTCCATTCTTTGCTACACTAATACTTTTACTAATGCTCTATTTTCCATTTGCGCAGCATTTCCTTGGGGGTTGATCATAGGTATAATCACTTTTAAAATGAAACAATGGCTCAAATGTTAGAACAAATATTGAGAGTTTTTTTAATTCATTTTTTTACAGAACATTTTACCGGTTTGAAGCGGCTTGGGACAGTTCCATGCACAACTCTCTGCTCCTGAACAGAGTCACCCCATACGGAGAGAAGATCTACATCACATTATCAGCTTATCTAGAGGTAAATTATCCGCTGCATAAATCACACCCAAACCCTGAGTTTCATGATTTATTTACCCTATAATTCTAGATGGAGAACTGCACTCAGCCGACTGTAATCACCAAAGACTTCTGTATGGTATTCTACGCCCGAGACACCAAACTGCCGGCCTCTCGCTCCATCAGGAACCTCTTCAGCACTGGTTGTTTCAGACCATCTGAGAGGTAAACATTAACCTGTGTTCACTAATAATACAAATGAACACAAATAACAATGTATCTGAACCCTGCAGTAATCGTGTCACTGGAGTCTACGAGATCACTCTGTGCCACGTGGCAGACAATGGGAGTCCTGGTGAGAACAACATGCCCTTTAATACGTAACACTGTAAACACAAGCTCCCTAATACAAACATGAACATGTGTTTCAGGCATGCAGCGTCGACGCAGGCGAGTGTTGGACACTTCTGTGGCTTATGTCAGAGGGGAGGAGAACCTGGCCGGATGGAGACCTCGCAGTGACAGTCTCATCCTTGACCACCAGTGGGAGCTAGAGAAACTCAGTTTGCTGCAGGAGGTGAGCTGATAAGAACTTATACATACCACAGCAAAGTAACAATGGTTTCTAAAAGCAAAGTTGTATTTGTGTCCAGGTGGAGAAGACCAGGCATTACCTGCTGCTGAGAGAGAAGCTTGAGGCCACTCTGCTTGCAGGACAAGACGCTCTATTCAAAAGCAATGACATAAGTGAGTTGGCCAAGAGCCCTGTTCTCAGCCAAAGTCCACTTTGCAGTCCTGCCCCAGACAGCCCCAACCAAAGGCAGCGCGAGCTGGCTGCTAAGGTGACTGCTAATACTCAACATTATGTGATACTGAAACATTTCATAAGCTGCGTCTTACTACTGTGTACTGTTGCAGTGTCTGCGCCTTCTGATGCACACCTTCAATAGAGAGTACAGCCAGGTGAGCAGCAGTGCCAGTGAGAGCAAGGTGAGCCCCAGCATAGCCCCCTAACGACCCGCTAGTCCTTACAATCAACTTCTGCCCCTACTAAGCCCTTTAGCAACATCTCCTGATTAACACCTCATTTTCATAAGATTTTGACCCCTTTTCTGTCCCTTTCCTTCCACCTGCAGTGTAGTTCCATATATTTCTAAACACTTTTCTTTTCTAAGCTGTCAACAGTGTTAACTCCATTTCATTTTATGAACCTCCAAGAAGATCCTCCCTCCCTTTAAACTGCTCAGATGTCCTCCAATGTTCCCTGCATGTCTTTACCACACCAGCATGGGGCTCCTAGATAGGCCAATGATGATACTTTAGGCTCATGTATCTAATGGAACTGTTCTCTTGGATGCATGTTTTTGTGCTCAACTGTACGCTGCAACGCTGTCGGTTTGTTTTGTTTGGACCCATTCGTGTGCTGCTTTGTGTGAACGAATGTATGTTTTAGCTCTCGGACCTGTCGGCTTCATTCATGAGGGAGTCTTCCTCTGGACTGAGCACCTTAACCCCATCCTCCACTTGCCCCTCGCTGATTGAGGGAAACTTTGATATCAGGTATTGGATGTTAAGTTTCCATTTCTTTGTATAGTTAGAATTGTATCATAAAGAGCTTACTTTTCCACAAACCTCATACTTTGAGTGGGTCTATTTACATTGCTATTCCCTATCTTGTTAAATATACATAAAAACAACACATAATAGTTATGTTATGTATTGCTGCTTTAAATATTGATTTTACTTATATTCTCATTCATTTGTTTAATATTGTATACCATATTAACATGACAGAAAATAGAAACATATACAAAGTTTTACCATTTCAACAGTCCACCACAATCACAGTCATGGTCAAACTCAATGTTGGTATTGTGATCGGGGAGGGCTATTTTCCCAAACTCATTTGTTTTCTCACTTTGACCTAGACTCACTGAGCCGAGTTCAGGAGCATCCACTCCAGACCTGGACCCATACAGTCCAGTCGACAGAAAGAAAGCTCTGCGTGGCTTCACCTTTGTTCCTGACATACAGGAGATCAGAGTCAGGTCAGAATACTGAACATAATAAATAGTAATAATAATAGTATTCAACTGACTGTCATGCATGTGTGTGTGTGTGTGTGTATGTGTGCAGCCCCATTGTCTCTAAGAAAGGGTACCTCCACTTCCTGGAGCCCCACACCAGCGGCTGGATGAAGCGATATGTGGTGGTGCGGCGACCGTATGTGTACTTGTACCGCAGCGAGAGGGACAGCGTGGAGCGAGCCGTCATCAACCTGTCGTCTGCTAAAGTGGAATACAGCGAAGACAAGCAGACCTTACTGCGGGTATGATTGCTCTGGGTTTTTGATGACAACATGAGGAAAACAAATCACAATTAACCTTTGATTCTTTCATGACAGACTCCAAATACTTTTGCTGTGTGCACTGAGCATCGTGGGATTTTACTCCAGGCCACGAATGACAAAGAGATGCACGACTGGCTGTATGCGTTTAACCCTTTGTTAGCAGGCACCATCAGGTAAGGGCCTTCAAGAGGACTTCAAGATAACTTTGAAAGCACAAACAATAATAAGTAAAGAATACATTTCATAGCTCTCAAAACAGTTTGGTTCTATCACAAGTGTTTACATGCGCACGTCACATCTTTAGACCATGTTCTTCAACGAAAAAGATAGTACCAGTCCTCTCTCAGCCAATCAAATGATTTCGAATAAGATAGCTGCATGTCTGATTTGTTCACACAATGTTAAACAAATTAAACTCTACTGACTATAAGATATTAACACTTATAAGACACTAAAATATGTTCAATAGCTCCTCTCTCTCTGGCCCAGGAAATCTAAACTTCTGTGGAACTTGGTCAAAAAACAGTCTTTATATACTATAGTATGTAGTATATTGTTATTGTTTAAATGTAATGTGTTTAAGCTATGCTTGTGTTAGGTGTATGGCATCGTGTTATATATTAATCTGAATCTGTCTGCATTTTTGTTTCGTGTCGTATAAGCCCATTGGAGGCTGGACACCTTTAAATGGCGCATGACACCAAATGAGTGGATACTAATAAACTAAAAAAAAGTCCATAAAAATAACTTATTAGTAAGTTTTTGTAATCTCTCAGTCGTACAGGGATTAGTCAAAGCAAAGGAAGGTTTCTCACCCATTATCTGTACTTCTTAGCAGGAAAACGTGTTTAACATTACAGAAAAACCTGCTAAGAATTACAGATGATGGGTGAGAAACCTTCCTTAACTTATTAGTAAGTTATTGTATAATATTCCACGGACAATATATTTATTAGACATTTTAAGCATTGCCTTTGAAATCCTTAAACAACATTATCCTGTTGTAGAGATGTTTTTTTTACTGCTACAGAATACTGTATGTCATAAACTAGACATTCAGAAATTCAGTCTAATCGTAGCAGGAAGTCTAACCACCATTTATGCATTCACTTAGAAGCATGGCTAACCACTTCAAACCCTTAAGTACAGTACATAAGTAAAATAGTGAGTTGCCACATGTCTTTCAATGTAATATTTCACTTGGTATATCGTTTAATAAATGCTAAAAACACATATTAATTCCCAGTTTAATGTCACTTTTAGGTCTAAGCTGTCGAGAAGAAAGTCAGTGCAGTCGGCTCCCCCTGTGGCTACTTCTCAGAGGATCTAACGTGAACATTTCCCAAAGCTTCATTCAAGATCCTTTCTCTATCACGCAGCCATTACATACATGAACAAGATTACTCGCTGATAATGACCTAATTCCAACACTGTCCCAGTTTTACAGTTGTACTTGCATGGTCTTCTTGTAGATACATAAGCCAAACTAACCACCAGACGGATAAGTGTATGTAGTTTTATTATATGTGTTAGAGATAGCGGTGGCACAAGGTGATCACCCTGACCTAATAATCCCACTATATTATCACTGGTACATGTATTCCTAACGATCAGACACCAGAAAAATACTACAATTAGGGATCAGCGTTGTAGCCATCAGACAGGACAATGGTGAGAAGCATTAACAACGTCTTTTTCATACGTTACCTCAGTTTGTAATGGCTCTGGCTCCACCGCCGGTCATTGAACATAAAGTAGCAAAAGCATTTTAAAGGGGTAATCTTTATTGTAATGTGATGCCTAAGTCAAAAATACTTGCATTGTCAGAAATGTTGTTTTTGCCTGGTCTTTAGAGTTAAGATTTTTTTTAAGCTTATATGTATATTTGAGAAAACATATTTATTATAGCTATTTACACAACGTTTTTTTGTTGCATGGCACTTTAATGTATTATTTTGATCATTTTGTTTTACCAAAGGATGTTGATGCTGGGTGTTGTTGGCAGATCCACATGTATAGAATGAGAAAAAAAATAAAATCAATGAAGCACTTATTACAGAGCAGCAGAGCTCACCACATGGGACGTTATGGACTTATTGTTTTTGTTAATCTGCTTTGGTCAATTGTGTTGTCCATGCACCAAATAGTGCCTCCCTTAAATCATTTTTTTTAACTGGTCCTAAAGATATCACAATAGATTATTTATGAACATGTTTTTTTTTTTTATATTCAAGATTTGTCAATGGTAATGTTATATTGTGTGTTAGTATACATAAGTACTGCAGGCATACGTCGGCATAGCAACCTCTAAATGTTAGACGTTATAACTCTATGATTCCAAATGAATTAATTATGCTTCTCATTCTATAAATACTAGGACAAGACATGGTCAGCCAGCCATTTTGTCTTTCCTTTGTGAGTCAGAATGTTAGGACTGTAGCTGTGTGTCTCGGGCCAATCAACCTGCAGAATATTACAGCCTAACATTCATATTCTCGATAAAACATTTGTGAATCATAGTGGTATAAAACGCTTTTAATGGAAGTCAGTGAGTGGGATAAACAGCTTTTGCTAAACATTACCGTACTATAATATCATTTACACATTTTCTCTTATCTATTGTTTTAAAGCATTTGTATTTATTTGTTATGTGTGTACGGCTGTGTCACTTTGTTAACGGGAAATGAAGATTATTTTTCCCCAAACTCAATCAAAACCCTTCAGATTTGCCATATAGTTTCTGTAGTTAGCCTTGGTCGATGGGTTAGTTGAACGTTCTCCATGTAATCCATGGGACAGTTTTAAGGCACTGGCCATTAACTGTTTATAGATAATGAGTTTAATAACCACTTCATATTTGGCTGCTCCTTACTGTTCTAGCTTCGGATCAAAGCATGCAGATCCACTTTTCTTGATCTGTGCTGGTCTTACGTCCCTGTTCCTGCCTTAGCGCTTGCTAATGACACTTACCCCTAAGTGCTACTTGTAAGTATTACCCCAGACCCTTGTGACCATGACTAGAACCTTCCTCTTGGCTCTGTCTTGTACATAACTGGAGATGTCTGTGTTGGTCCTCTCACAGATGATATTAGTTCTGTGTAAACCATGGTGTAAATGACTCTTGCCTGAAGACTGTGGACCTGGGTATAGCTGAATAATCTAGCACAGCGATGGGAACGTTGGTTAACATGGGTTTAACTGCATGACCCTTTAAAGGCATTATGCAGGAAAGATGCAGGTCCAGCCGGTAAACGCTCACCTTTCTCTTTTACGTGTTCTTTCTCATGTCTGTGGACGAATAATCAAAAGTTGTTGACAAATTGCAAATAACATAATAAATGTTTAAAACTGTGGTGTTCTGCTGTCATGATTTCCGAATCAGAATCATTTTTATTGCCACGTAAGTAACAGGAGGTCACAGACTAGGAAATTGCTTTGGCTCAGTGCAACAGTCAAAAAGAGATAATAAAAATAAGAATAAAAAACACTTCTAAAGAATAAATTTACATTTAAAATAGAGTTACAGTTACTATTTACAATATACAAGTGCACATGGTGCACACAATGTAAGGTGAACAGCAGTACAGTGAAGTAAAGTGACGTATGATGGGCAGTAAAGTGACTTTATAAAGGGCGGGGGGACAGGTTAAGAAGTGTTCAAGAGTCCAACAGCAGAGGGGAAGAAACTGTTCTTGTGGCGGGAGGTTCTAGTCCTGATGGACCGCAGCCTCCTGCCTGAGGGGAGTGGTTGGAATAGTCCATGTGCAGGGTGAGAGGGGTCGGCTGTGATACGACCAGCCCGGCCTCGCCTTTTTCGGTCATCAAAGAGACTCCCGTGGATGCTTGCTTTGTGGAGTTTGCATGTTCTGTCTGTGTATGCGTCGGTTTCCTCCGGGTGCTACGGTTTCCCGTACCACTAAAAACATGCACAGGGTGAATGAGTGTATGAATGAGTGCGACTATAGGCCATGATCCGTAATTTAGTGATACAAGGGGAGAAAAGTGCTCAGATGTTATTAGTAGATGAGTTTACCATAGAAAAAAACACATTAATAGACAAATAAACATACTTTTTTTACACTACACTGCAAAAATACATGAAAAATAAGTAAAATATGTCTCAGATTTCGAAAAATGTATCTTCATTTGAGCACATTTTGACTGCCTTAAAACCAATGGGAAACACATTATTATCTTGTTTTAAAAAGATACAAGAAATGTCTCTTTTGGAATGAGTAAAATAAATGAACAGTTCTTCAAATAAGATGAAATGTCTATGTCCCATTGGAAAAACTTGTTTTAGTATCCTCAAATTAAGATAAAAAAACAGTAAAATCAAGCAATTATTATCTCAAATTATAACATTTTTGCAGTGTATGCAGAAACTCGAGGTTGATAATTATTTAACATATTAGAATTGCTCCAATAGAAGTGTAAATGGCCCACGGTGCTGAAACAGTTGCTCAGTGTTCTGCAGCAGTGGTTCTGCCTCTATTATTGATCGTGCACTCAGCATGTATTCCTCTGAAGCCGGGCCAGTCGCACTAATCCACTCTCAACACGACCAGAAGAAGAGGAGAGGAGGGCAGCTGCGTCCTGTTCTGTGCCACTCACAGCTGTGGAGAAGATCCCAACTGTTTTAAAATGGAAAAGGAGATGTATTCTTGACTTTTTCCAAGGTGTATTTTCAGTCATAACTTTTCAGTACACTCAGGACACTCACTGCATGGGTCGTCCAGAGTAAAGTGTTCCTCACGCACATACATTTACAGAGCTATACTTCCACATGTAGGTCATCCAATCCCACCTTTTCAATAATGCACAGAAAAACGGACCCCCATCTGAGGTTTGGAGCCGGGTGCTTCTGATCCTGGATACAGCGCTTCTTCGGCTCCCAACTGCCAAAAGGGAAACAACAAGATTTTTTTTTTTAATTCATTTTTATATATATACAGTATTTTTCCCTTTTTCTGTGTCTGTGTTAATTTTTTTGACTTCGGTCTCAACTGAAAGAGCTGAATGACTGATAATCTAATATAATGTAAGTATGTATTTTGACACTATCATTTAATACTGAATGAATGGGAGACGACAATGAATGTGTTGCAAGATGTGGTAGCAGGTAACAGTGGCAGATGTCTTTGTAAACTGGTGGTAGATAGAAAAACAGTGATTGTGATTGTGATAGTCTGAGGGGACGCAAAATCACAGTTATAAAAAGATTTATACTTATATTTTAATAAAGCCACTGAATAAATTTGATTAAATAGCATGTTTTTGTGTATTTCTCTCATGTGTTATGTTTCCCACATTGCACTGAAAAAGTATAAAAACCTAAGATGCAGAAAGGAAGTGGACAAACCTGGCTCGTCCTGGATGAGAGCCTCCTTCTGCTTGTTACTTTTTCTTTCCATTTTGTTTCTTTGGTTAAATCACCGCTTGGAATCTAAAACACAACACATTTGACATGTTTTCTGGGGGCTACAGTTGGAAATTACATTTACAGTAATGTTGAATATATTTCTATAGAATTGTGACTATGCTATATCACTAGTTTACATGAACAAGTTTGGTAAGTAATGTAGAAACCCTGTATACGTTTTAATCCTGTTTAGTGACAAGAGAAATCATCCCAAACCCTTTTGTCGCTGTGTAAATGCGCACTCAGATTCCTAAACGCCGGGTTGTTCGAAATGCTCTGAACAATTTGGGTTACCTGAAGCAGCATATCAGATGTCTCCACACTCAAACGTGCTTTCTCCAGCTCTCTGTGTGGGCTACGCTACATTCATTACATTGGCTTCCTGTTTCACCATTTTGTGTATTCTCCCCTGACACTACAGACTTATTACGTACGTTACCGGCGAGGAGGTCTGTCATTGAAGGTCTGCTAAAAACTACTCATAAGGGAAGTCATCAGCCCGAAACTCCACTGAGGTCGTGTTTTAGTTAAACGCTTAGTGATGCTGTTTGTATGTCTTCATAAATGTTGGTTTTGTTGTTATGTTTTCAGATAAAAGGACTGGCTGGCTCAAAAGTCCAAATGGAAAACGTGAAGGTGACCAAGTAACTATTGTAATGTTTGACAAATCTTAAACCTGGGGAACCTTTTTTTTTCACAAATATAATTGCATGTAGTTTCCAACAGAATGACTCCTGTAAAAGTCAAATGTTAAGATCTAATTAGACCACAACATGTTACATTGTTTTGCATACTTATAAGAAGAGGCCCCATGAAAAGCACCCTTGTGAAATGTGTTATAATAGTCAAAACAGGAAAAAGTGAAAATGTTTTAAGGGCGAGGCAGTAGTTGGATTTTGTCACACAGGTCCATTTGTTTTGGATACCCCAGCTTTATTATTGCTCACCAATGCTGTACTTGGTGTTCCTAGCAGCCAGTGAAGGAGGTGCCCCCCTTGCCTCGCCACACATCTCTGCCTCCTGTGACCTCCTCCTCTGGGAATCCTACTGACAGTTCCAAAAAACACCCAGGCTCCCTCCAGCATGTGCAGGTGGCCTCATCAGGTGAATTGGCTCTCTCTCTCTCTCTCTCTCATCTCTATCTCTCTCTATCTCTCGCTCTCTCTGTTTTTCTGTTGAAATAAGAGCATGTTGTAATTGTTATGTCCAAACAAAAACTTGCACACAGTGGTATCATCGTTCAACTACTTGAAACCTCCCGACCGAGATCTCACACCAACGTCACACATGAAAGCCATGAAGTCCATGAGACAAGCCGGCCTCACTGCGGTCTTCACTGGACAAAATGTGAGTGCAATTATCGAGCTACGCAAACAGTACGTTATTTTTCATTTGATTTTGTTGCTATTGACTTTTAACAAATACCAATGCAATCACAACCTGTAATTATATTGTGGTACACTGGCTGTTTGGAGACGTGCCAGGGAGTAATTGAGACGGATCAATAACATCACTATGAGCAGACCTATGACAAGAATAGTGACATGGTGGATCTTTGTGGCACGGTGGCTGAGTGGATAGCACTCTCGCCTCTCAGCAAGAAGGTCCTGGGTTCGAATCCCGGTCGGACCAGGGCCTTTCTGAGTGGAGTTTGCATGTTCTCCCCGTGTCTGCGTAGGTTTCCTCCGGGTACTCCGGTTTCCCCTACCACTAAAAACATGTCCAATAGTTCTGGCATGCGCCTCCTGTACTGGTGACTCTGCTCCCATCTCTGTGTGGAGTGAGAGACAAATGCCCAAAAATTAACAATTGTAAACCGCTTTGAGACTCAGATCTGCAGTGAAAAGGCGGTATATAAATAAAAACTTACTTACTTACTTACTTGTAGACAAGGTAAATACTGTATGGGCACACATGAAATATGGTCTTTTCTGACGTATTAAAAAATTACAAAACAATAGACGAGATTGCACTTTTGTTCATGGTGACAATTCTCTAGCACATATCCATTCTAAAAGTCGAATGATTGTTATATGATGGCCAGTTAAGAAAATAAAAAATAAAAAGATAAACGTAGTGCCAAAATGCAATTTAAAAGGCATCAAGTTGCCAGATTGGGGCCCTCTTGTGGCCTCTGTGCAGATGCTTAGTTTGCATACAGGCACCTGCAGCACAAGATTAATTCAGCAGCCTCAAGTGGCCTCTCCTCTGCCAGATAAAATCATACTAGCAACATGTTAGTCAAAGCACAAACTACATTCAGCTGTCAGTGTTATTGTGGGAGATTCTTTCAGACAAGGCTATAAAAGAAGGTTCAGAGAGCGTCATGCTAATATTCTCTGATTGTCGCTTGAACTGCAGCAGAGATCTGATGAAGACGGGGTCCTGGAGAAGCTTCCTCACGCTGATGTGATCCTCGTTGACGTCGACGGCTTGGTGCCGACTCATGACGAGAAAGGACTTCCCATCGTGGAGTGGAAGAGACAGGTGATGGTGCGACAGCTGCAGGTCAGGCTGCTGAACCAGGAGGAGGACATCAAACAGGTACAGAGCAAGGCTCCTCTCACTCTTTTATAGGCTCATTTTGTTCCTTCATCATAAGAATAATAGACAGTCAATTTTATTTTATCATTATTATGTTTCTGTTATTTATTGTTTGTATGAATTGTGTGAGTCTGTTTATGTTTTACTGCTTGATACCAACTTGTGTACACATCCAGGCTGAAGATTGTAAATAATAACACTTTTCACTCATTGTTATTCCATGTGAGAGGCCATTTTTGTCAAATAAACATGATTTCTATGACCACTCTGGTGAAATATAAAGTATGCAGTTTGCCAAGAAGAATGGACACGTTTACCTTCAGAGGATAAAGAACCTTACCCACAACTACTACTAAAGGCTCCAAGCTGTCACAGATGTCAATGGGGCCATACACAGAATGGAAAACTGGTGGATGGAGACTTCTAATCAGGGTTATTGAGTAGTTTCTGTTGTAATCTGTTGTTATAATTTGAAAATAGAAAACGTAAAGGCCTCACTTGACCACTAAAAATTTGTAAAATGGCTCGCTCTTTTACGACATGAAAATTCTAAGTAAGTTAGTAGGTAGGTAACGTTTATTTATATACCGCCTTTCACAGACCAGAGTCACAAAGCGGTTTACAAGTGTTATTTTTTGGGCATTTGTCCTCTCACTCCACACAGAGATGGGAGGTGGGTCGCCAGTACAGGAGGTGCATGCCAGACCTATTGTGCAGGTTTTTAGTGGTAGGGGAAACCGGAGCACCCGGAGGAAACCTACGCAGACACGGGGAGAACATGCAAACTCCACTCAGAAAGGCCCTGGTCCGACCGGGATTCGAACCCAGGACATTCTTGCTGAGAGGCGAGAGTGCTATCCACTCAGCCACCGTGCCGCCCAATCTGTCCAAATATTCAGTGTGTCTTCATGTCTAAACTTATAACATATGTTTGTGTTCTTCAGGTAACAACAACAAAGTCTCACCCTTTATTTGACAGCTACAAATACTCAGAAGCCCACAACGCTGTCCTGGGGCCCTTTGGAGAGCTTTTAAGTGACGACGACATAGTTTATCTGCAAAAGCAGATTGAAAACGTCTCATTGCAGAAGAAGTGCGAGGCCTACGAGCTGGAGCTGACCAGACTGACCGAAGAGCTAAAAGCCATTTTCCCTGACCCCATTGTCAACATTTCCCTGAACACAGAAGCCCTCCAGCAAATGGACGCAGAGGGGAGGCGCACTCTGCAAAGCTGGTGCAGCCAAGTTTCTGAAATGGTCAAGAATATGTCGCTGCTTTTAGCTCATTTAAGTCAAATCACAGAAGAGAGAGAAGATTGTCTTAATGAACAAGACGGTAAAGAGAATTTAAGTATTGAAAAAGGCAATTTTATGGAACTAGAAGGAAGAAAAACAGCTTTGAGCGGCTGTAGGATTCCACACATAGGCCTAGCGACGGCATTCAGCCACCGCTTGGAGGCTAGCACTTACAACAGAGCTCAGAGGGAGAAGGTGCAGCAAGAGATCCAGCAGTCTGGTGTTTCAGTGAGAAGCCTCCGAAACAACTTTGAAGGACAGATTGGAAGTGTTTATCCCTTTGCGGGCATTCTGAAACAAGATATGGCAAACAACAACCCGTCTGTTGATGCTATGAGTGAGGACAGAAGCCATGACAGGCAATTTAAACCCCCACTTGTCAAAGAAAGCACTAGTTTGAGAAAAGAACGCATTGTCGTGTTGTTTTTGAGCCATTGGAAGAAGTCTGCTTACGCTATATCCAAGAGAGCAGCCAAGAGCAAAACAGGCAAACTTCACGCAACCACAACACAACACAAAGAGGACACCATGCTGCACTTCTGCCAACAAAAATGTGCCGTCGATAAGATGCTGAGCTCGTGGAAGACTAGGCTGGATGTGAACGGCACGCATGGGACACGTGGCAAGCTCCCTTCCCTCGCCTACTCCCCAGAGCAGTTTGTTCCGGGTGAGAATGGGGATGCAGTGACCTACGATAGCTTGACACTCGATCTATTCATGCTGGGGTACTTTCACATCCTGGAGCAGCCGCTGTCAGCAGAAGAGAGGAAAATGAGGCATCTCCTGTGCTTTGAGGTGTTCGACCATGTGGGCACGTTCCCCTGGGAGACGGTGAAAGATTTCCATAAAGCAGTTTTGCAGGAAATTCAGAGCGGAAGGCGACAGTGGAGCGATGGTTTTGATGACATTAAATCGCAATTTTTCGCAGACTCCGAGGCCTACTGCTACCCGGCTGTGTCTGTGCTGCGTGAGTCCAGGATGGTGCCCAGTGTGAGAGTCCACTCCTCTGGCCCCGATGAGTGCATGGGTGGCACGGGCGTATCCTGTTTCAACAATGAAGAAGACATTTGTAAATATATTGATCGTAGCTTCGCCTTCTGGAAAGAGAAGGAGGCAGAGCTGTTTGACTTTCAGCAGTCTTCTAATGGCTAGAACACGTGTATTGCAGTGACTTCTCATTTTGTATCTTTGACAACAATAAAGGATAATCTAATCATTTCAATCAAGTGAACGTTGAACTTTCATTTCTTATCTATTTGATATAATAATTGACAAAGTAAAACGTCAAGAATATGGTTCATACTGGATGGATGTACAGTATATGGGCCTGTCTTTCCTCTGGGCTGTGAAAAATAAAAGTGATCCTAGTCATGTGTAAATACTGATGTAAAAACTACTGCTAACCAGACAAAATGCATTGATACAGTATATACATGGATAAAGAAGAGGTGTAGCCCACAGTATACACATGTAAAACAGAAAGAATGATAATAGTAATGATATCAAGGTAAGTAATCATGTTTGATGGTTTATCGCACTTAGTAGTATATTACTATTGTATTTGTTTTGCTTAAGGACTTCAGTTGATTCATTTTAGCAGATGTGAGTCTAATTTTACAACAAAATTTATAGAGTTCTTCCTATTCCCATGCTACTCCCGAAATCTCCCCATGGTTATATAAATAAAAGTTCACTTGTGTTTATTTGCCTCAAAATGTCTGTGATCCAAAACTCAGTTTACAAACAGTGTCAAAACGTAAATTGTGAAAAAGATAGAAATAAGGTTTTCAGACGATGTATAGAACTTTTGGCTATATACAGTAGCTATGTTGTGTTGCACTCAAGCTTAAGGGACAAAATAAAGGAGAATTCAGTATGGGTATATTTAGAGATGTAATAAATGCCACACACAGTTGATTGTACTTCAAACATGGCATATGGATTTACAAGCCATAAAAATAACAGTCTTTCCCTTAAACAGATAAATAATATTTAAGGTACAGACTTTTATCCACCCTTCCTCTTTCTCTTTCACTTTTACTCACAATACTCAAATGCACTACTTACATGGCAACTTAGACTGTCCTTTCCATGACAGGCTTCCATCCCATTTTCTCCTCTTTAACTTATCGAAGACCGAAAAAGACAAAAACAAAAATCTAACAGATGTTGGCCTATACTGTAGCGGAGCCCGTGAAAGGACGCGAATAGGTGAGGTCGCGCATGCGCAGTGTCGCCGTAAATTGACAGGAGGATGCTGAGCTGCATTCCCATCATTTTGTGAGGAAGATTTCTGCGCGCACTACAACAACCCGAAGAGACACCGAGCGACGGGGAAAACACCGGATAATCCAAGTTGCTCCGCTCTATCTCGCACCATGTCAGCAGGAGGAGATTTGGGGAACCCCCTCAGAAAATTTAAACTCGTTTTTCTGGGAGAGCAAAGCGGTAAGCATCGTTATCGTCTCCTACTGACGCTTTGGGTTTATAATGAAGGCCGTCTATGCTACACGTTTCACTTGTATAAAGATTTGGGAGAGGTGCTGGAATACGCAATTACTTATCATAATGAGGCTGGGTCATAATTGAGATGTGAAGGGAAAAACATTTGCCTGAGACGAGGGGAGATAAGAAGCGTGCAGTCACAATTAGGGTTTTAATTATTCAGGATAAGCATCAATCCTCAAGGACAAATATGAATCCTGTCAAATCATATATCCACTTTTCTCTGCGCAAAAGTGGCACATTTAGCTTCTGATGGCGCGCTTTGAAAATGAAATGTTTTCACGCTTGCTGCAGTGACAGAGAAATAGGCTTGTTGTCCACTTTACACGCCTACACAATCATGGCATTCTTGTTGATTGCGTTAAACAAAACATAAGTAGTGATACATACAAGGCGTGCCATTTGCGGAGGTCTGGCGGAGATGAGACGCGGTTCCCCTTATGTGTCAGCTCGGGACACACCCTATGGTCTCGGGCGTCTGTTCCTTCTCCACTCCACAACATCTCACGGTCGCTTCCGTCCCATAAAAAGACAATTCAAAGCGACTTGACAGCGGCACAGCGTATTGTCGTGTTTTCAACAATCCATTTGTTTTGTGGACAACGGCTGTGTGTACGTGGAGATGATGGCACAAATATGGGATCGATAGGTCTTAAGGCAGCATCCATATCTTGAAAAGCATATGCAGCGAAAAAACAGCGGTTCAACTCAACAATATTATGCTGAATTTACACATATTAAGCTTGTACATGTGGGTGGTTAAGTCTGCGTGTGCTACATGTGTGTGGAAGGACCAGTGGCCCGTGGTGCAATGTTGCTGTCCATGGTGCTGAAACAAGGCCTGGCCACTGCCCATAGCTGGCAGGCAGCAGACATGCAGCCTCCAAACCACTGCTTTTGTATGACACACACAAGGGGTTCAATGGAATATGCTGTGTTTGATTCAATTTATTAGAGACATAGCTATTGTGTTTAGGTGGGGCAAGTTTATTTGTAGAGCACAATTCATACACAAGGCAACCCCAAGTGCTTTTAAAAACCTCGAAAGGAAACATAGAAAATATACAAGGACGTTCAAATCATACACAGATAATGCATAAATAATCACAGCACGTTGAAAAGAATGAGGTTACAATCCTTCAGTAAAGAGAACTGTTTTAACCTAGACTTAAACATTGTCAGATTAGAAACCTGTCTCACATTCTCAGGAAGACAGATACAGATTAAGTTGATTAAGTTGATTACAGAATAGGAGTGAATAGGAGTGAGTGAATAGGGGTGAAACAAGTGTGTAGTAATAGTGCCATTCCAGCTAGACAGGACTTCACCACACATTTGGAATTGTTCCTCCCGGATGACATGTTTTTATGAGCCTCGTAGTATTGCTGTACGCTGCTAATAATGTTTGTGCTTCTTCCAGTGGGGAAAACATCTCTCATCACCAGATTCATGTATGACAGTTTTGACAACACATATCAGGTAAGAATCCTGCTGTGAAAATAGTTGTTTGTTCATTTGACACACATACAAGCAATCTATTCAACAATATTTTTCAACCCATGTCACTCCTATATTTCCCTTAAAGGTCCTACACATTCAATTCCCTTTTCTATCATAACATTTCTAATAATTGCATCTCTTTTGACCACAGGCAACCATCGGAATTGACTTCCTATCAAAGACAATGTACCTGGAAGATCGAACAGTAAGGGCTTTATTTTCATTCACTACAAATTAATTGTATCGTTCTAAGCATGAATATGTCTAAAGTGAGTCTGCCTAAAAAATGTCCTTTATGTCTTTGTTGCCTAATCCTTGATTTGATTTCCATAATTACAGCTCTAACGCGATTACGCTAAGGTTATTTCTTGTGGTAATAGCTTTCAGTTTTCTAACCCGAGATGTCAGAGCCTTCCGCGTGGATCATCTCTCTTAATGCTATTACTTTGTCAGAATGATGCGGTGTGAGGCTGCATACACACTGATACAGGCTTATCCGCTTTAGGACCGTGTGTATTAGGCTTTCATCATGCTTACAAGTCTAAATATGTGTTCAACCATAGGTAAGGCTGCAGTTATGGGACACCGCGGGACAGGAGCGCTTCCGGAGTCTCATTCCTAGTTACATTCGGGACTCGACGGTGGCTGTGGTGGTCTACGACATCACAAGTGAGAAACATATTGGATTTACTTTGCGCCGATGTGAGCAGTAGTGTGGTTATGTCATGATTAAGTCACATATAACGTCTCCGCAGATGTAAACTCGTTCCAGCAGACGACTAAGTGGATTGATGATGTCAGGACAGAGAGAGGAGGCGACGTTATCATTATGCTCGTAGGCAACAAGACCGATCTGGAGGAAAAGAGGTAAGCATGTGATGGATTCGATTATTTGTGTACCAAATATCTGAATTATGGTTTTGAAGCTAAAGTTGTCTGTGCAATACTAGAAGTGCAAATATCCATTCTCTTGGTTTGACAAATAAAAATCTTGAAATCTTGAAATCAAAGGACCTTATTGAGGAATTGGTTGGGAATGTATTGTTAAAAATATGTAAAATGCTGACAAAAGACACATGTATGCTTGCATATTTAATGCTACTTGCTTTCTATTTTGGACTGAGAGAACTCATGGAAAACTGATTATGAATAATGTAGTGCACTATTGATGCTGATAGGTTTGTTATTATTATTGCATTTCTGTGTTTGATTTGACAACTTTGTAAAGTCCTGTGAGACGACGGCTATTGTGAGTTAGGGGTTTACAAAAATAAATTGGATTGAAATTGAATTGAATTGCGACGAGGGCTCTGATTGATATGACAAGGCCAGTTTGTACAGCAATTGGTATACTACATTCAAAGTGCTTTCAAAACAAGAAATATGGAAACAATAAGTAAAAAGTTAAGAATCTGTACTTACTGAATCTGACGCCGTTCCTTAAATACATTTTGATTGATTGTATTTTTTTCGGATGGCCTTGGTTGTCAAAAAAGTCTATGGGCCGAACTGCTACAAAATCCAGAGCTAGCACTGTTTTACAAGTGTTGCCAAATGTGCTGTCTGCTTTTCTCAGGCAGATCACGATTGAAGAAGGCGAGCAGAGAGCCAAAGAACTGAACGTCATGTTTATTGAGACCAGCGCCAAGACAGGCTGCAATGTCAAACAGGTGATGGCCGAGACATGACCGCTCTATTTTTGTCACTTTGCCCCTGCTTGTTTTGATCACTCTCCATTATCAAGCTACTACATCTCGCTCGACAACCTCTAATTGCATGTGATTAGCTGTAAATATGCCATAATCTTTTCAAATCTCACTCTCGCTCATTTCTTTTTGGGTTAGCTGTTTCGTCGCGTTGCCGCAGCCCTACCAGGAATGGAAAGCTTGGACGATGCAAACCCTGAAGGCAGTATCCTTTACACAGTGAGAGGCATGATGCTTTGTTTTTTTAATCTCTTAGTGGTGGTTGGCATTTGCGCAGATTTCCCAGATCTCTTCCCAGATTCACTGTCCAATAAAAGTGACTGAGCCAAGAAGGTGCAACACTATATAGATGCAGGCTAGAGTGATACGTTGTGACATTTATGTGTAACTTTCTCACACATAACGCACATACCAGACATATTGATATATTCCTCTAAGTGC